AACCTTACAAAAGTGATCCGCATGAATTGTGGTCCACGACCCTAATCGCTTTAGTCACAACTTGACATGCAAACGACGTACATGTGAACGCCAAAAAGAAATATTGCTTATATTTTGTGTTTATATGATAAAACAATGCCTAAGTGTGTTTTTTAAAGTGCTCAAATTGCTCAAGAACTAAAAATAGGTAAAACCCACGGCATCACTTTTCATTCGTAAGTACTATAAAATATATTTTTTCATAAAAATTGCTGTTTGTTTTGAATCTTATTCTGTAGTGCAGTGACGCGGATCTCGCCGTCTCGTTCGCGCTGCCGTTGAAACTTAACGTGCTGTTTCGTTCGGGTCGGTAATGCAGTGACGCGGTTCTCGCCGTCCCGTTCGCGCTGCCGTGGGATCAGTTTTTGTTTGATGCAAGTATGAGCGTACCGTATCTACCCTTTTTGTTTTAATCTAAGTGAGGGAGGCCCAGTGAGCGACCTGGGAGCGGGCGACGGACTTCAGCGGGCGGGGGTAGTGGCGTATCCGGGGGTTGGTGCGAAAAAAGTTTTACCGGACTGCCCGAACTTTTTCGCAAAGTCCGTTAGCAATTCGGTGAGCTGTAGAATCAACCGGGCTGTCGCATCTTCTTCTTGGGCGGGCGGTGGCTGGTCTTGTCTGGTGTGGTTGCCATCTTTGGGTGGTGGGGCTGCGGCGGGCGTGTCCGCCGGCGATGCTTTGCACGCTCGACGGGGCTTACGGCTGCGTCGTTTGGAACGGCTGGTGTGCGAGGGAGGAGCGTTCGCGGGGGCCATTAACGTGGCCGGCGCGTGCTCGCTCACCTCGGTGGGGTGTTGGGTTGGCTCGGTGGGTGGGCGGCGGTTGGGCGCCTCGCGATGTTTCGCGGTGCACGCGCTGTAAGTGGCCGGGTGCGCGCCTGCGCAGTTCGCACAAGTCGCGGGCTACGTGAGCGGGCGGGGGCAGTCGGCGGCGGCGTACGGGTCACCGCAGCGCACGCAGGCAAGCGGGCGGTGACATCCGTGGCTGGAGTGGCGAAACCCCTGGCAGCGGTGACACTGCGCGGGGGTCTTTCTTCCTCTCCAGGCCTCTATTTGAACTCCGGTCATATATAACAACTCACTTACAGCGTAAATGGCTGGGATGGTCTCGGGGGTTCGGCGTAGCGAGGCGAAGTAAAGGCATCCGGTGCGGCCTGCTTGCGCCCGGATCTCCTTGACGTGTTCAATTGCGAAGCCCTTTGCAGTAAGGGCCTCAGCAATGTCTTGCGGCTTCGTGTTGGTAGGCAGGCCTCTGATGGCCACCTGATGGACTTCTGTCATCTGGGTGGGCGTGTGAGTACCAACTCAGTCCGGCCTGGCCCTCCAGTCCGGAGAGGTAGGCCTGGACGAGTCGGCCCTCGTTGTCATCGTGCGGCGTAAAGCGCACACCCGAGCCAAACGGGCGTACGCTAGGTGGACGTCCGAGTTTCTCCTGTATGATGCGCAAGTGTTTTGGCCAGTCCTGCAGCTGCTCGACCACAATCGGCGGGTGTTTACGTACCCGCTGGGGTGTGGGAGCGCTGCTGGAGGCCGGTTGCGCGGCTGGCACGGTGGTGGGTGGTGCGGCGGTGGGGGGATTATTCTCGGCTGCGATGTGGGTAATTTTCACGGCCTGTGCGTAGCTCGTCGACTGCGTCGGTAAATCAGTCGGTAACTCGGTCGGTGGTTGTTCGTGGGCGGCGGGGGCGGTCTCTTGCTTGGGCTGGTGTTCCTCCTTCGTAGGGGTCTTCACCGGTGCTGGTAAGGGAGTGAGAAGCGTTACCGGGGAGTCGCCACAGCTGCGGGAGCGGCTAGGGCGCCTTCCGCGCGGGCGTCTGGCGCTTCCCCAAAGAGATCACCGAATCGTAGCCAGTTCACGGAGGCGAGCTGGTCCACATCAGGCCCTGTTAGTGCCCGATATAATCGCCCGTGGAGCTCCTTGCTTTTCCATACTTCCTTGCGATCCTGGGTGCTTAGCACCCTCGGCTTGCGCCAGTTCTCTTTCGCCAAGGAGGACGGCGTTAGGTTTTTGTCAACTGCTACAATGTCACGATGCAACACACCCTCACTGTTAAGGAAGTAATCCCTGAGACTGCACACCTCTCGGTTGTGGAGATTCTTGGCATTTAATAAGCCACGACCTCCACATTTACGTGGGATATACAGTCTCATAACAGATGAGCGCGGATGAAGCATACGGTGCATTGTGAGCAGTTGACGGACCTTCCTATCCAGAGTGTCTAACTCAGTCTGAGTCCATCTCAGTATGCCAAAGGAGTATGTGAATAGGGGCATCACCCAGGCATTGAAGGCGCGCACCTTGGCTCCCGACAAAAGACAATTTAGTACTTTTGTCAGTCTCCAAAAGAAACACTCCTTGAATGCCTGTTTTACGTCCCCATCCGTAATACCCAAAGACTGTGACATACCAAGATACTTGTAGGTTTCCGTTTCCGAGAGAGATTGAAGAGTGATTGTCTCAGAAAGTTGTAAATTTGTGGAATTTACCACTTTCCCTCGCTGTACATGCATTACCGCGCACTTATCGACACCACTCCATCCCGATAGAACTACTGAAAACTTCTGTAATTTTCAGTAGTTTAATCAAGTCTGGTTGTTTTGGTGCAAATAATTTAAGGTCATCCATGTAAAGTAAGTGAGAAATGACCTCCCCTCCTCTCCGGAGACGACAACCTAGCCCTGTTTCCCTTAGCAAAGTGCTAAGAGGATTTAGGGCCAAGCAAAACCACAACGGGCTCAGGCTGTCACCCTGGAAGATGCCTCCCTCTATCCTTATACCATCCGAGGGGTCCTCTCTACGGTCTGGCTGACGAAGGACTGTGGTCCACTGACTCATACATGTACCCAAAAAGGATCTTAAAGTTGCATCGATTTTATACAACTCTAGGATCCTTCACAGCCATGAGTGAGGCACCGAATCATAGGCTTTTTTATTGTCAATCCAGGCCGCAGAAAGGGATCTGTTGCTCCACCGGATATGTTGGCAAATGGTCATGTCAATGAGGAGGAGTTCTTTAGTACCACGGGACCCAACCGTACATCCATTTTGAGATGCTGAGCTTATGTTATTGGCATTATCATATGCTTATTATTTTCTGTGGTTGTATGAGTTTTTTGAAAAGATCACTCAGTCCACACGCACATTCTCAAAATGGTTGGCAAGCAAGTTATGGGTCTATAATTTTTTGCCTCCGTGGTACTACCAGATTTATAGAGAAGGAAGGTGGTACCTGTTGTTAGGAAAATTGGCAGGGAACCACTCTCGAGAGCGTATTGGAATTGCATTGCTAAGCACTTGTGTGAGCTTCGAAACCATTTTTTCCAGAAGTTGTGCAGTCCGTCCGGCCCAGGACTTTTCCAGTTATGGGACGTACGGACTGCACAACTTACATCCTCAGGGCTTATGCTTATAGGCTCCATCGGCTCTATCGACTCACACTCGCGCTCAACAACATCAATCCAATCACTCTCGGTGTGCTCAACAGGCACTGACCAGATATTACGCCAGAAGTTGGTCATAGCAGCAGTATCCGGCAGTGGCTCGTTAGTCACACTTTGATTGATTCCCTCCCATTTTCGGTACACCTTCCTTTGGTCGCTTTGAAAGAATCGATTTATTCGGAATCTGTCTACCCTTTCTCTATAGCGCCTAATACGTCCCGCCCACGCATAAACCTTCTGTTTCAGGAAGTCAATGCGTTCCGTGACACAGGCCAAATAATCACATGGTCTGATGCCAGTACCCGCGAATGCCTGATACACGAAACGCATGACTCACGGGCGATTATTCCCGTTCCTGAAACAGAATAGCTTTGCAATGATAGTCCTGCACCTGCTGATACGCTGTTCAATCCGCACTTGCCATGTAGGGACATCAGCAGCGGGCCTAGTTGCACGGTCAGGATCTGGGAACCTAATTCTCGCAACACGGCACGCCGCGATGGCCCCGCAGTACAGGATTGAATGCGTATCAACAAGGTTTTCACTAGTCTCGAAATATGAGACTAGTAAATTGTCCGGGGTTGTCATTAGCGCTATATTGCGTTTATTCGTAGGCAGGCGTGGTAAACGTGGCCTAGAGTCCGGTGTATACCGATACCGGTCAATCGCCTCTTCCAAAGCCCTCCTCAATTGCTCCTGGGTCTGGGACACTGATATTCGCACTGTCTCCGTCATTGATAACAGGGTCAATCCGCGTCACCTCCGGTATTACAACAGATGTCACGACGGGAACAGTGCGCTCAGGTAGCGCCTCCAGACGAAGCCGCTCAAGTACGGAGTCGTCCAACCGCTTGTTACGTTGAATAACCCGCACCTGATCCGATAGTCGTTGCGCAGAAACAGTGATGGCTGTTTCAAGGGCCTGAAACAAAGCAAGCATCCTAACACGGTACGCAGTCATGTTAGTATTATTATTATTATAATGTCAAAAAAAAAATTGTATATCGCAGTAAAACACTAATTTATTACATTTCATTAAGGGAATATTAATATGTTTAATTAAATATTTTCATAGTTAATTGTAATTACTAGAGGTCATTTTTTGTGTCAAAGTTGTTACGAGCTACACAGCTTTGATACTACATTGAGTAATCTATTAATATTATCATAAAGTAGGTACTTGGAACTTATTTAAATGAAGGGACTATTTTTTTGTTTAATAATTTAATATCTGTGTGTTATAAATTTTTATAAAATAAACAAATATAAAAAAAATCTCATCATCCTGTTGAAAATCGTATATGCCTTTTTATCAAGTAATTTACACATACTTTGGAACTTCCGGAAAAAGGGATGTCAGGCGATTTGCATTACTTCCACAAGAAAAAAACATCAGAAAAGATACATATTAAATTCGAATAATTTAAAAACTATATATTTCTTCTAAGTCTGCTCTACTATTGGAGATTTCTGTACTGTAGTTAATGTGATCTGTGAAGTATTTAAATTAAACGGCAAAAGTACATTCATAATATAATTTTATTAAAACGAAATTATCAATACATTCACAAATATTGGACATAAAAAAATCTCGAGATCTATATTTGACTAGTACCTTGTATGACAGTTTTAGTACCGGGAGGTTTTTGTTTTAGTAATCTGAAACAAGAAACAAGATAAATGACAAAACTTAATTTATTTTAGAATATGAACCCTTTTTTGGAATTTCTTAAAATGATCGGGATTATATCCATTCTGCAATTGACTTTTTTATCACTAAAATCCATATTACGAAATTTCAAATTAATGCTTCATTATGCTACATGTTATCTTATGCCGGCACTTTACAAAAATCTTGAAAAATGTCTATCTCTCGGAGACTGTTTTCAAGAGTATAGAGTATGATAAGGACAAAATGCTGTCAAAATAACAAAATACCAATCTTTATATTTTATTGCAAATAAAGTGACATCATCAATCCTGAATGCAGCAGTTAGTGTATTACTATGATATTTTAAAGGAGGACAATTTTAACTTTATACGACTAGTTACAAAGGTCATGCGTATTCAGATGAATGGCTAGTGAAACTTTTTACCGAGTTTCTATAATTTTTCTGGGCGACGAGGGGTGAACAAGGTCGTGCTGCCGATCCCAGTCCATGTACTTCTGATGCTGCCGCTGTCTCCTGCGGTCCACGTAACTTATCTGTGACAATATAGCAAAAAGTTATAACAATACTAGTGGCCTGCCCTCGCTTCGCTTCGGTGTAGAGCTGTAGTGTAAACTAAAATGACTCTTCATATAATTATAAAAAAAAACTGAAAATGGTATATTTGCCTTTTGCAAACGTAGCTTCGGCGACCAAGGTTGCAGTCACAACATGACCACGACTGATCGTGCTCATAGCCGTCTAGTGTGCAAGGTGCCTATCACCGACAGCTTTAACGAATTTGTTATACACGGAAACATGTCAGTGGAGCGCTTTCGAAAGTTTATCACACAATTACAAAGTTAACACAGCTTACACAAGGGCGACGTCGTCCACTTACAAAAACCAAGGAACGATACGCTGCGATTTTGTGAGTATGAATTGAGCATATGAGGACGCCTATTTAGTTTGCCGTTCATTTACATAAAATCGTTTTTAGTAGATAAAACCTACTGATGTTTAATGGTTGTCAAGTTTCGATTAAATAAAAATTGTGTTGTGACAAAGTGAATGATTGAAATAATATTATAATAATTATTATCATAATAACTTGAATAAAGTAGCGTTGGTAGCCTAGTGAGTCGCTAGGCGCCGGACTACTGATATCGGGTACCGGTTCGATTCCTAGTCATGCCATGTAGGTACAGCGGCGTAGCTAAGAGGGGAGGGTGTTCCTAAGTGGGCGACTGGTGGTAGTTTAAGACGACTACATATAGAAACTACGTTTACCAAGTGCTCTAGTGGTGAAGAAAAACATCGTTAGGTAAATAACCTGCAAGTCTGATGAATGATTAATTCCCCGAAGATTTCAAATTCCAATAGGACAGTGGTAAGGCCTCACCTTACATACAGTGTAATGTTGTGTAATATATATCTATATAATGTATGATATAGATATATAATATACGCTCGTAATTAAAAAAAACACGCTTATTACAATAATTGTTTTTATTCATCGTCATTCTGATGTACCTGAAATCATCACTGTCGCTGTCCGTAACAATAATTATAAACCTGTCCGAAACACTGTCAATCACGTGGTCGAGATCATACATTTGAATGAATGAATGAATATTCTTTATTGCACTATTTAACAAAATATACAAACCTAAAACTCAGGAAACACAAATACAAAAGGCGGCCTTATTGCTAAGGTAGCAATCTCTACCAGGCAACCTTTGGCTAAATGAAACCATACCATGAAAATAGAAGAAACGGCGGGCTAGTGCATTTTAAAAATAAATGAATAGACGTTAACATAAGCATATAAAAAATAGTAAGTATATAAGGAAGCTATAAAATATAATACAAAGTAAGTAACAGATAAAAAGAAAAAGATCAGGCAGAGTCCAGCTTGAGGAAATATTCGTTAATTTTAATAGTAAAGGAGTCCCTCGTCTGTGCACGTTTGATATCCAGAGGTAAAGAGTTCCACAATTTAACAGCTCTTACATAGAATGACTTGGCTACGAAATCAGTGGAGTGGGGTGGGATAGCTAGGGATAGGTTACGAGAAGACCGAAGATCGCGGACAGGATTAAAAGAATGAAAAGTGAAACGCTCCTTAAGATAGAGAGGAGTGTGTGGATGAAAAAGAATAGAATAAAGGAGTGACAGGATGTGGTAGTCTCTTCTACGAGAAATGGGTAGCCATTGAAGTTGGGAACGATAATGAGAGATATGGTCGTACTTACGCAGACCGAAAATGAATCGGATACATAAATGCTGCAGATGATCAAGTTTATTAAGAAGAATAACACTAAGATCAGAGTAACACGCATCGGCGTAGTCAAGCAACGGGAGAAGAAGGGACTGTGCAAGAGAAATTTTAGTCTTGGTCGGCAACAGGTTTTTCAGACGTTTCCTCGCTGAAACGCCTGAACGCGAGCCATACGCGCCAAATACCCTCCTACTAACTTCACCAACATGATGGCTCCAAGACAAGTTATTGTCAAACAGAACACCAAGTTTTTTTACCGTGTCCTGAAGTGGTATGTGGATGCCGTTTAGCAAGATCGGTGGCAGAGCGCTTTTGTTGATTCTGGCATTAAACCAATAGCTTCCAATAATTATAGCCTGAGTTGTGCGCGGGTTAACCAACAGACCGTGTCGCCGACTCCAGTCTGATATGTGATGTATGTGCTATGTCCAGATCGTTGTTGGTAACATTTTGTCTTCCTTTTTTATTATTGAGCCACACAGCTTCTCCATGTTTCAGCAGTTATCTGTTTTAGTAGGTCTTTAAAAAGATTTTTGACTTTCGAAATTTTAAACGTTATGTTATGCCTTGCAACATTTCCTTTTGCCCGCGCCCACACCAGCTCAATGGGATTAAGTTCACAGTAGTATGGGGGCAGTAGCAGCAGCAGGGGACAGCACGTAAAACAATAATTTCATGTTCTGCTGCCATCTCGTCCACAGCATACTTGTCGCAGTGTTCTTGTTTGTGTTGCCGTACAATGTCTATAAGAGTAGCTTTAACCATTTTTGCCTTAACTGAGATATGCTTACTCGTTAGCCATTCTAGTATTCTTGGTTTAGTCCAAGACATTGTAGGCAGCGATTCTAACTTTATAGAATGGCATTATCTATCACCACTAGGGATTAAGCTTTAGTTTAGGTAAAAACCCCTTAGACCACTCTTCAAAACACTCGGCATTCATCTATCTATATATATAAAACTCAAAGGTGACTGACTGACTGACTGACATACTGATCTATCAACGCACAGCCCAAACCACTGGACGGATCGGGCTGAAATTTGGCATGCAGGTAGATGTTATCTCCAACAAATCCCTCTTCCCCGCCTATATGGCCCTTTCAAGCCGGTGGTCAAGCTGCTGGGACGATTTAACAGTCTGGTCAATCAAAGACCAACTTCGGCGTATGACCTTTATGACAATGAAAAATACAAATTACTTATAAATTGATGGGTGCTATACCAGTACAATACTGTAAATAGTAATTACCTTCATTGATCCCGGTTTCATCTTGGTAATAAAAGTACTGTTCTTCCTTTCGATACTCTTTAATTTTTTGAAGGTATCGCTGGCGTCATAAAACAGTGTCTTGTCTATAAATTAGAACACTTTTTATGGATATTGTAGAATATTTGAAATTGAGGTGATTTAAAAAAAAACATTGTACTCAAAGAGAATTTGGGTAAATCCGGGTCTTTGTTGACAAAATTAAGTATCTTTAAAGGAAAAAAAAGTGTTTGAGTAAAATAGTCTACACAATAGCAAAAAGTCAAAAAAGAACACCCAAAAAGGAAAACTAAGGTTACCTTTGTAATAGTTGGGATTGGGTGCCTCATTTGAATAAAAAAATGGTGGACTTTTCGTTCTATAGCCGCTGAAGTAAAATCGTCTAATATATCCTTGAAATTAATTTTTCGGTCCACGTTTCTCGGAAGGGTTAAATTGCTCGTTTTCTTAGTATTCTTTTAATACACTGTAAACTGTGGTCATACCAATCCCCAAAATGTGAGCTGTTTTAGAAACACATTTTTTTTTGACTCAAAAGGTAACAGTGAAGCAGAAAATATACTCAAATAAAAAAAAAACTGATTATATACCTTTATGTAGATATTGACCAACTTATTTACATAAAATTTGAAATATGTTTCTTTTTTTTGTATAGTAAAATAAGATTCCGATGTAGTCATTCATTCCTGTGATTGAACGACAAATGAACGCATATCACTATTACATTGAACATGGCAACAGTATTTCACAAAGTGACATTAGCCGCTGTCATTTGACTTCGTCTAATAAAAAAAAACGACTTTAGACGGCTTTTTTCGAATATCTCACGTTTGTTTCCACGCAGGAAGCCCAGCACGTTGTCGATGTCGATGTGCTTCATGATTGGCTCCGTTCCCTTGTTAAATCACCACGCAGCTGGACGGGATCCATACTAGTGCGGTGACGAGCACCACGTTGTCGATATCGATGTGCTCGATGATTGGCACCGTTCCCTTGTTAACTCACCACGCAGCTGGCCGGGATCCACTCTAGTGCGGTGACGAGCACCACGACACCCACGATGTTGTCGCGCATGAAGCCCAGCACGTTGTCGATATCGATGTGCTCGATGATTGGCATCATTCCCTTGTTAACTCACCACGCAGCGGGCCGGGATCCACACTAGTGCGGTGACTAGCACCACGACACCCACGATGTTGCCGCACAGGAAGCCCAGCATGTTGTCGATATCGACACAATACATACAAAAGCAGTAGCGTAACTCAGCCGTTTTCTTGAAATAGATACCTACGACTGAGCGGAGCGCTAGGGTTGGTACCTACAAAATGTAAAACAGATTTGTGTTGATTTTTATTCTATGTGTTTAGTTACTATTGCCACGTTACGGAATCGAAACGGAGGCAGACGGCGCGGGCGGCGCGACGCAGCTAACTTAACTAGACCAACGACCAGTCTCTGCGGCGCGCGACGTGGCACTGCGTAGATTTGTCTTGCCAAGATTGGTTAGTGGCCGTGTAAATGACGTTTGTCTGTGTGCATGCGTCGATTCGGGTGCTAATACGAAGTCAGAGTACTGCTCTAGCATATATTGTGATATCGATGGGCTCGATGATTGACACCATTCCCTTGTTAACTCACCACGCAGCTGGCCGGGATCCACACTAGTGCGGTGACTAGCACCACGACACCCACGATGTTGTCGCGCAGGAAGCCCAACACGTTGTTGATGTTGATGTCTTCGATTATGTCCCAGAAACGCTCAACTACGTCCTGAATCGTCTTTTCGCACACACCCTGTAGGTAACAGATGATGCCGACACTTCACTTGGCTAATCTTGTTTGCTATTTGTAAACACGACAACATTCTGCCCTTATCATGCTTTATAATTAATGAATGGGGCAGACTGATATCAAGTTTACAAAAAGCCTAATGAATTGCCGGCATGAAATGATATTTTTTTTATTGTTATTTATATCAAGCTTCAAAAAGTAGCTATGAACAAACTAAAACATCATCATTAAATCATTAATAAATATTATAAAACCTGCAAAATATTATTATATCTTAAGAGACACATAAAAAATAATATCTATATCAAGCTCAACTATCTTTGGTGTTTGTAATTGCATCAGTTCGCTTCATAGCAATGCTTAATTTGATATACTCAATTAACTGAATTTTGCTTGAAGCCCTCTATAGTCATATTGAGAAACGTCAAATTAATTTTATGCTTCATGTTCCCTCATTCTATTGTTATCGTATAGAAACATAAAACTTCATTGATTTCTCTCAGTCCGATCGTTTTCAATTATTAAACCGATTCCAGGACAGTCATTGGGCTCCAAAACAAAAATCTTATGTCATATTAACAAGAACAACTTAACACAATATTATAAACGCATACCTTATTACAAAAACCTTGGATGCAAGGTGTTCCATCAGGCAGGATGTCGTTGTGGGCCACGGGAAAGCAAGTTTTATTCAGACTCTTTCGGCAGCAACGTTTACACGCATCCGCAACTGAAATTATTCACACCATATCGTTTACGACGATAGCAAAACATCAAAGATTCAGTGCACAATTTTTTTTTGTTATAATTCCTCTCAATTTTGCTAGTATTTGTCAATGGTTGGGGCTAAGGTGACTCGTGCGTTTTTCGTGCACTATTCATGCGTATACGCTGAGCAAGCAAAAAGATTCCTCGCGAAATGGCTAAATCTCCCAATTCCATACATGGGGAAAGCCTGTGCCCCAGCAGTGGGGGCATTAATAGGCTGATGATAACGAAGCGTAGCACAAGCGGGTGTCCTTGTATGCGGTCTCTGGTGGGTATAGATATTGAAATAGGTACATATATTGATTTGATCAAAGACATTGTACAAAATAAACTTGCACGATAATAATTGCTACAGTTAAATAAACTGTGCCGCAACGCAACTATTAACGCCCACATCTAAGTGACATTGAAGTTCCTTAAACATGCTAAAACAATAAATATTATTCAATGGGTAAGAAAACGCAAAGCTTCGTTCAATACCTACGCTCCAGGTGCAACCAATGTCAATTTTGACATAATTTCTATACATTTTATGTCAAAATTTAAACGTAAAAAGTTGCACTCAGAGCGTAGGTTTAGAACGCAGCTGTGATGGCGCTTTTGCCGTTTGGCACATAACTAGCAACCTGTCACTTCAAGGCTGCGTTCCAAACCTACGCTCTGAGTGCAGAATTTTACCCTGAAGTTTCAATTTTCACATACAATGTATAAAACTTACGTTAGGTATTTGTTCCACCTGAAGCGTAGGTTTGGAGCGCAGCCCATGTCTATCCAAATTTCTCGATTTTCCTTGTGACTTTGACCATGTCTTGATTTGTTGTAACAGGCCATTCGACGCCTGCGCCTCTGGCGGTATAAATTGTCAGTTATCTTCCCCATTGACAAGTGACGACGAGAAGGCTCACCTATGTCACACATGCAGCTGTGCATGCCCTGAGTCTCGCAGTACGGCACGCACGTACCGTTGCGGCACCGTCCGCGCTCCGCACACTCGTGCTCGTCCGCTATGGCCGGCGCCTTTGTCAAAACACATAAGTACTTAAATCTAAAGAAAAGTTTACTAGAAAAAAATCCACGCGGACCAGGCAGGCTTCGCTATCTGGGCGAACGCACTGACCATTATGCCACCGCGGCCTTGACAGCCATGTCGAGCCATGTCCATCGTACAATTCTAGCCTTAGGCAGCAAGGCAGCGCCATCTCTTCGCATTGTAGGTAACCCACAGTGTCAAATGAATACCTTTACAGGTATTATACATTTGAAAGAAGAAATAGCAATCAAAGTTATGTTTTTATTTTATGAGCATTTAACTGCATTGTATATAACCCACAATTGTGGGTTACCTACAATGCGAAGAGATGGCGCTGCCTTGCAGCCTAAGGCTAGAGAAAATTCAACAAGGCCGTCAGAGCCGCGGTAGCATAATTTTTCTAGTAAACTTTTCTTTAGATTTAAACATCTAGCAGTTAAATGCTTAAAAAATAAACATATAAGCATTTCTTTTGAATACTTAGAGCAAGCGCATATTGAGCCACTAAACGCAGCCACCAATCGAAGCCGTGGAAAAATCGCAGGAACTGAACGCGACCACTAGTAGCTCAGTCAAGCCACAGTGGCTCAATGTGCAAGCAGAGCAAGCGCACATTGAGCTACTAAACACGACTTCTAGTGGCTCAGTAAAGCGCGGGGTGGCGGCCGCTAGTGGTTTAGTGGCGGTCTCTAAACCACTAGCGGCTTCGACTGGTGGCTGCGACTAGTGGCTCGACCGAGCCACTAGACGCAGCTACAAAATACTATAAATGGCATGGATTGAGCGACGCTCACATGAAAGTTTAACTCAAAGTAAATTAAACAAAACGTAAAAATCGTTTCAAATATATTTTGATCAGGTAAGTAGTTATGCATGTTCATAATAATCATAATCTTTTTTTCTGAACCATGACAAGTATACAAAATAACAATTTAGCAAAATATATACCCTACTAGCACAGTACATACCTTGGGGCAGTCGGCCGTGGCCCCGTTGCAGGTGGCCTCCCCCTCGCAGGCGGAGTGCGCGGCCTCGCGACACACCACGCCCGGCGGCGCGTACACACAGCCCGCGCAGCAAGGCGAGTTCTTGTCACTACACCGCATCAAACACAATACGTACATACCTCAGAACAACAACTAAAGCATAAAAGGAGTTTAAATTCTCTTAAATACTCATATTTACATATAGACCAAGAAGGAGATAAATATATGTTGCTATGAATGGTTCATAGCAACATAATATATTTATCTCCTATTTGAACTATGAACAGCGTGTGTTCCGCTATACAACCGTCAAATTGGATACCTTTGTATGGCTTGTTACGTCCAATTGGATACCTTGGTTACATTTTAAGATATAAAACAAAAAGCTATCTAAAGTCAAATGTAACTTGCCAACACGCCACCTATACTTTTTGATTGTGTAATACATACTTTGTTTGAAAATCAAATGTCATAGCATTACTTCTTATTCTGATATACATATATTTTTAATCATACGCTTAGGAAAATAATCAGGGTGTGGCAAAAATATCAGCGACTTCCGGTGATAATGTTTAATTTTCAAATGAAAGTAGTTTTCGCTCACATTGAAGCAAATCCCAGTTATGAATTTTCAATTTATGACACGATTGTTTCGACAATTTATAACAATATGCTTTTAATGCCATTTGGAATCGTACCTGCAGACAGCTCCTTGATTTTTCCGTAATTTGCAGTTCTTGTCACAACACATATCATTATCTTCAGTTCCTGGAAGAGAAACCACTGTTTTTGCATACAATGAAATAGTACATTACGATACCTAAGTTGCCTATTACTGCACGGCGTGAAGTTAGCGCCCGAGCGGAGCGAGGGTGCTAAACGCCGTGCAGTATTAGACAACTTAGGCCACAAGTATCGTATACTATTTTATAGCAAGTGTGACATAAACCCGCCCCGGACGCGGGCAAGAGGGGGGGTGGGGGAGGGTTGCGATTAGTGTTTTGAAAGTAAAATTCATATATTGCAATCACAAAGAATTGTAATACAGACTGCAAGTCAAACTCTGAAAAGAAAGAATTCCGGTTCAGATTACCATTTTGAAAGTATATTTCAAAAGGAAAAAATCAAATATCATTACAACAAAATAGAATTTCAATGTATCCATGAACGTTTATTCCTTGATTGGCATAACAATATATTAAACAACGGGAATGAGCTTTATTTTTTGTACTCGTATAATTCAAACAAGAATTCAGCGATCGCACTGATTCAGCAATCGTTTTCCTCAGTCTGCACACTTTTATTTTCGGTGGTGGACGTTTGAGTGACGGTGCACTTATTAATGACTTGAAATGTGTTTCCTTTCATTTTTTCTACATGAGTGAAGTTGGTCAATTCATTTACACACCGTGCAGAAATAGGCAACTTAGGTCACGGAAAAGCGTGCGTAAAGTGCGGGTTTAGGTCACACTTTGCTATAAAAAATATATAACTACACCTAGCGCTCATGGGCGATTAACAGTTTAGGCGGTTAGCTTCAATGTGATATGGCAGAGAGTATAAAGTGTGGAGACTGATTAAGTATATTGTATACACTTAGTATTTAAAGACAAAGTGAAGAAAACACATATCATGCCTTTACGACAATCTCACAAGGTAGAGAGAGACACAAAATGATGTGCAATGGGCCAATTTGATTCCTGACCCACCATAAGCTTATTTTGTTACTACCATTTCAAAACAATAAAGTAGATTTTTGTTTAAATGTGGAAACAAACTTGTTATTTTCTCAACAACCATATTGTGCCAGATTTTGCCGCCTTCCTGTGATATAATTTTGACATTAAAATTATTTGGAGTTTGCCCATGGATTAAGAATTGCCCTATGAGTTTACCAACGTTTATATAATGTTAGTAAATAGAAATACTTTCTGTTACATTGACAATTTTAAAAGCGATTTTAAATTCTAACTGCTATTCGAATTTTATCTATAACATGATCTATTGCATTGAAAATAAAGGTTATTTTTTTCTAATATCTTTGAACCATATTAACAGTTTCCTTATTATTAGAAGGTCCTTAGTGCAATAACGCATTCTCTACGAAGGAAAACTTGTATGTTTTGATATTTTTAAGCGAATTATCGGGCAAGAGGGTCAGGTATCATCAGTTGGTTCGTTGGTACCTTTCCTTTATTCCAATAAAGTAAGAGACTACAGCGTCCTGCCAAGCCAATAGCCTTAAAGTTTATTATGAAATTCTGTGAAACTAAGAAAACAATTGTGCTTATACAATTCAGTTGGTGTTATGGTATCCTGTGTTTAAAGCATATCTTGACAAAACGACACTATCACTCCAATCAAACACCGATACGCACACATATACAATTTAAATTTTAGAACAATTGCTATTGGTTCTCTGTCTAACTTTACATCCTAAATCTATGATTGCAGTACAACATTATTGGACCAATAAAAATAAGCCGCAAAATGAAAACCTTGAAGTTATTGTGAAAAACATTGTTTGTATGAAAAACTATAGAGGACATTTTGAATGAAAGTACACGAATATGACCTTTAGTACCTAATGTGACATTAGATGTTATGTTTAAATAGTCTTGTTAAATATAATAAATTGTCATTTAAATATGAATCTTAAATTAATGAAGTAGGTACCTAGTAAGCCCGCGTCGCATTCCTCGCCGCCTTCGACCCGCAAATTGCCGCAGAAGCTTTCTTCGGGCTCCGAGAAGCATCGGCCCGACTTGGCCTGCAGCACCTTGCGAATGGAGCGTAGGCTGCACGGCGAAAAACGCTGCAATACCATTGTTCATCATTATCAGCCCTTAATGTCTCCATCATTGCTGCAGCATATATGTTCCGTATGAACAGGGTCACGTAAGTATAACGAACCTGTAGCACACCTCAAAAAACTCAATGGGCGAAACCGCAATAGTTTCGATGTGAGTTGTAAGTTCTTTGACGATGAAACAGGACAAAAATTCCCTGTTCTAACGGACAAAACTGATTATGATGATGTCTCTTTCTAATATGATTTCGCTCATTAGCTCAGACGCCGTCAACATCTCCGCTCGTTGGTCGCCATTTCGAAGCGATTCCGCGTACGACATATTCGACAATCGATTTTTTGTTCAGTTAAGAAAGTTTTTAATGCAATTCATTATTATAAAACACATGGAACTGTTGAAAATGTTCTTAGAAGCAGAGGCGGCGTAAGGCGTAGGCGACGTGGGCCACCGCCTACGGACCCCTCGTACAAAAATTTGTATGCATTGCTTAAAAGTGAATTTCTTTTTTTTTATTATTTTATAAAATTCGTCTTCAGGTCGCCACAGAACAGGGCCTCGCGAAATCTGTCTTGCCCACATCAAATTTAGGTAGAAAGACTCAGCCAAGAAAAACCTCTCCCACAGAAGATACGCTAATCGTTTGTGTTGCTAAAAAAGACCCAAGTAAATAAATAAAAACGATTGCGGTGAGGTATGTTACATAATGTCAAGGACTGTTGGTAGCATATAAGTGTAACCCCACACTAGCATTTCTCGAGCTTCGTCGTTGTGCCAAATGGCAGCGTGACGTCGTCGCCGCGGCCACGCGCTGCCATCGCTGGCCCGTTGCCGAACGCCGGGCGCACTCGTCTCACTTTCTCTCTCACTCACGCGTCCAGTGACGCCATTTTTTTTATACACAGTCAGGTCATAAGTATTGTCACAAAGTAAAAACTTTTCTTTTAGAATGCTGGCCACAAAAATGTTTATTGAATTCGAATTTCGAATTGTTCATGAAAATAAAAATGTATACTTATTAGAATTTTACTCATTTTTAAATATGGAGTGGACGCTTAAAGAAGACCGTGTTGCAGTTATTGCGTTGCATCGTTGCGGTTACGCCCCAATTCAAATTTTTGACATACTGAAAAAATTGAATATAACCAAAAGATTCGTTTATCGTACCATCAAACGATACAATGAAGACTCTAGTGTAGATGACAGGTTAAGAAGTGGTCGCCCTCGGTCTGTTAGGACTCCAGCAGTGATAAAAGCTGTGAAGGCACGAATATAAGAAATCTCAAACGTAAGCAGAAACTGTTGGCCCTTCAGATGGGGTTAAGCAGAACAACGGTGAAAAGGGTCTTAAATGAAGACTTAGGGCTTCAGGCATATCGAAGAAAAACAGGACATCGTTTGAATGCTCGTCTAATGGACCTGAGATTGAAGAGATGCCGCGCTTTGTTGAAGCGGTACGCGGAAAAAAATATCGGGAAATTCTTTTTTCGGATGAAAAATTTTTTACCGTAGAAGAGAGCTACAACAAACAAAATGATAAGGTGTACGCACACAGTAGTGAAGAAGCGAGCAACCGTATTCCGCGTGTCCAACGAGGTCATTTTCTATCCTCGCTCATGGTATGGTTGGGAGTTTCTTATTGGGGCTTAACAGAGGTACATTTTTGTGAGAAACGTGTAAAAACGAATGCAGTTGTGTATCAAAATACAGTCCTACGAACCTTGTGGAACCTGTTTCTCATACTATGTTCAATAACAGGCACTGGGTATTCCAACAAGATTCGGCGCCAGCTCATAGAGCGAAGAGCACAGAAGACTGGCTGGCAGCGCGTGAAATCGACTTCATCCGGCACGAAGACTGGCCCTCCTCCAGTCCAGATTTGAGTCCGTTAGATTACAAGATATGGCAACACTTGGAGGAAAAGGCGTGCTCAAAGCCTCATCCCAATTTGGAGTCACTCAAGACATCCTTGATTAAGGCAGCCGCCGATATTGACATGGACCTCGTTCGTGCTGCGATAGACGACTGGCCGCGCAGATTGAAGGCCTGTATTCAAAACCACGGAGGTCATTTTGAATAAACTTTATTGTCATAAGAATCTCTGTTTTGTTAAGTTCATTTTGGTATATAAATGGTTATATAATGAATAAACTTGTTTCAATTATTTTATATTAAACATGTGACAGAATTTATGACCTGACTAGGTAGATAAGTTTGTAGAGAAACTATTCAGGATTTATATAAAAAAATATAAATGAAGCCTGGATGTACAGTAGAACACGAATAGTAAGAGGAAAATCGACCGGTTTTATTTTTATTTTCCGACCGTAAAAAACAGAATGGATGGCTACACAGACCAGTACCCTTGGTAAGTTTCAGTTTTAAGTTTTCGTAATTGTAAATTATGTTTCTATGTCCATTTTGGTGAAAAGTAACAAATTATTCTTAAAAATTAAGAAGACGCAAATGATTTAATGATAGAATTTAAACAATGTTTATTTGTATTGAAACGAAAACAATAAAATCAGTACCCTTAGTACGAGTGCTAGCTCACGAAAACTATCATAGTTTTCGTAATTGTAAACTCGTACTAAGGGTACAGGGGTTAATACACACCTTGTTGTTGACATCATAGCCGCTGACACTATAGGTGTACATGAGGTAAGAGCCGCCCTGACTGGCGGCGGGCGAGCACTCGGCCACGTCGGGGTCGTGCTCGGAGCCCCAGTTGTGACCGAACTCGTGGGCCGTCACCAGATCCGCCTCGCGCGTTATCACCCGCTGCCCGTAGTGATTACGCGACGAGCTCAGACCAGAGTTTAAGTAGAGAGTGTAGCCGTTCTTGAAGTACTCTGTGTGTGAGCAAATAATGTACATAATGGGTTCGCCTCTGACATCATTCTCTTAACCTAAACTTAAATTTGACAACAGTGTTAAGGAGCGACTGATGTCATATTTCGTTTAAAGTTTAGAAAATCATGCCAAAATCGACACCATTGTAGTTATAGAAAAGGTGTCATAAAGAAACTGCATACCGTGGCCTGCGTGGGATGATTGGGTTACATATACAAATACAGTCAAAAATATTTTTTTTGTTTATTTTTTCATATTTTTTTCATAGTTTTATTTTCGATTACTGGAATTCTTTATATGTCATGCATCTGTTTTTTAAATGTTTTTTCTTTCGCAACATTTGTATCAAAATTTTGAGAGGATTTATTAAAGCGTTATATTCCTGCTAGATGTTCAAATCTAAAAAAAATTTTTCTAATGAAACTTTCTTTAGATATAATAAAAGGTTTTAATTTTAAACCATGTAACTTTATAATTTATATAATAAAAATAATCTGTCTACCCTATGGTGAATTTTTGAATAGTGTGTACATAAAATTCTTTTTTATATACTTAATGTACCTTTTCTTAGCACCCCAACCAATCCCGGCACTTAATTTAATATCACACTAAAGTACAAAGCGAGCAGAAATTGTAGACTAAATATAATTTTACAAATGAATACAACGTATCAAAAAGCAAAGCAGGACAAAAACACTTACACTATGGCAGAACAATGCTGAAAACAAAAACAAAACACAAATTAAAATATCATATTTAAAAAAATGTGTAAAAATGGGTGTAAAATTGTAATTAAATAAAATTTAAATTTAATGCATATAAATTAAAGCAATAGTATTTCGTGACGTTTGATATGTGTCAAAATGGCCATTATAGCGTGCGCTGCGCATGGAGCTCCCCCACTAGAGACCGCATCACACAAATTTTGTTTGGAATCAAAATCGCCAAAGTCGGTTGCGTGCAGGGAGGTCAGCCCCGTTGTGATTGGACGCGTCAAGGTCAGATCATATACTCAGTGCAGCGAAGTGATGAGGGTAAGTTCGATTTTAGAAAATATCGATATTTTCTATCGATAAACAATTTAGTATAGAGGTACTTTGGTGCGCGAGTGTAAGCAAATGCGCAAACATAGCTTCTCCACTTTCTTCAAGCGTTCTAATTACATGACGCGACTAGTTAGTTTTTTTTTAAATTGGCGCCAATTGTCTGTGGCATGGTGGCAGTCTCGTTCGAATTGACGAGTTGCTATGAACTCATGCGACTGAAGTGTCATTCCGCTCGCACCGGTCTTTCCGTAAACAAAACAAGTGAATTTTGAGGTAAGAGTTTGAATAATGATTTATTAACATGAGTAAATCGAATTCTAGTGAAACATGGACTTATTTCACACTTTGCGATGCTGAACGAGCTAAATGCAAGCTGTGTAACAATGAATATTCAAGGAAAGGCAGAACTACAACTTCTTCAAATTGTTTTTTTCTAATATTCATATTCGCAAAACATTCGCACAGATTTTGCGAATACGAATGTGATTATTCAAAAATATGCGAATATTCGCGAATGCGAATGCGAATATTCGTTACATCACTACTAGGTACTATTAGTATTTTTCTGCATTATTTCCACGGAGCTCTTCGGCATCTAAACTTTTCAAAGGTCCGCGCGTGACTGTGAACTAAGAAGTGCTTGAGTGGAGTTCAAGCACTTCTTGATTGGGACACATTTTGTTAATTCTATGTCTTTATCTAGGTCATAAACTATGCGCACTTAATTTCATACAAATCCGTTTAACCATTTTAGCGTGAAAGAGTAACAAATTTTTTTTCAAATTGTAGTAGGTTATGATTGAAGTCAAATAAAAACTGTTGGTTGTATACTCATGACATCTGTTATTGTATACGATGAAATAAATGGTTTTTATTTATTTTTTCCATTTCCATAGCTGACAAACTTATCGACAAACTTACGGGTTGAGACATGAGCTGCGTCTGCGTCACTAGCAATACACGTGCCGGTGTGAGAGCGGGTTAGCATATATGATGTAGCGCATGCGAGAAAGGGATAATGTAAAACACATTGACATCAACGCGTTCACCAAAAAATAAATACAATTAACAGCAATTTCATATAACAGTATTTTTGTCTTTTTGTAATGCATTTAAACTAACCAGTGAAAAGTAATACCATCGTTTTGAAGACTGGAAGTTGTACTCAACTTTCCACACAATTTAATTGCACAGTAGGGCATTTTTTAGTTTTTTAACACGAAAACGAGAGAAGCAGTTCGACCAACGCTCGGTTACCGTATGAAACGATGTATCGCGACGTCTTAAAATACTACTTGGCGTAAGCGCTTGCCCTTGTATGCGGACTCTAGTGGGGGTGCTCCGTGGCGCTGCGTTAAGCGGACGTCCGCGCCGCGAGCAGTTTTTATTTCATTTCATAGAACAGCGCTACCCGGGAGACCCGCCTCACGCAGCGCTGCTCTACGAAAAAACATGAAACAAAATTAATTTGAATGATTGAACGACATTTTTATGTGGTACACGTGCATAATAAGCATTATTTATACAGTATAACCTGGATAACTTAAACCTCTACAACGTAAAAACCTCTGTTAATTCATAAAATTTTGTGTTCCCTTCCCCTCGGAGTCCAAAACCTCTTTTACTTAAAATACGAACCCTCTATACCTTAAACGAATAACTTTTGGCATCCAACCTCAGTAACTGTTTTTTTTTAACGACGACGACCTTTGTAACTTCAATCATCTATCAATGTGTTATTTTAAATGAATGTGCAAAGAAAAAAACTTCCTGTAGACCATTGTTATTGCTTACACGCGTTTACCGAAGGGCTTCAAATGTAAACAATACACTTAGGTCTCAGTACAGTAACTTATTTTTTATCATTAGCTTTTAGCCTAGTAGGTAGCGTTTTTGATCCCCCCTCTCCCTTATACTTTATGTCAGTGAAAAACAACCTACAACTTTGATCGTTTATACCTGTATTTTATAAATAATAATAATAATAATAATAATCTATTTATTTCTCTCAAGAATGGTTACAGTCTTATGTTATAAAATACAAAGTATAATTAGCAAATAATTTTAACCTTTCCCGAGACTGGTGTCTGCACTAGGTTGTGAAACCTGTCATACAGATCACCAGGCTCCCACTGCGCCGGTCATCACTTTCATACTACACTATAGTATTCAATAAACTCATTTTCACGAGAGAATAAACGATATCATGTATAATATACTTAAATTAATGACTGTGGTGTGTGTGTGGGGGTGTTTGAGTGTGTGTTTGTTGTTATGTTATGTTTGTGCATGGGTGTCTATTAATGTGTGTTTGTGCGTGTTCGTGTGTGTGTGTGTGTGTTTGTAAGCTTGCATGTGGTGAGTGCGTGTATGTAATGCACATACATTTGCCATACAAAAACCATTAAAACGAAAAATCAAATCCAAAAAATTTAAAAATAAAATGCATTAGAAGATTCAAGATGGAACAGTCAGAAGGTTTTCAGTTTCAATGTACGTTAAGCCCAGAAGCCAGTCACTCAAAGCCCCTTTAATTTCATACCTCGAAAGATGATAAATAGGAATGATTTGATTTATTTTATTATACAACATCGGACCTAAAAAACATGCAAATTTGTGAGAAAAACTGGTTTTGAACTCTTTTATCTGACAAACCTTGCCTTTTTTACGTTTATTAATGTTAAGGAGGGGATTATATGTTAAAGAGCTGTGTGTTCTAATGACAGTGTAAAGGATAAAAAGTTGTCTCACCGTTAGCACCTTACATTTCCGGTATAAGTCCAGAGTAGGATATAAGTACGGCAGAAAATAACCTACCTTTAGAACTGCTCTTTGTGCACGCTCCAGTTTGATAAGGCTAGATTTAGGTATACCACCCCACATCGGAATGCAGTACGTTAATACAGACTGACAAAGTGCTAAATAAGTAAGTCTTATTATTTTTTCATCAGCAACATGGCGCAAGTTCTTAAAAATGTAAATCAATTTTCTGACCCTAGATGTCAGTAAATCAATATGAGAATGAAAACCAAGATTTTTGTCTATGACAATACCTAGATACCTAACTTGGTCCGCATGCTGTAGTCGAGTACAATCACAATCATTAGTGAAGTTTGCACAGGAGTGTGCTATGATTTCGTGGTTGGTGTTAGCTAGATGATTAGTGTTTCTGATTGAGAACGAAATGTATTTAGTTTTGTCTTTGTTCAACGTCAGCAGGTTCCTGGCAAGCCATTTACTAACCAAGTTGAAACCTTTCTGCGCATAACGATAGACCTCATCCCATGTATCACCCTCGAAAAGAATCACTGTGTCGTCAGCGAAAGTAATGATTTTCCCGTTTGTGAGTATCAGCTGACATAGGTCATTTATGAAGGCTTGGAACAGGGTTGGTCCTAAAACGCTGCCCTGTGGAACACCATATTCAACAGGAAGATCACCACTACAGGTATCAACAATTCTAACACACTGTCTTCGCTCAGTGAGATAACTCTCAAAGAAATCAAGCTGTTTACCACGAATCCCAAGTCGCTGCAGCTTGTTTATTAGAAGTGGGACAGAAACCGTTTCAAATGCCTTCGCCAGATCTAAAAATATTCCTATAACCTTTTTATTCTTATCTAGGTTTGTTACCACAAAGTTGGTGAGTTCGTATACAGCATCTGCAGTTGACTTGTTTTTACGAAAGCGAAACTGTGAAGGAGATATTAAATTATTAGTTTCAAAATAACTTACTAGCCTCTTGTTTACAATTTTTTCTAAAATCTTTGACATGGAAGGTAGAATAGATATTGGGCGATAGTTACTGACGCTTCTTCTGTCACCACTTTTATGAATTGGATGTATTACAGCGCTCTTAAAAAACTGGGGGAAAATACCATTACGCAGAGCTAGATTGCAAATATGTGTTAATACAGGTGTCAAATAGGCAAAGTATCTTTTTATCAAGCTGTTCGATATATTATCTATACCCACAGCACAATCATTTTTAAGACTTAGTATAATGAGTCTGACTTCCTCTTCATCGGTTTCAAGAAAGCCAAGCGAGTTGGCCATTAAAATGGTTTGAGCTTCAAAATCAGCCGCATCCGACGCATCCTTGGTCATGATAGCCTCCGCCAAAGTCTTACCAATATTAACAAAGTATTGATTTACCGCATTAACTCCATCCAAATGATTACAGTCCTCTATTAGTTCAATAGGTGCAGTTTTTTGACGCACGGTGAATGTTATTGCCTTAATTACCTCCCACAGCTTTTTTGTATTGCCTTGAGCTTTCTTAATTTCTAACTTTTCAAATTCCCTTCTTGCTTTTTTAATAATTGAATTTGTGTAGTTTCGATATCTAGTGTAAGTGGTCTGTAAAATCTCATTGTTGGGTTGCTTTTTTAGTTTTTTGTGTAAATTATCACGGTTTTTGATACATCTCATAATGCCCCTTGTTATCCAAGGTTTCATGGTACGTTTACGTCTCGGTATCCCTATCAATTTAGTACAGCTTCTAAGCATATTATTTAGAGTAGTGATAAGATGACTAACTGCCCGATTCACATCTGTCATGCCCAAAATTAAGGGTAGATCACTATTATCAAGAGCTAATTCTAAGGATGTATAGTCAACCCGTTTGGTCACCCTATTTAAGTTGGAATGTGATTTTTGGCGATCTAAGCTTAAAAGGACACTATAGTGATCAGTTATTGTGGTATGCGCGACGAGACACCGAGCAGGCAGTTTGGTTTTAAGTATAACGTGGTCAAGACATGCATTGGTATGTGTGGGTATATGGTGAGCTGATAACATACCGTGACATGCAAGTAGATCAAGATAAGGTTGAACCCTTGGATCAACAGATTCACCGGAAATATCAATATTTATATCACCCGTTAAAATAACAGTGTGAAATGATGCCAGCCAGATGCCATAAATATTTTAAACAAAATAATAATATACTAAAAATACACGTGATAAGTTGGGGGTTAGTTTTAAACATTGGTGATGTATCAAAGTTAGTATCGAAATTGTAGGTTGTTTTTGACTGACATAAAAATAATGAAAGAAATGAGAAAAACTTATATTACGTGATTTTTATGGACCCCTCCCTTTCGAGCCTCACGTGATTAATGGACAGCCCCATAATTCCTAAACATAGCTCATAAACGAACCTCTGTAAGTAAAAATATAAACAAATAAAAGTCCTTAACTCAAACACTTAGTAAGTAAAAACCTCAATAACTCAAATTATTTAACTTTTCCCTTTGTCTTTATCTTATCGAGGTTCTACTGTATTATTGATGAATTCGGCGCATTCTTCTACACATAAATGCACAAAATTGGGCAGAGTTGTATGGAGAAAAGAATGGATCCTTTACTAATAAGGAAACTGACCTTATTAGTAATAAATGTGTGAAAACACTGTGAATCAGTAAAGAGTTAATAGCATATATATAATAAGTACCTGGAGTACATATCCCGCCCACAGAGTTGCGTCTTGGCGAGCCCACGTACGCAAGACCCAAGATTCCGCCTTCGAACTTAAGGTCCGTGAACAGGTGAGCCAGGCAAAAGTCCTTGTGAGAATACTCGCGGCTAAACACCTAAAATAAAAACAACATGCTGCAGGACAAAAAAACCATACCCAAAAGTATGGTGCTATTCCAACTTTATTATAGAGGCTGTGAATATAGTAGAGAGCGCAACTAATGCGCAGGGTTCAGTTCAGTCACATGCCGCTTGCGTCTACAGTGCGACACGGATCTTTATGAATTTGACTGACAGTTCAAAGAGGACGCTGCTGTCTCCGTAAGTTACCTACATACAAAATATGACGTCTGCAAAGACGGCGGTGTTAGTTCCAATTTTCGCCACCCATCATCCAACATTTCGTTTGCACCGCGACTTGCGACTGCCATTTAGTTTGAATCGCATATTTTCGCAATAGCCGGTCATTGGATGGGTGGTTCGATCTCCTCCGTGCTTCGGAAGGCAAGTTAAGCCGTTGGTCCCAGCTGCATCTGCTGTGATAGGCACCCACTAATTCGTGGGTCATGACGAATTCTCCCTATGCCATCTATAGGGAAGGCCTATGCCCTAGCAGCGGGTTCATTAATAGGTTGATGGTTTCTCGAATGAGAAACTCCATCATTTAAAGTACAATATATATATATATATATATAAATGAATATTTATACCCACACTCCGGTAAGAATTATAAAAATAAATAAAGAAACAACATACTTCTAGCAAGTTCCGCACATCCCACTTCTCCCGCACCATGTTGTAGTGCGCTTCACCGCCGCGCACGCGAGTTGGCTCCGAATGCACTAAAATTTTCTTGATCACAAAACCCATGCCTTTGAAACCATCCATATCCTGCTCAAAACATTTTTTGTAGACACTTGAATTTGTAAGCTACTATTTCATTTAGTTTTATATTCTATTCAAATTCCTCTGAGACAGAATGGTAAACAAATAAACCAATGTTGTAACCAGACACATTACAAAATTTTACATTTCAACGTAAATTATTATTCGCTTGATCACTTTTATAATGCCTTCAAAGTTTGGAAATAGTTACAGTTTTTTTTATTGTCACTTTTTTAAATTACGATTTTAATGTGTTTAAAATTCGACTTATCAAAAACACTTTTTATGGTTTGTTTGGATTTTGTCTCAGTAGAAGATGAATAGAAACAATAATACCAACCTGCCGATCTTGCCAGACAGTGTCATTATATATTTTGTGAACACGATCAATGAGGCTTATCTGGAATAGAATTCTCTTTAATATATATTTATTTTAACATGTACATGTTAGATACATTTCAATAATATGATTGGTATACATTTATTGGCCTTTGCTGTATTCCATAAAGAGTTTAGCATCAAACCAAATAAATACGAACTTTTTATACTTAATAAATCACATTTTGGCTAGCTAGTATACATACCAAATAACTGATAGTGGATTTTGTGTTGCTGGAACCCATTTCTTGGAAAAATCTATAATCAGCTACAAGCAATAATGGACACCTTGTTTTAGTCGGAGTGTATTCATAATCACTCTGCCTCTTCACTCTATGGTTTTTATCATTTTGTTTTTTATCTGTGTGCGGATCTGTATTATAGATATTGAAATCTGTCTGATTGAGATATTTGTCCTTTTCTGATTGTTCATATCTCAATTTTGTACTATCTGCTCCAGTTATTGTATCATCATCTTCAAATTCTAAAAAAATCAAATAGGGTGTTACAACCATTTTTGAAAAGTGTCTCATTTAAATTCTAAACAGCAAATATGCTACTAAAAAACCAACATTTTTATTCAATAATTAAGTGCCTTCATATGCATTTAAATATAAAATATTAAAATTTCGCGTGTAGTTAAATGATAACGCTGGACGCAGTGGACGCCAATTTGCTCTGCGGTCTTGACGTCATTAGTACTGTAGATAAATGCGTTAAATAAAACATTAAAAATGCTGAGTTGACAGCTGACACTTTGGTATATACTTGCGGTGTGACGTAATAATGTGGCGGCTACTACGTCTACAATTTCATCGTGTTTTAAAACAGATTACAAAACTGAAAACTTTGAATTGAATTATAATATGCATTTTGTTATTTTATGAACTGAAACTAACATTTTCCGACTCCACTCCTTTTTGCTTAAACTATCGCAATAATATATTTACAAAATTTTCGTAAGTAAAGTGAAATATTGTAGCCTGTTATTATTGTAGCTTTAAACTATATCGATCGAAACTATCGGCGCCTATTCGCTGTCGAAAGGAGTCTTACCAGTGGAAGTCCCGTGGTCCACCTGTTTCGTTTTTGCATACCAAGTCGCCTATACTGGTATGGGAGGAAGGAAATGCAAGTGTGAGCGAGTGATTTTGTTTGATACACTTTCACAGCTAAACCACTGAATTGATTATGCTGAATTTTGGTCTAGGTATAGATGGATAGCATAGGCTCATTTAAGTCATGCAAAGTAAACCCATTGAAGTTACGCATTTAACTTATACAGACTTCATTACACCTATCAAATAAATAAGTAAAAAATAATAATCACTACAGTTACAGTGTTAGGCGTCGTATTAAAGAAAATCTAGTTTGTATCTAATTAGCAGAGATAAAGCTTAAGTTAAGATTCTAAACTACTTTAAACAACTCCGGGTTGGTGTCTACCGAAACTGAAAGGTTGAGACGCTGAAAAGTGTTGATTATCTTAGAACTACCGGAGCGTTGAAACGGTCACACACAGTACTGTCGACAGTATTTATGTGCAGTAAATACAGCTTGCCACAGAGGACCGACACCCAAGGAACACACAGACTGAAGCGCAACCATTATTTACTACACAGATTAACTTCCATCAGGACATCCGAAATCCAATTACGTAGTCTAATTAGAATGCTGTAAGATGGAAGTTTGCTAAGAAAGCTGGCATGCCACACTATAGAGACAAAAATTGGTATGTTGGGGTTGGCCAAATTCTGGTATGGTTCTCTAAACTCAAAACTTATTTAACAACAGTCTCTCCTTTTCATTCACTATACAGCATGATAAGGATATACTATTACAAAATTTCGTTTTACGTTTAGAGAATCATGCCCATCTCAGGCCCATTATTCATATTACTTATCTACTTTACCAATAAATTCTCTTACTCACCTTTACCCTCTTTTACATAGCCACACACCCGTGGTTTACTGTCACCAGTATGGTCATGATCAGCCCAGCTATAGCGGATATCTGATGAGCGATAGGTGATCATCGTTTTCTCATCATGCCCTGGTATGTGGCGCCATGACGGCTGTAATATAAAACACTATATTGCTAGTCCAACAATTTTATATTTAGCTGTTCGAGTTGAGCCTACGTTTCTTGTACCACATATGCTTGAACAAGAAAGTAATCATCAATTCGCTTCTAAAACCTGTGCGTGATGCTGATGACGATGCTGTTGTTGTTCCTTTCACTCATCGTCATCATGGTGGTGCTAGCACTTAGGTAGCTTTTCCTTCAATTTATTGGACAAATAATCAAGATGGTTTTAATGGACTCCTTTTTTTAGAGTTTTTCAAAAAAAATCCACATTTGCACATTAGAATCATTTTTTTGGATTATACATCATATTGTAATTATTATACATATAGCAATAGATTAAAACTACTTGACTGCCACTGGAAGCTTTATTTATATTGAGGCAGAAGGGCCTATTCCTTCCATATCCTGTAAGATTTACATCAGTTTCCATACTTTTATTCACTCGACTCGCACTTGGCGTTTTTTTTATTATTTTCTTGCCGAATTTCTTATGTTTTCGCCACCTGTCACCACTGGACCAGGTACAAGGTGAATAAAAGTATGGAAATTATGTACATATGACGGGAAATGGAAGGGCCTACCTCAGTATAAAGTTTCCAGTGAGGTTAGCATTTTAATTCAGGTAAAATGCTGCAAATAAATGGTGTTATACTGACCTCTATATGGTAAGTTTCATCTGGGGTGTGAATTATACCCGTGAGAACTCCATCTTCCATATGTACTTTGACATCAGATGCTTTTTCACCAAATACTCTGCCTGTATAGAAATTGTCTCTGTCTGTAAAGGGAACAAAACAAATTATTAATTGCATGCCATTATGTGTTAATACAATTTTTACTTATCAGTGATGTCACAAGCTCCCACTCCCAAACTTTGACATACCCCATTACTTTACCCTGTCACCATCCCTATTATTAATAAATTTACTTTTTTACAATATTATGTCAAATATACCTAATTCACGATTTGTAATTAAAACTTTTTTGGCTCAGCTTTCCATTCCATTCCATATGTAATTGAGTTGCAAGCTGAAATTTTTGTCACGCAAAGTGTTAACTATTAAAAACACGTACACGAAATCTTTTTAGGCGAAAACGAATAGAACTCTAAAAAAAAATTATTGAAAATTAATATTTTTGTAGGTTATGAGTCAATTTTGACAGCAATTTTGATCAGTGCTGCCATTTTTTTATGCAAAAATAACATGTTTCTCGTTGTCTATGGTAAATATAAGTTTATTATGTTGGTACTGTTGTCAAAATGTGACAATTTACCGCCATTAATGAGATCTGCCAGTCAGTGTTTGTGTTCGTCACAGTTGAGAGCTTTTTCGTACTCCTGTTGATATTAACGTCATCTGACTACCATGGCATCCTCAAAGCCTTCGACCTCGAGTTCTGCTGGCCCTTCGCCTGAAGAGTCGAGTGTAGTGCGAGTTTTGGACTCTAATGAGCCGCTTGTGTGGTGATACTTCACACTAGGTTAGGTTAGGTTAGTGTTGTGACCTTAACGCGCGAGCCGAGCGAGCGAAGCGAGCGTGCCGCGGCAGCGGCCGGCGAAGCGCCAGAAAGAAAAATTCGTTAATAGAGACTTTTTCTACAAAAAAATCAAATATCATCTCTAGGCCCTGGAAGTACAGTTTTACCTTTAAAACCCCTCTAATTTTTTATAATTATCATTTCTGTAAAAAAACGAAGGAAGGGGGGAGGGGGATTTACCCTTCCCTCTGAGGGGTCTTCCCTAATACCTATCCCCCTGAAATTCCACTACATTTAACCATATTTAATGAATTTTTAGGTTAGGTAAAAAAAAAAACTGCATTTCCGCCAAAAATCTTTTATGGCGGGGGGGTCGGGGGGAGCCCCCCCTCCACCCCCCCTACAAATTACCCCGAAATTCAATTACATATAATAGAATTAAGTACCACTTTTTTTTTAACTACAAATAAAGCACACACAGTTTCCTACAATCATAATGTAAAGCTGTTACCCAATTATATAGTTAGTAGTGGCATCAATGGCATACAAAAACCAATCATCCATTTTTTTTTCAGTGATCAATGAAAAGAAGAGTGTGTATCCATTCACTAAATATGGTAACACCAAGTGTTTAGTCCTGAGATGAATAGGGTTATCAGTATAGGATTTTGATATATCAATACTGAACACACAATTTGATGAAGATAATAAGGTATTACTTCACAAGAATGCTATTGTAATAATATTGCTAACTGATATCAGTTACAATTAAGTATATAAGTTTACTCACACAAGAAATCTCTAATACAGGTTACATTTAAGAGAAAACAAATTAAATTTCTTACCAACATGAACAGTTGTTTCTTTTCCATCCCCATCAACAGAATATGCTTTGAAATTGGAATGTAAGACTGAGCTATGCGGATGAAGGATCAGTCTAAAATCTTTGCCAAGAGTTCTGAAGTGCAACTCTTTAATTGTATTATAAGGGTGAGTAGACAATTTTGCGCCTCGCTTAACAATGTGATGCTGCAGACTTGAAGTATGAATTGTCTCGAAATACTTCAAATTTTTATGAATGGAGCCTGCAGAAAAATAAATTCTTAAATACACTTCCCATTTGACAAAAACAATACGCAGAGGTTTATGTATGTACTCACATTCAAAACATAATAATAACACTGAAATGTGCATAAAAATTACAAGAATTATCATGTTCAACAAGGCAGTTCTGTCACTTTATTAATTTAAATTTATTTTAGTTTATAATGCTGGAAGCAATATAAACTGGATAAATCAAACCTAAATTTTATGAAATTATATAGCGGCCGCTTCGTCCATTATACACACTTTGCTGTACAGACTTAAATTAAAATAAAAATATACATAAGTTTTTGAATAAACTAGAGATCGCCAAAATCCCCAAAAACACTGGCTGGACCGCGTTCCATCCATTCCAAAAACCAGGATCAAATCAACAAATGTCAAATTTAATTTTTAATGTGTTTCATAAATTTTATGTTCAAATTATAACGTCAGCGTTAATAGTTGCACTTGAGCTTACGTTTGGAACGCACCCCAGCAGATTTTTTTAACGTTCTCCCTTTTAAGGGAAGGCAAAGAGAAAAATTCTATACAGCCTAATTTCAGTTTTCTTTTTTTCCAAGAAACATTAGAATGCGTCACACCCACATTCTAATGTTTCTTAGAGTATTTGGCACGAAATGTATCGAATTGCTTTTTTGATAGGCTTTTGTGAGGTAGTCAACACTACAATAAAGTTCCCTGTCAAATTTAAGTTTAGGTTTAGGGAATCATGTCAGACAGAATCGACACCAATATCCACTATGAATGCAATAAAGAATAATTAAAATAAGACGCCGACAGCCAAAACCTCCACAGCCCAGCTGACATACAGTCTGCGTTCAATACCTACACTCCACGTACAACCAATTTGACATAAGGCCATACATTATTTGTCAAAATGACAAACAAACTTATGAAACGCGACGCCACGCCAATATTTTTTTATTCATAAAGGAAGGTGTAAATAAACCTATTTTATTTCCTATTACTCGTTCCCGAGATAACTGCATGGATTTTACATACTTAGTAATCCTAATTTTCACCTTCTCCTTCACACACATTCTATGTGAATGTGGGCCTCTTATCCACAGACGTACTATTTGTTTGGGACGACCTTAAATTAAAACAAAAAGGGATGGCTCCGCTTAAATTGTGGTGCATGACCACAATTCGCTTTAGTCACAATTGGACATTCAAACACGCTGCATGTGCAATCAATATAACAATATTGCATATATTCTGTGTTATAAACATAAAACAATGCCTTCAATGCTTTTATAAAGAAAACAAATAGATCAAGAATAAAATAAAAAATTGCACGCCAACACTTTTTATTCACAAAACTATGATAACATTTTTGAACATCAACACAAGAATGTTATTTACTTTTACGCCATTTGTTATCAAGAAAAGGACAACAATACAGCTCAGCCGTTTGTAGAGAGAGAAAAGACAACGCAGTCGCCAAGCCAAGCGATGCGGACTCACCGTTTCGCTCGCGCTGCGTTGAAGCGTACAGTACCCTTAGCACGAACCAATATCGAATTCGTATCGTTTGCGAGTCCGAAATGTCACTGTCAAATGTGTATTGATTTTTAGTTCTCGTTACATACTTTGAGCCGCTGTTGTTCAAGTTTCCATACAAAATTTGACATTGACATTTCGGTTTGCAAACTATTCGATTTCGATATTGGTTCGTGCTAGGGATAATGTACCCTTAGCACGAACCAAAATTGAAATTTCTGCTGTTCAAGTTTACATACAAAATTTGACAGTGACATTTCGCAGTCGCAAAGATTCGAATTCGATATTGGTTCGTGGTAAGGATACTGTACCCCTAGCACGAACCAATATCGAATTCGAATCGTTTGCGAGTCCGAAATGTCAATGTCAAATTTTGTATCGAAGCTTGAACAGCAGCGCCACAAAGTACGTAACTAGAACTAAAAATCAGTACATATTTGACAATGACATTTCGTACTCGCATTCGATACGAATTCGATATTGGTTCGTGCTAAGGGTACTGTTCTGTCTAGCTCGCTCAATTGAATGTTTCTTTTCAGAAGTGTGCGTGCGTGAAAGTTGCTTATATAGTTATTATAGTGTAGCTTATTTTATATGAGCGTACGCTGTCTTCCCTTTTTGTTTTAATCTAAGGTGAAACATAATACGCCCAGGGAAATCACATCCATAAAGCTAGAAACTTTTTGAGCTTCTTGGAAGCTGTCGGCTTTAAAGAGGTATTTTAACTTGGTGGCGAATCACAATAGATCTTCTAGGTCGCAGTGACTGGAGTTCCATTAGGACTGCATGCATAGCCCCAAAAAATCTAAAATAATATAATCCCCCATTCTTACACTTAATCACACTCTAAAGGCGCCCCCTGTCAATGGTGTAAATTCTGGCATGATTCAGAACTGAGTTCAACATCAGTCTCTCCTTTTCATTCGGTATAGAGAATGACAACGATATACTGTTGTCAAATTTAATTTTATGTTTATCAAGCCAAACTTTTATTATGAATATATTTTTAGTTTTATTTGAATATCCACTACTGCATATCTAATAGTGAACAACCTGAAATAAAACTAATTGTTAAATATTAGAATTTTATTATGGTTATAAACTTTGATTGCATAAGTACATACATATTTGAAACCACTTTGGTGTACAATAAAATATGCTTACTGCCTACGAGTTTTTCTCATTACATTAAATAAATTATAAATATTTTTGAAATTAGTTGAGTGCAGTGGAGGTGAGTAAAGCGACGCCCCTCTCGTAGAAGGCGTGCGGCTCTTGTCCGGGCGCGACGGGCAGTCTGACGGTGAACAGTAGCTCGGAGCGCGCGCTGTTCAAGTACACGGGCAGAGTAAGCGTTTGGCCGCCGCACGCTGGCTCCGGACCGCTGCGAATAAACAAAGGTTTTTATAACGTAAACGTTTATTAGGTTCTTCATCATCAGATTATTAATGTTCCCACTGCTGGGGTACAGGTCTTCCCTATGAATGGAATAGGGAGATTGAGCCATGCCCCACCACGAGGGTCCAGTGCGGATTGCTAACGACTGCAGATGCAGCCGGGACCAACGGCTTCACGTCCATTCCGAAGCACGGAGGAGGTCGAAATAATAAATTTTTGGTCACCCAGTCAGTGATTGCAAAAGTTGCTTAATTTCATCGCTCGCAGCCTAACGCGCTAACCACTTGCGCCATTGAGCTCATCGTCATTGTGTTGTTAAGATTTCGTAAAAAATGAAAGATTTCTGCATTGTAACTAAGTTTACGATATCCCCACACTGGTAGTAGGGGAGCCCAGGATTTTAGGATTTACTCGAGCGCGGCAGAATAATATAAAGGGGGCAACCTTGCACCTTGTGAAATATTCCCACCATACCAGAGCCCTTTACGTCGCGCCAAACGTCTAGGGCCGCAAAAGTATAAATAAACAGATCATGTTAAGAAGACCATAATAAGTGGCGTATTTATTGATTTATTTATACTTTAATGCACAAATGAGTGTACAGATAAGTGTACAAATGGCGGACTTAATGCCATTAGGCATTCTCTACCAGTCAACCGGAGAATAATAGCAAAAATCTTAAGAAGGTAGTGCAAAAAGAATTCATTAAATTATTTATTATAATTAAAGTATAGGTATTTATAGAAACAAATAATATATATATACCACATAAAATACATATCTATATAAATACATAAATAATAATTAATATTTAAATATATAGGTCTATACATACAAATCAATATCATTCAATCATTTATACTAACCGCAGCCACGTGAGCACGGTGAGCGGCAGATCCACCATGATAGTGTTGGTTAGAAGCAATCTGTTCCCGCGTACTGTGGCGCCCTGCAACTTCAGGCCGGTTACGGAGAACGACCACTCGGACTGGGCGTTCTCAGTAGCAGTGCCCGGATCCGGGATAGTCACCTGATAAAGACAACAGTTAATTAGTTACTGCTGAACAGTATTATGCGACGAATTAGAAATAATATGGAAGTAGAAGAAAACAAAATACCTAATTTGACAAATGAATTCAGCAATCCATCCATTGGGTAAGATATTGGTAAACGGAAATCCCAACCAATCCCGTAATCAGCGTGTTGATAGCATTTTTTTCGCATAGCCAACTTGATCGCAGTTTGCGTGGAACCACTTAACGCAGTTCGTATTCCATATTATTTCTGATGCGTTGGTATTATGTACCTAATTTGTGCTAGCACAATCAAGCATGCCAATTCTCAAATAAATAATGCTTGTGAATAATAAAAAAGTGATCGATCCTACTAATAATTTAAATGTGAATGTTTTTATGTTTGTTATTCAATCACGCAAAAACAGCTGTACGGTTTTGGATGAAATTTGGTACGCATATAGTTTATGACTCGGATAATTTTTATCCAGGAAAAAACTAAATATAATGCGAAGTCGCGCGATTCGAGTGCGAGTCGCGAGTGAATAAAATACAGATAAGTAACATTCGAATTTTACTTGAATGCGGTTATCAACACCGATTTGTACTTAATCTGCTTTACTGAGTTAATCTCACATCTTATTAACAACACTTACTTGCAAATGCAACTCCTCGAGTGACCATGAATTAGCTTGAGCGACGCATTGGCGCGTGGCTGTAATATACGCCTCTGGGTTCAACAGACCGCCCAACCACACCGGGACACTCTGTAACAGTATATTATAAAACATTCATTGACATATAAAAACAAGCAGACTTACAAAGCCGTTCAAAAAGTCTGAAAAAGAAAATAATAAGTCCCGCCAATTAAGAATTTCACTTCGGAATGTATGAGGTAACTAGGAAGGTTTCACTGGCCTGCTTGCTAATAAACGTTAACGGAGAGCGATTAAGCAGTGTATTGCTCTTAACAGACAAGTTTTGGGCTACATCCAGTTCATATTAGACGCTAACCATTAAAGCATTAATAATTGTACTATAAAGTACAATAGGACGTTCGACGAATTTTCATTTGATAACAATTACTTAATCGTCTGTAAGTGTAACTGTAAGTATAATCTGCTGAAGCATTTAGAAGCTGGGTGCCTCACAGACCTATCCAGATTAATTGTCAATATTTACAGATTACTGCCATATAATTAAACAGAGGACTCTGTGTCCTATGATATCTAAATCCATGAACATTTTCACTGATTATTAAGTAGGTAAAGTTAGAAAAATCTATTATTTAAAAGAGTTGTAATACCTACTTGTAAATTATCAAGGTGGCGATTATTTATTAAAATACACTATTCTTTTTAAATGAGGGCCTACAGGTTTATCTCAGAACTATGATTAGTCTATTGAAGTTATATTTATAATTTTTAAGCATGTAACTGCTAGATGTTTAAATCTAAAGAAAATTTTTCCCGAAAAAAATCCACGCGGACCAGGCAGCACACGGATATTTGGTAGTCTAATGAAGTTGCTTTTATGAAATTTATTGTTAAATTTTATAAATAACATCACTATTATTTAAATTAATTAAATTGATAAATATATTATGGGTAAATTAACAAAGAATTTTGATTTTTTTTTTGAAAACCTGATAACTGAAAAACTGACAGCACTACGGCAAGGCTAGCGCCGCTGCTGAGTAAGAAGAGAAAATTGTAAGTAAAGCTATACCTTTAAGTACTACATACTGTCAAATACACCACAGATTAACAAGGATCACAAGGCACCTTCTTCATCCAAACGCTGTGTGTTTTAATCAACAAATAATATCTGTTTGATTGTATAGTGCGATAGCACTATCCCCCGCACTAGGGACCCTACCATGGCGCGCGTCTCGTTGGCTGTATTATATACCTGCAGCCGCTGGGCGCCGCGCTCGGCCACTGCCTCCGACACGGCGGCCAGCTGTGTGACGCGCTGCGCGAAGTCCCCCACCCACTGCTGCACGGTACAGCCGCGCGCGACCGCGTAGCGCCGCCAGCTGCTGGGCAGCATCCCCCGCACTAGGGACCCCACCATGGCGCGCGTCTCGTTGGCTGTATTATATACCTGCAGCCGCTGGGCGCCGCGCTCGGCCACTGCCTCCGACACGGCGGCCAGCTGTGTGACGCGCTGCGCGAAGTCCCCCACCCACTGCTGCACGGTACAGCCGCGCGCGACCGCGTAGCGCCGCCAGCTGCTGGGCAGCATCCCCCGCACTAGGGACCCCACCATGGCGCGCGTCTCGTTGGCTGTATTATATACCTGTAGCCGCTGGGCGCCGCGCTCGGCCACTGCCTCCGACACGGCGGCCAGCTGTGTGACGCGCTGCGCGAAGTCCCCCACCCACTGCTGCACGGTACAGCCGCGCGCGACCGCGTAGCGCCGCCAGCTGCTGGGCAGCATCCCCCGCACTAGGGACCCCACCATGGCGCGCGTCTCGTTGGCTGTATTATATACCTGTAGCCGCTGGGCGCCGCGCTCGGCTACTGCCTCCGACACGGCAGCCAGCTGTGTGACGCGCTGCGCGAAGTCCCCCACCCACTGCTGCACGGTACAGCCGCGCGCGACCGCGTAGCGCCGCCAGCTGCTGGGCAGCATCCCCCGCACTAGGGACCCCACCATGGCGCGCGTCTCGTTGGCTGTATTATATACCTGCAGCCGCTGGGCGCCGCGCCCGGCCACTGCCTCCGACACGGCGGCCAGCTGTGTGACGCGCTGCGCGAAGTCCCCCACCCACTGCTGCACGGTACAGCCGCGCGCGACCGCGTAGCGCCGCCAGCTGCTGGGCAGCATCCCCCGCACTAGGGACCCCACCATGGCGCGCGTCTCGTTGGCTGTATTATATACCTGCAGCCGCTGGGCGCCGCGCTCGGCCACTGCCTCCGACACGGCGGCCAGCTGTGTGACGCGCTGCGCGAAGTCCCCCACCCACTGCTGCACGGTACAGCCGCGCGCGACCGCGTAGCGCCGCCAGCTGCTGGGCAGCATCCCCCGCACTAGGGACCCCACCATGGCGCGCGTCTCGTTGGCTGTATTATATACCTGTAGCCGCTGGGCGCCGCGCTCGGCTACTGCCTCCGACACGGCGGCCAGCTGTGTGACGCGCTGCGCGAAGTCCCCCACCCACTGCTGCACGGTACAGCCGCGCGCGACCGCGTAGCGCCGCCAGCTGCTGGGCAGCATCCCCCGCACTAGGGACCCCACCATGGCGCGCGTCTCGTTGGCTGTATTATATACCTGTAGCCGCTGGGCGCCGCGCTCGGCCACTGCCTCCGACACGGCGGCCAGCTGTGTGACGCGCTGCGCGAAGTCCCCCACCCACTGCTGCACGGTACAGCCGCGCGCGACCGCGTAGCGCCGCCAGCTGCTGGGCAGCATCCCCCGCACTAGGGACCCCACCATGGCGCGCGTCTCGTTGGTCTGCTTCATTTCACCCTGCGAATGAAAAACAAACAGTACGTTAACTATAACCGCTCGCAGTTTCGCTGAGAAAAAGCGCACGAAATGTAAAGGGGTCGTCCATTAATCTCGTGTATTTTTTGGCATTTTTAACCTCCCCCCCATACTCCTTGGTGATACATGGTGGATTTTTTGAGTATCTACAAAGAATCTTATTTATTTTTATATTTATAATATAAAGGTATAAAATATAATGTAATTTTATAATTGAAATTTAAAGACTACAATAATAAAGTTTACAGGTGGACAGAAAGTTTGCAGAATGTTTTTAACTTACAACTTTTGTACTAATACATGAACATTATTTAATGTACAGTATCAACGGACCATGGAAATACACGTGATATATTTACAACACCCCCTTGTGATATTTCTAGATTTTTTATTTCGCTCTTGTGTTGTTAAATCTGATACTCCAATGACCTCATAGACATAGTTTAATAAAATATCTGTAGATTTCTTAGTTGCAGGTTTAATTTTAATTGGAGGGTGTTTTTTGAGGTAATTAAATAAATCCGAATTTCTAACTGTACTACCGTTTCCTGCAAAAATTAAAAGTTTGTTCAGGCAGGGGTAGTTTGGGGTAAACATTTTTATTGAATACCATAATACAGGCTTCCAGTTATCTACCAGAATAAAAAAATCCATATTCTAATATGTTCCTTGTAAGATACAGGCTTTAAAATAAAATAAAATAAACTAAATTTTAAGCTAATTTTTGAATATTTATTCTAAACTACTATAACCACAGAACACAGAAAGAGGTTAGAAGGGTGATGAGCGATCGCCAGTATGAAAACCGATGTCGCCGGCTCGCCCCCACTACACTTCCAGCTAACAGATAATAAGCCAATCAAACGACGCGACATCAAGCAACCGAACGAATCAGCGCTCACAACACACAACAGCCGTGTCTGTGAGCGTTCATTCGTTTACACCGATTTTTCGCTAGAGGTGAGCACTGAGTCGATGAAATATTATCGATATTAAATATGCCAAGTGTGAGTTGGACTTGACTTGATAGTATGGTAATTTTTGTATCCTGTCAAAGTCAGTAAAAATACAGAAAAAACAGATAGTTATTTATTGACCTTGAAACAATATATATTTATTTAAAAGGTGACGCTTTGTTTCTTTTTGAAAGTTATTTTTCAATAAGAAATGTAGACGGATATCTATGTATTTTTCTTTCATTAAATCTGTTACGTGGTTAGAATATGGGAATTCACCGACTTGATGAAATGATATGTCATCAAATAATGAAGTGCCAATAAACTTTTTTAATATTTTTGGGACAATAATTTGTTTTTGGACATTTTTCAAATTATCTGTATGTTGTCGTATTACAGTTTCTGCACTTTCGCATATTTTTATATAATAAATGCACTACCCAACACAAAAAGATTTTTTAAATCGCATCAGTAGTTCCTGATAAAAGCGCTTTCAACCAATTAAACAAACAAACTATTTAGCTTTATATTTATATTGTATATACATTTACAATCAGCTTTTATTTATTTATAAAAGTTACTTTAATTCCATTATTAGGTGCTAAAATTCCATCGATAAAATCTATCGACAATGTAAAGTGTACGACGCAAGACACCACTAAAGTTGTGGTAGTTTGTACCTACTGTGTGCAATGACCTTGTACTGCATGCGGCCACGTGCAGCGCTTTGTAGTCCATGCGTCATTCTTGCTCGAACCTTACTACATTACGTGTTTTGAACGTCGTCGAAAGAATGACGAGCGTACTTTGTCAGCAATGAATATTTTTATGAAAATATATATGTGATTTATCGTATAATTAGTATTTCACGAATTTTTACTAAAATATCAGTCTAACTAAGAAGTTTTATACATACCGATGAAAAGAAATTCCTGCTTTAGGTAGATTTGATGTTTGACTCCTTGCTTTGCAAATAATTACAGCACACGAAGGCATATTTTAAGCGATAATCACAATACTCTCTCACTGAACGTGCGCGAGCAACTAAACGACGCGATCGCGCGTAACGGTTAGGTTATGAGCATTTGCTCATAACTGGGACGCGCCTGCCCCGCCCACAAGGCCATTCTAACCTCTTTCTCTGTTCTGTGACTATAACCATTGACAGTTACAAAGTGCTATAAAAAATTAAGTACATACCTTGTATAATGTGCACCATATTTATTAATACGCAATAATGCACTGTATAAGTCACAACAAACAAATAACTGTGCGTGAAAACAGGAAGTAAATAGAACAAATCAGTACAATTAGCTCTCGCACTGCATTTACTAGCTGATAATCTCAGTAATGACTTACCTTCAACCGTTCATATTAAACAAGAATATGAGGTAAGTACCCCCAATCACATCTCTATGATTTGTTTTAACTACCCTCACAATGTCAAATTTGAATATTATCCACCTAATATCTCATTATTGATCACTGTGCGCCGCGTCTATAATATAATAACAACCTTAGTATACAGTCTTTACATAACCTGACTATAAATAATAAGTACATACCTAGACGAACTACAGCTATGGCTTCATTTTTTTAACAGTTATCTTGCCAGTGTTACTTGATAGTTGGTTTGGGAACGTGCAGTTCAATTTCTGTATCCGTCCATGGCACATACCTACATTATCCTACATTTCGTTTATTGCGCCGCGACTTGAGCTGACACAGCCGCCATCAAGTTTGAATTGCTGTATAATATCTGAAGCCATATAGTCACCTGACAGATAGAGAGAACATTGCGCAGGTCGTGGTAGAACTGATAAAACGGGTCCTCGATGTTCTCCACAGTGACGCGGCGTCTATAATATGACACATATCTCTGTCCATATAGTCACCTGACAGATGGAGAGCACGTTGCGCAGGTCGTAGTAGAACCGTTACGGCGGGTCCTTGATGTTCTCCACGGTGACGCGGCGTCTATAATATGACACCTATCTCCGTCCTTAAGTCACCAAACAGATGGCGAGCACGTTGCGCAGGTCGCGGTAGAACCGGTACAGGCGGTCCCTGATGTTTTCCACAGTGACGCGGCGTCTATAATATGATACCTATATCCGTCCATATAGTCACCTGACAGATGGAGAGCACGTTGAGCAGGTCGTGGTAGAACCGGTACAGCGGATCCTTCATGTTTTCCACAGTGACGCGGCGTCTATAATATGACACCTATCACAGTCCTGACCTGACAGATGGAGAGCACGTTGCGCAGGTCGTGCAGCACCTGCTGCAGCAACGAAGCGCCCGCGGCCACCTCGCGCTCGAAGAACCGGTACAGCGGGTCCTTGATGTTCTCCACAGTGCGACGCAGCGTCTAAAAATGTATGTATACGAAATAACCGAACTTCAATCGATAGTAGACGTCTCTATTGTTGAGCTCGTAACTTTCGGCAGCACTAGCTATCAATATGAACTGATAGACTGTCCTTCTGGCTACTTTCTACTTTGAAATATAAATCACAAATGACTATGAGATTTTCAGTACAGTACAGTAATAATGTGGAGCTCGATGACGCTAGCGGGTAGCACGCTTAGATTAAAACAAAAAGGGTAGATACGGCACTAGCCTCACAAAAGTGATCCGCATGAATTGTGGTACACGAACCTAATCGCTTTAGTCACACCTTGACATGCAAACGACTTGCATGTGAACGCCAAAAAAAAAATATTGCTAATATTTTGTGTTTATATGATAAAACTTAGGCATTGTTTTTTTGTGTGTTTTTAAAAATTGCTCAAGAACTAGATAAAAACCCACCGCATCACTTTTCATTCGTAAGTACTATAAATTATTTTTTTCATAAAAATTGCTGTTTGTTTTGAATCTTATTCGGTAGTGACGTCGAGTACTGGTCGCGTGATTGGTCGGTAGTGCAGTGACGCGGATCTCGCCGTCTCGTTCGCGCTGCCGTTGAAACTTAACGTGCTGTTTCGTTCGGGTCGGTAATGCAGCGACGCGGATCTCGCCATCCCGTTCGCGCTGCCATGGGATCAGTTTTTGTTTGATGCAAGTATGAGCGTACCGTATCTACCCTTTTTGTTTTAATCTAAGGTAGCACGTTCGGCTGCGATCGTTGAAGTTAAGCAACTTTTGCAGTGGTCGCTCATTGGATGGGAGACCAAAAATTTACTATTTCGAGCTCCTTCTTGCTTCGGAAGGCACGTTGAGTCGTTGGTCCCAGTTGCATATGCAGTGGTTAGCACCCACTAATTCATACTGGGCCCGCGTATTGGGTCCTGGCCCAATCTCCCTATTCCATCCATAGTGAAGGCCTGTGTCCCAGCATTGGGGACATTAATAAGCTGGTGATGATAATGGCAGCGATAATGTAACAGAATATGATAACTCACGGGCAGCTCTTGCGGTAGCAGCTGCAGCCAGTTGGTGGCGGTCTGGTGTAAAGTCTTCATCCAAGCGGGTCGTCCGTCTCCCTCTACCACTATCGAATCTAAAATATAATGCTAGAGTTATATATATATTTTACAATTTGACTGATTACGGTGCATAGGTTAAACATGCACGTTGAAATTAAAATTAACAAGTTTTGAAACATGCTTTAGATCAATCCTACCAATATTATAAATATGAAAGTTTGTACTATGCGATTCAAAAAAGGAAAGCCAATGACCTCCATCTGTCAATTGTCGTTAGAAAAGTACAGTTTGCAATCTTTGAATAAATACCAAACATTTGTAAACAAAAGAAGTAAATAAATCATATGAAACGTATAGAAAATGAGTACTGGAAAAGGGAAATATTAGAATTTTAGTTTTATTATAAATACAGATAATAAAAAGTCAGTTTTTATTTTAAATAAAGTTATCTTTAAAAACCTACAAAAATCGATATTTTATTTTATAGCCGAAATCAACAGTTATGAAGATGACTACTCCGACGGTAGTGCAGAGATGAGCGGAATTAAAGAGCTAGATTCTGAATGTTTTTTCTCACTTAGCCTTCATAAATAAATATATTAAATATCTGATATTTAATCTAACTTAATCTTGGTAAATAAGTTTTATTAAAGAAAAACTTTTTTGCTCACTCTACCTAACTTGTTTGAAATGACAGCTATGACGTCACAATATGGCGCCTAGTCGGTCCTATTCTTAGTTGAATCGCACTGTAAGTTTGTGTATTTGTTACTCAATTACCTAAAAACTACTCAACGCATTTGGTACGCATATAGTTTATGACCTGGATTGAGACACATGATACGTTTTATCCCGAAAAAATGTTAGGTTCCTGTGGGATTCACAAAAGTCACAAGTTAACGAGGACGAAGTCGCGGTTTGAGACTTTCTGATAGATAAGGCAAAGTATTTTTTATAAATATAGTATACTTACGGTCGTCTTGTGTAGCGGCGTTGTACGCAAGCTCCTCCTCGTCTTCCAACTGTTGCATCTTCAATAATTTCGACACAAGGTCGCTGCCTTGGTTTGTCAGTAATACCTACGAGTAACACATGAATTGATCAGTTGGGATAAGACAGAGATACAGAAAGAAAATACAGAGACATTCTAATAAGGGTGATGACGGGGTACAGTAAACGAAATTCTATTTCGTCCGTCAGTTAGATGATCAGAAAATAATGGACACGTATTTTTTCTTTGGGCAATCAACCAAAAAATGAGTTATAGCGCGTCAAAGTTTGGGAGTAGGGGCTCGTGACGTCACTTTTTTGTGAATTTTCACTTAAAAGTGTACGCAAACGTGACGTCATGCGACTTTTCAAATCAACATATCTCGGCAATGTTTATATTATGTGAAAAAAGAAAAAATAAGTGTCCAATACTTTTTGATAATCTACCTGATAAAAGAAGAAAAAAAATAGTCATCATCCCTATTGGAGCCTAAGATTCTCCCATAGTGAAACCCTACTAAAGTCATCATACTTTGACGATTATACGTAGTAGTTGTAGACAAAAGAGTTTTCAACACATTTGCTCAAAAAATGCATTAACGAAGGTTATATACATTGTGCGAAAATTTAAAATTACGGGCCATACAGCGGAGCGGGCGGTAAAATTCATTACGCACGCTCCCATACATGGCACCGTGCGTATTCTTTACGGTTTTTTTTTATTTTGATCGAACCTCCTCATAAGTGCTTTTAGTCTATACCTGTCTCACTTTAATACTAAAAAGAAAAAGAGACCAAAGATGTAGCTCTAAATTTTCACCAGCCGCCGGTGGCGCCATTTGGAAATCTCGCACTAAGGTTGAAAAACGTTGTATGACATCTCTGCGGAATTGGTATTTACAAACTCGTGACTTTGTGTCTCGGACTCGCACTCGTTTACTCGTTTGTAATGATCAACTTACCGCACTAATATCGTAAATAACTATTACCTTCTCCGCGTTATTGGGCAATCCGAGCCACGACGGCGTCTGGCGGTCGGACAGCTCCTCGATCCACTTGAGGAAGTGGTCGCGCCGGTTGCCGTCCGGCATGGTGATGTGCCGCTGGTTGCCGGTCGCCTGTTGCACCAACTGTCGTTATTGCCAGGTTCATAGTTAACACAACACATACACATGCATGGGATACAAAAGCGGAATGGGCAGTTTTATTTAAACGATAGAGAAAAGGTAATTAATGGCTTTTTAGTTTCTTAGATATTAACGTTACGGCTTACACAGAGCGATAATTAAGAGGAGAACAAAAGCGAATTCAGGCAATTTATTAATACGACAGAGGAATGGTAATGGAATTTTAGTTTCTTATGCCGGCACTTCACTTGGCTAATTGTGTTAGCAATTTGTAAACTTGACATCAGTCTGTCCGTTTCATTCCTTAAAAAGCTTGATAAAGATAAACTGTTGTCAAGTTTACAAACCGCAAATACGAATAGCTAAGTGAAGTGCCGGCATTAGATTTTAACGTGACGGCTGATAAGGGGAGATACATTACGAGAAGAAGATTACGGCTAATTTCAATAATCAATATCAAGTAAAAGGTAGGGATAATCTGGTTCCGTTACTTAGCAACAGTTGGTACTTTAATACATATAATAAAAAAAAATAGGCGAAAAGCTCTAATAAGCCTATATCTTACTGGAGTTTGATTATTGAAACTGGTTGTTAGATATTAACGGTACGGCTTATAGCAGCACTGTCATTTTGAGTAGAAAAGGAATTTTAAAAAAAAGAAAAATTTTAAATTTTAGGAATTTTAGTATTAATAGAATTACTGTTATATGTAGCTTTGGATCAATTTAAAAACGATATTTTTTTAATTGCCGGTTGCGATAGATGGATCACGGACATGCACAAAACTAAAAGCTTAAGGCGGCATGGCGTATAATAGAGGAAAAGAAATAGTATTTTACTTTCTTGGATAACGTCACTGATTATATAAAATCATTTTATAAAAGTAAAAGATATTTAGTTGTTGAATTAAGCCATTGCAGTTAGCGATCGACGCAACGTTGACATGCAGATCTTAGGCGGTCTTTGCTTAGCACTGGGCATGGTATGGTTGAATGATAATACAATACATGCCGAGAAAACTCAGCAGTTGTCAAATTCATATGAAAGGGAAAAGTAATGACGTTTGAGTTTCTATAAAGATGTTCGTAATGTGAAGATTTGCTTCTTGCCTACCCTGTTTGCTTTAAATTGGAAATAAAAATGTACATGTAACTTATACACATCTAAATTTTATTTTTATGATGAAATGTTATTTAAATTCACTTTTCGGCAATTTTAATATTCTCTATTATCTTCAGCATCATTTAGTACACGTGACCAACTTAGGAAGTGTCAACTATATTTTTCTCATAGTCATCACTTGTATGTTATGTTGGCACTACATTTGGTATGAATCCCGGTAAATTTCTTGAGCAACGACCATAGACGAGGGAGCCTGAGCAGTAGAAATTTTACATACATCGGGGCTTCTTGTCAAAATTACAAGCGCCCGCCGCCCGCATCTCTGACGGCCCTGTTCTCGTCCTCCCCCACACCCTTTACCCCGCTGACGAGGACGCAGTTAAGCGGTCTACCTGTAGTACTTAGTTTTCTTTATTATGTTTTTTTTTATATACTGTTTTGGTTTTTGATTTCATGCTGTGAAGGCCAATAAAATGTTTTTCTTTCTTTCATTCTATTTGAAGTGTTAGAATCATACTCACTCCATCAACGTTAGCTACCAACGCGAAGTCAGCCTCGAAAGAGCGCGGCGTGAACATCTTGCAGAGGAACGAATGCAGCAGCCGTTGGTCGAACGCGTTGTCGATCTTACCGCCGTAGATGCACTGCGAGAGGAGCGTCACTAGCGCCTCCCATGGGACCTTCTCCGGGGGCAGATTCGTACGGCCCTGTGGTGGATATTTATAATAATAATATTTCACACACACACACCAATTAGCCTAGCCCTAGAGTAAGCACTATAAGACTTGTGTTATGGAATACTAGGGTAACGGATAGAATAAATATATGAGTATATTTTTATAGAAATGTATATAAAAATCCATGACTAAGGTACAAATGCTCGTATTCATCATAGTAACGTTTGCCCCCACCGGGATTCGAATCCGAAACCTTACGAGTAGGGGACAACTTAAAACCGTATATACCACTCGATTACGGAGGCCGTCACGCAACGGAGATTTATAAATATTTAACTTCAATATCGTTTATCGTCTACGGCTGTTATAAGCACTTGTCAAAAACGAAAAAGATGACATCGGTTCTCAAATAAAAAAAAAAACGTGAAAAAACAAGGACATGATCCGTCTAATGTAGTGTGTTTCTTGAATTTTTAGTGATCACAGACACTTTTTAAAAAAATTTAAAACTCCATGGAATTTTTTATATCTTAGAGAAAAATTAGGACTTATAATAACGAAACATTGATATTGGCATTGTTACATACCATAGCGGTGGCATCAATCCACGTATCAAGAGTATCACAGGCGACACGCAAATCCGACTCATTGAATTCGTAGTATTTGGCCCAGCCCAGCGGCACATAACGTAGCCTTTCTTGTACGATACCTGATCAAATAGACGTACATAAAACTTAGTGATATAATAATAGCTATAAATAATTATACATGAATGTTTTTTTCAATAGAGAAATTTTCAAAACATCTATTTATAAATAAATATTTCCAACACACACCAATATGCCTAGCCCCAAAGTAAGCACTATAAGGTTTTTGTTATGGGATACTAGGGTAACGGTTAGAATACATATACTGTACATATTTAAGTACATTTTTATAGAAATACATATTAAACATCCATGACTGGAATGCTCGTATTCATCACAAAAACATCTGCCCCCACCGGGATTCGAACCCGGGACCTCTCGAGTCGGCGACACCATTAAACCCGGCGTACTGCGGCGTATGATGATAATCTTAATAATAAGTAATATGGTGCAGATTTGGTGTGCTTATTAAACAAACGTTCACTCACCATGGAACCAAGCCAAAAGGAAGTAAAGTCTGGCGCGTTCGGAAGGAGGTTTCATCATGCGTGCAGCCGGTACCTAAAATAAGAAAGTATAACAATATAGAACACACGAAATTTTGATTCATGTTATCATAAACTACAAGAAAATTATATATTTTTATTTTTACTTAAAATAACTTGTTAGCAATGCAGTCTTACTGATTATGTCGTTAAACGTACAGACGGGGAGAGGCTTCCAAAGGCTGAAGAAATGAGGCGGGGTCTAAACCTCTTGTACTGTGACAAAAGTCGTAAGCAGATGAGTCCTTATTGGAGTTATATAGCCTTGGGTCTGACCTCCGTATTGATGAACAGGATGTAAGTACCAAATAGATGCGGTGAGGAGCTTATATAGGCAAAAAATATATGGGCAGAGTCTTACTCTCTTACCGTGGCAAAGGTCCTGAGTAAATTGGCCCTTGTACCATGCGGCGGTTCGAAGACTACCACGGGTCCAGCGCGTAGTAAATTGATTAGCAGCTTTGGGCTGATCTCCGTAGTGAGGAACATAATGTAAGTACCTAATGGACGCGGGGGAGGGGCTTAAACAGCCAAAAAAGAAACGGAGCGGGGTCTCTAATTAAACCCTCTTACCGTCGCAAAGGTCCTGAGCAGATTAGCCTTTACGCCGAACGGCGGTTCGAAGACCACCACGCGTCCAGCACGTAGTATATTGACGGAAAACTTGGGGCTGATCTTCGTGGTGGAAAATAGAATTTAAGTTTCTAATCGACAGACAAAATAAATGAGGCGAGATTAATTTATTTTACTGTGGCAAAGGTCCTGAGCAGATTGACCCTTATGCCGGGCGGCGGTTCGAATACCACCACGCGTCCAGCACGTAGTATATTGACGGAAAACTTGGGGCTGATCTTCGTGGTGGAAAATAGAATTTAAGTTTCTAATCGACAGACAAAATAAATGAGGCGAGATTAATTTATTTTACTGTGGCAAAGGTCCTGAGCAGATTGACCCTTATGCCGGGCGGCGGTTCGAATACCACCACGCGTCCAGCACGTAGTATATTGACGGAAAACTTGGGGCTGATCTTCGTGGTGGAAAATAGAATTTAAGTTTCTAATCGACAGACAAAATAAATGAGGCGAGATTAATTTATTTTACTGTGGCAAAGGTCCTGAGCAGATTGACCCTTATGCCGGGCGGCGGTTCGAATACCACCACATGTCCGGCGCGTAGTAAATTGACGGGAAACTTTGGGTTGATCTTCGTGGCGGGAAATTGAATTTAAGTTCCTAATCGACGCCTATATGGCTAATTGAGGGAGGGAGATTACACAGACAGAATAAATGAGGCGAGATCTTAATTTATTTTACCGTGGCAAAGGTCCTGAGCAGATTTGCCCTTATGCCGGGCGGCGGTTCGAAGACCACCACGCGTCCAGCGCGTAGTAAATTGACGGGTAGCTTGGGGCTGATCTCCGTAGTAAGGAATAACCGGAAGCTGGGATGCGGCTGCAGCGAGTGTAGTTTCTTCTCTAGCTGCACCAGCCATACGGGCGCTAGGTGAACGTTCTTTAACATCACCCATCTGGTAATACGAATAAGGTTTAGAATTATTGTGTAAAGAATTTGAAAACGTTCGCGTTTGTCTCCTACGAAGCTGCGGTAAACATAAATTCAGACACGTCAAATTAATTTAAGGTATTTTAATAAACCCTGATGTTGTTTTTCTGTTGTTATCGCAAAGAAAGTGACACATATATTATTTTTTATGATTTTTAAAGATAATCAACGAACAAAACAGTTTTGGAGACTTGCAGAAGAAGCTGGCTGGAAGCTGGCAGTCTGTCACTATTGTTTCTGGATACTGTCCAGTAACAATAGCTTAAAATAGCAGTAATCTACTTTGTGATACTTTAATTTGGAAATTTTATTAAGGCATTTAGGATTTATTTAATGTAAAGCCTTGAAGTGATTGATTTATAATCCTAAAGAAAAAGATACTATTAAAAATTTTCTTGAGGCATTTATAACTCACCGTCCCGTTTTACAAGCAGTATTGATGGCGCGTTCGGCTTGGTTGAAACCTTCGGCTGAGCCGATAGCTATGCTCGATAGCGGCTTGTTCAGTTCCGTGGCCATGTCATCCACACGCCCTGTAATACACATTTAATTTTAGCTTATAAGAAAAACCGTTCGTCGCTATAATGACTACAGTGAATTAATGAACCAATATTTAAGAGAGTCTCTTGGTGTATGTATTATTATGTATAATATTTGCATCTGGACTTCCTTCACGTTTAATCTGATAGTAGCAATTTGGTAGGACTATATTTTCGAAAGATATAGAATAGATTAGATTTATTTACAACGTAACGATTTTAAATCGCCGTGTTTGTGCTGGCCTAGAATAGCACTACCCCTCTCGTCCCATGGGTGTCGTAAGAGACGATTAAGGGAGCACAACCAGCAGAAGACGGGCAGCAATATCTTAGCTGTACTGCGATCGGCAACCGTCTCCAAGCGTGGCGATTATGGCAAAACCCCCCAAGATGTTAAGCACAATTAAAGAACGGCCCTCAGTCCCCGGTAGCCCTGCTAGTCCTTAATACGCAGGTAAAAAATCTATTTACAGACGACGGCGCCTTTAAGAGGCACACCGCCGAACGGACCTCACACCTGGCTCCCGCAAGTCTTACGAACCCCCCAGTGGCTGCCCACCGAGGACCCCGCAACTCTTACGGGCGCTTTACGGTATAATATCCGCTAAAAAAGTCCTGCGAATACCCTCTAAGCTGCTTAGCGCGAAGCCGCGGGATCCCCGTTCAGGGATTCTCCGCGTCTAGCCCTGCTAGTCCTAGCTATGGTAACGGCGCACAGTGTTTTATGGAACCAAAAAATTTACGTGTTCAGGTTCTTACATAAATAGATTATTTATAACCTAAAAAAGGCATGAGTTCAATTCACAGAAGTCTAACTCAAATACTTTTTGAGAAAAAAAAATCATGAACTTATCGTGACCTTTGACCTATGAAATCTAGAATATTTTTTTATAAAGTGAATATTAACAACATATTTTTTTAATAAATATGTGTCAATCGGGCATAATCAGAGGCGTATAAACGCGTTTCTTTAGCTTAAAAAAATGCATTGGTTTGGGAGCAGCATTTTTTTTTTGTATTTCGTATTTATTTTTTTTTCTCCCTAAAAACGAAAAAGTGGAACCTAGAACTTAGATAGAAATAAACCTACGGATGTGGTCTATCATACATAAATAAGCCACGTGTCACTTTTGTGGCGTTTAGAAGATATTAATTTTTAATTTTTTATGCTAGGGTTGACACCGAGTGTTTTATAGAACCAAAAATATTTACACCTTAAGGTTTTTGCATAAATCAATTATTTAAACCCTAATAAAGGCAAGAGTTCAATTCCCAAATCACTATTTTAAGTAAAAAAAAAGATATGAAGTAGCAAAGTTTTTGAAATTTGCGCATGAAAATATTAACAATTTAATTTCCTCAAAAGACGGTTCCATATCTGTCCATGAGATATTTGCCACTTGCTAAGGAATTATTGATGGCATAATTTTGTAATTTTATTTTATTTATAAGTGTCCTAGTTTCCAAGAGTTTTTTTAAATTTCGATTTTTAAAAGTTTTCTCCAAAAATCGGCATAAGTGGAACCTGGATTTAGTACAGAAAGGTTCTATAAGCCAAGTTCTATCACCCATAAAAAAATCAAGTTTCACTTTTGCGGTTTTAAGAAGTTATGACAGAATTTAGATAAAGGTCAACTTTCATGATCTAGGGTTGAAAAATATGTCCGTTTTTATAGTTGGCACCCGATGACAGTAACAGTTCATAAAATCCTCATGCACGGTTTAGAAATTATTGCGTCCAGTGCACTGCCCATCGGTATGCTATCTGAACAAGCAGCTGAGTCCCGAAATAAATTCTAGCGTTCAGACAGAGAGCATCATTGCCGAAAAATGAACAGGAGAACCACAATGACGGACCTCTTTCACCGTGCCCTAGAATCATCAGACCCGTTTATTTCTATGGCCAAATATCAGCCAACGTCGAAAATATTCTAAGCGATTTCCCTTGCCTTCAGCTGCTTGCGAGCTCTTACAACCAATTGATGCAGATCGATTGCCGTTATTCGAAGCAGAGGAAGATGCTGAAGATGAAGATTTTTCGAACGTCGCAAATGAAAGCAACCTAGAATTATTAAACGAAGATGATTTATTTGTATAAAAGTTAAAGTAGAGGTGTTGCATAAAGAAGGTGCCGGCAGGTGATGACACTATCCTAGATTGATTTTAAATGTGAATGAATTTCTAAATCCAAAATTTCATCACAATCGTTAGATCCGTTTCCGAGAAACCAATTACATACCAATATATTTATATAGGTACATACAATAATTGCTCGTTTATAGTATAGGATGTGTGTTAAATTTTTTCAAACAACATAGTTTATTTTTTTCGTTGCCATTTAGCGTGTAAGGCAAAATTAAAATGTGGTCGTCAAAATTAAAACATAAAGTATTCCTACATTATCACATCTACATTAGGTAGGTAGTATATGTAAGTATATTGTATTCGTCTATAAGTACAACACTTATTCAATTATAATATAATATAATTTATTCAATTGATTGACGGTATTAATAACAAAAAAAAACCATTTTCATTTAACTCATAGTTGACCTTTGTGACAACCCTAGATCATGAAAGTTGACCTTTATCTAAATTCTGTCATAACTTCTTAAAACCGCAAAAGTGAAACTTCATTTTTTTATGGGTGATAGAACTTGACTTATAGAACCTTTCTGTACTAAATCCAGGTTCCACTTTTGCCGATTTTTGGAGAAAAAAATTAAAAATCGAGATTTAAAAAAACTATATTTCTTGGAAACTAGGACACTTATAAATAAAATAAAATTACAAAATTATGCCATCAATAATTCCTTAGCAATTGGCAAATACCTCATGGACAGATATGGAACCGTCTTTTGAGGAAATTAAATTGTTAATTTTTTCATGCGCAAATTTCAAAAACTTTGCTACTTCATATCTTTTTTTTTACTTAAACTAGTGATCTGGGAATTAAACTCTTGCCTTTATTAGGGTTTAAATAATTGATTTATGCAAAAACCTTAAGGTGTAAATATTTTTGGTTCTATAAAACACTGTGCGGCGGGGAAAGGAGTGCTAAGAATCCCCGGGTAAGATCCGGCTACCACCTACAACGACTTGTTTTTTTTTAATTCTTTTGTCACACCGATTAAGTTGCCCCGGGGCATCAACATCCAGAGAGCCTGTGCAATGCGGGCCAGTCCCAACGACGACTTGACCTGGTAACCTATAACATGCACACACTGAGGACCGACGCTAATTAATAGTTGGAAGAAGCTATTAGTAAGTTACGCTGGGATATTATTGGTTTATCTGAAGTTCGAAGACAGAGACTCGATAATCCTCAATTCCAGTTACTTGCTATACTACCGGGGGTACCTACAGTCCCTAGGCGGTGTCGGGTTTGACGTCCACAAGTCCCTTGTTCACAACGTGATCACCATCGGAAGTGTGTCGACTACCTGATACTCAGAATATAAAAACGATATTCGTTGAATGTCATACAGGTTTATGCTCCGATCTCCAGATGAATATGTGAAGATCACAAAAGCCATGCATAGCTTAAAAACACTACACGTTTATGATGGGGAACTTAAACGCAAGGTTGGGGAAGCGTTGCGGTGATGAGTTGAGGGTGGAGTAATTTGGAGTTGGGCAACAGAACGCCAGAGGACAGATGTTGGTAGATTTTATGGACAAGGAGAACCTCTATGTGATGAATTCCTACTTTAGGAAACCCCAAAATCGAAAATGGACCACGATGAGTCCGGACGGCAAAGTCCGAAACTTTACCATGTCGACGAAAATGCTTATATTCAATGATGTCTCTGTGATCAACGCCGTTAAAATGTGAAGTGATCACCGGTTAGTAGCAGGCACGTTTCGTGGTTGAGTCACAAACACACGAACAAGCTATTACATTTATAATATTAGTAAGATTTTATGCTTACCGCTGGCGTCATATCCGGGCACGGAGCACAGCAACGCAGGCGTGGTCGCATTTAGTTGCGCTTCAGTGATGGTAGCCAAGTCCAGCTCGACCTCAGCCTTGGCCAAGAAGCCAGCACCCAGCACTGCGCTCACTAGTTGCGTGGCTGCTGCGATCACGCGGTCCGGCCGGAATGCCTGCGTAATACCCATACATTTAGATTGAAATAGATATCGCTTTAACATGAAAAAAGGAAGAGCATAGCTCGCTGATTATATAAGAAGTCAATGGCAATAAAAAAAATACCCATTCGTGCCGTATGAAGCAGTAAACACGATAGGATTGAAACGGGTGGCCGTAACAATGTTTGTTCACAACTTAATTTGTTTTCAAAATACGACACCCAAGACTTTCATATAGTTTAAAGCACACGCGTCATCTACTTAAATTTGGTTGATGGTTATACAGTAAAAAAAAGGCAAAGAGAATGCACGGAGCAGACAAGTATGAAATTCAGAATTCTCTAGAAAGAAAAAAGAAACAATCAATACATAGACGAAAGTTGGTCCAGCTCGATCTCAGTCTTGGCCAAGAAGCCGTTGCATGCGTTATATCACAGACTGAGTGATAAAAAGACAACTCTTTCGAAAGAGACAAAAACAATAAATACATAGACGAATGATGGACGCACTATCGCTTCGTCTCTCTCATTTCTTCTTCTGACTTGCTTTATTTTATAGTTGGTTAGGGAACTCGCAGTTCTATCTCCAAGACTAAACACAAAGTACCTACCGCGCCCAACAGTAAGACGGTTCTGAACAAAGCGACATTTCTCGCACATATTCACGTGCAATTTCAAGCAATCAATTCAAGCAATTCTCACGCAGTTTCAAGCAAAATTAATTCACGACGAGCTGCTGTGCCACAGCCTTCCCATCTAATTGAAGAATGGTAAGTTTAGGTACTTATTTTCGAAAGCGGAACTTGCAGTAATACCTGCCAATCCCACAGTGTGGGCATCTATCGCAACCCCTTCATGCCGGCATTTATTTGGTCGCAGTATACCTGTAGGAGGACCTCTAGCAGGTTCGGCCTGATATCGAGAAAGTTAAGCAACTTTCGCAATGGTTGGGTGATTCAAAAAACCTATTCCTCTCCTACGTGCTTCGGAAGGCAGGTTTATCCGTTGGTCCCGGGTGCATCTGCATCTGCAGACGTCAGAACACACCAATCTGCACTGGGTCTCGGCCCGATCTCCCTATTCCATCCATAGGGAAGGCATGTGCCCCTGCATGTGGGACATTAATGGGCTGATAATGATGATACCTGTACAAGCAACAGGCGGTACATGGCCAGTGTGTGTGGGGCAGGTGGGGCAGAGGGCTCGTAGTCCCACAGTGTGGAGGTCTGTGCCCCAGCAGTGGAGACACAAATGGGCTGATGATGATGATACCTGTATTAGCAGCAGGCGGTACATTGCCAGTGTGTGTGGGGCAGGTGGGGCAGAGGCCTCGCAGTCCCACAGTGTGGAGGCCTGTGTCCCAGCAGTGGTGACATAAATGGGCTGATGATGATAATACCTGTATTAGCAGCAGGCGGTACATTGCCAGTGTGTGTGGGGCAGGTGGGGCAGAGGCCTCGCAGTCCCACAGTGTGGAGGCCTGTGTCCCAGCAGTGGTGACATAAATGGGCTGATGATGATAATACCTGTATTAGCAGCAGGCGGTACATTGCCAGTGTGTGTGGGGCAGAGGCCTCGCAGTCCCACAGTGTGGAGGCCTGTGTCCCAGCAGTGGTGACATATATGGGCTGATGATGATAATACCTGTATTAGCAGCAGGCGGTACATTGCCAGTGTGTGTGGGGCAGGTGGGGCAGAGGCCTCGCAGTCCCACAGTGTGGGCACGCATTGTTCGGGCGCCGCTTGAGCTAACCACGCCGGTAGCTCTGGTAATTCCGCCGCCTTCTCCAATAGCCGGCGGAACGCCACCAGTCTAATAAAAAAAAACAGTAATGGTGGCTAATGCCGTTACTGATCTATAGTGCGACAATGATCTTTATGAATGTGGCGAAAATTGGTACCAATGCTGCCATCTTTGAAAACGTCACATTTTGTATGTTATTAACGTAGACGGCAGCGCCCTGAACTGTCACTTATTTTCATAAAGATATGCACAGGCAAACATTAGTCGTTATTAAAAACTAAATTTATTCCCTTGATGAAGCTCCCCCCCTTCCTGCAAGGTGAACGCAGTCTATTAAACCATCTTATAATATACTAGCAAACCAGTGAACCAAATGTTCACAAAAAAAAAATGTAGTTAATTAATTGAGAACTTCGGAGATTTTGTGTGGTTTCGTTTGAAACAGAAATCACGTGATTTCTCCAAAACCGGAAGTGCGTTACTCAAATCCGGTTTGTAGTCTTATCAGACTATTCTTAACTTATAACTTAAACATTCTCTTTATCTATCTCTTACGGTTTGGCCGCTGAAACAGCACCACGGACGGACGGACTTGTCTAATAGATAAGAGATAAACTAACGTTGTGTACAATAAGTTTGGGAGGACTACAGTACAGTGTATAACTAACACTGGCTTCAGTGTGAATTAATTAAATGTTCACTTGAAAATAATAACTAATGTACCTGGAGGCGAGTCGTGCAGCGGCAGTTTGCTGTTGCGGTGACAGTTGATCAGATTGAGGCGCGTGTGACACGAATCCTTCCTTCCCGCGGAGGAACACAGCGAAGGGTTGCTCCAACGTATCAGCCGCGCCTATGCCCTTCAGTTGGATGCGGCATAGCAGTAGGGCGAATGTCAGTCTGTCTGTGTGCAGCATACCGCGCGCCACGCGTTCGTAGACCGCCTGATAGAGAAAATATAGTATTGGGTCAGGAAAGATATGCGAGCGACACGAATCATTTCTTCTCGAGGGGGAACATAGAGAACGTTTGTTTCAACGTATCAGCCACGCTTATACCCTTCAGTTGGATGGGGCGTAAAAGCAAGGCGTACGTCAATTTATCCGTGTGCAGCATACCCATAGAGGTATAAAGAATAAAGTGGGGAAGGCGGCTCTAAAAGTGTCCGTCTAGTAGAAAGAGAAAGAAGATGAGAGACCGCAAGCTATGTCTCTCTTTTGTGACGCATGCACAGTCGTCTGTCCAATAGTTGCTCCAAGCATCACATCGAAATAGTAAGATGCTTACGGTTGCCAATGCGCATGCGCGATTAGAGAGAGAAAGCTAGCGGGTTCTTTCTCTTTCTATTAGAGGGACACTTCCACTTGTAGTAGTCTATATCTCCCTTACTCTAGTCTTATACCTCTATGAGCATACCGCGTGCTATACGTTCATAGATCGCCTGCCAGAGATAAGTATTGCCACATACAGCTCCCCCCCCCCGCTTTGGCCTTGGAACTTGCCCCCCCAGACCATAGGCTGGCGAAGCTCTTGAATGTTAATATATTTGGAAACTATTTCTTATAAGTTAAGTTAAGAAATTTGTATCTGGCAACCTCACCATAACCATATCATAGTAATACCAAAATGTTACTCACAGTGAATAATTCCTCGGTGATAGTCTTTAGTCGGGCGGTGTAATCAGTGACGCCGTTAAGTAACGGGCACACAAGTACCGAGCTGAATATGTCCAGGAACATTTTCAACGAATACTGATACAGGAAGTGCACTTGGTTAAGCGACTCCATTGTGAAGTAAATGCTGCTGCAAGCCTGCAAAAAGATATAATGTTCATGAAACTTTTTATTTTTTTAAATATAATGTAGGTATAATTCGTGTCATTAAAGAAAGGAATCGAAGCTAGACCTTCAATCTCTCTTGTACGTTACTAAGGATAGCATGTGCGACAGGGGCAGAATGTCTTACGTCAGAATTTGCGATTCCTTTCTTTGATGACACGAGTTATAATTGTAATATAGGTTGAATAAATAAATATTTAAACGTCACTTTTACTGGAAAGATGTACTACAAAAAATCTTTTCAACATACGATTTTAGTACAAAATGACTAACCTGAGACAGCGGCAAGTACTGCTGGCTTACAGTTTCTATTTCAGCGATAACTTTATCGGTTTCTTCCACCTAGAAAACACAACAATTTAGAAAACAAATCAATGTTGCAAAGAAAACATAATCTGATTGGTCAATTTGGTTATATTGTATTTTTTACCTTTTGGCCGATATCGTCGGCCTCCTTCTTGAGTGTTTCAAGGGTAGCGATGACAGAGTCGTCGTCAAGAATTTTGCCTTTTGCATCGTTCAATGCTTGCAGGAGAGACTTTTCGAGCTGTCTTAGCCGAAGGTGGAATTCACCTGCACGTTCCAGTAAATATTTCTCAAGTTTTTATTTATGTCAAAAATAAAGAAACTATGAAAAAATATAAAAAATATAGAATTTTTGTAACTAGTAAAGATTGTAATTGTGGAATTGTCAGTAAAGTTTACAATGTCATTCATAATCACAAAGACCCTGATTTTCAAATAAAAGTAGATTCTATGGTACATCAAAATATGAGAAGCTCGATGGTGCAGGTGGTTAGCGTATTCGGCCTGCGATCAAGAAAGTTAAGCAACTTTCGCAGTGGTCGGTCTTTGGATGGGTGACTAAAAACTTATTATTTATACCTAAATCGGGCTGAGGAAGGCACGTTAAGCCATTGGTCCCGGCTGGATCCACTAAATACACACTAGGCCCGCGTGGTGGGTCACGGCCCAGTCTTCCTGTTCCTTCCATAAGGAAGGTATGTGCTCCCGCAGTGGGGACATTATAAGACTGACGATGATGATGCATCCAAATATGGGGTAAGGGTTATAGTTCACATTACCAAAATATCACTGAAAAAATAACAGGTCGATTAAAAGTTTACCCTGAAGTTTGAGCAAGTCGGAGCGCTTCGTGTCAATGTCAGGCCGTTCGGCTTTCAGGACGCGGTGCAGACACTGCGACTGCAGGGACGATCGAGTCACGGTGAAGTTAACGAACGTCACTCGGGAACACATATCCGGCGGGAATTCCACCGTGGGATCCCTGTGTAGAAAAACTTGTTAAACTATGTGTTTCTTGAATAATCACCACCTTAGAGGTAGCGCAATAAATGTCATGTCTAAAGTATTTTTGGGCGAAAGGATTGCCGGAACGGACAGTTCAACTGATGTGCAAGTTACTTTAAGGCATTGTGAGCGTTTTCAGCGGAATCTTTGGTGACGTAGTTGCGGCAAGAGTGGTGTTACACTTTGATTACGGTACTTGACATAAAGATTGAATAGAAATTAATTTATCAAATATGCCACGGCAACCTTTCTCAAGGTTGTAAGTGCAATGTCACAGGCATGAGACGTCACCACAGACCACAAAAAGAGATTCGAAGGGTGATCATAGACCGTTTGTACGGGAACCGATGTCGCCAGCTCGCTCCCACTACACTTCCACCTAATAGACAATAGCCAATCAAACGACGTGGCATCAAATAATCAAACCAATCAGCGCTCACACCCGAGAGCAACGACGCAATCAAAACCATGCTTTGGTCAAGTTATGTGCATTTGCTCACCCATTATTGTGAGGCCCTTCTAACCTCTTTCTGTGTTCTGTGCACATCACATATCGGCCATCAAAACGTCAACTATACAAAGTAATGACACACGGCAGGTTTATAAACGGATGACGTCATTTTAGACTCTGTTAATCCTAGGAGTTATCGAACATGTCATGACAATTGATCAAAAAACTTCTATTTCATGTTATTTTTTGATAAATTCTATCTTTATGTTTTTAACAGAATAGAAAAACATCTGCCAATAATAATACGCATATCTGTCAAACAATACATAAAAATATCAATATAAGAAATAAATTACACTTTTTTGTCACCCTTACAGTAGTCGCGTATGATGTGTAACATTTGAAATCTCACCTTATATTAGTAAAAAAAGAAATAAAACCTACTACAAAAGGAATAAGCCATTTGAACATTATGTTCTAAAATCAAATCAAATAGCGCGCGCTTTACAAACTTCCTGTTACACACTTCCGTCCCACTTCACGTAATCAATCCCACAAATTGCACGAAAGCGAGAGGAAACCTGTTACACATAAAAAAAAAACACTGTACCTGGTGCTGAGGAATATGACGAATGAAGGGCTGAGATCGATGTCTTGGTCGCCCAACGTTATCAGAACGCGTCCGCCCGTGCGGCGCAGCTCTCGGTTCAACACGGGGTTGAGAATAGGATCGTAGTTCTCCACATCCTATCGGTTTACATTTTATTTATGTTAAAATAGAATTTGGAAAATAAACACAATAATGGTGTCGCTTCTCGCATTTAATTTGACAACCTTGTCATTCGCTAAACAGAATGAAAAAGAGACTAATGGGTAATTTTGTTTTTAAGTTCAGAGAATCATGCCAGAGTCGACACCAATGTCACATTTATTGTTATTCAGCCCCTCTAGCATGACCACCGAAACGGGATATGATAAAGCGATATATCGACATTAACTGTCAGACTACTGTCAAACTCCATAGTAGTCTGACAGTTAATGCCGATATATCGCTTTATCATATCCCGTTTCAGTGGTCATGTTAGGGGGCCTGGCTGTGTCAAAACAAACTTCCTTTGTAATTTCCAAAATCGTACATAATAGGTATGACTGGACAATACTCCACTACCAAATAGACAAATCAAATACTTCCACAGGCAATGAATGAAACAAATATAGTTATGATTGTGATAATAATAAAAAAAACTCACTTGTACAAGCAGCGGGTTGCCGAAACGCAATGCGGATTCCAAGTTCTTCCTGAAGGAGTCGTCAAGGAAGGAGGTCTTGGTGATCTTGCGGTCTTTGAACTCGCGCATTATGAATTCTGTGGCTTGCCCCGAGGGATCGATGATCAGTGGGTAGCGGTTGAAGCGCTAGTAAAGAATAAATAAATTATTTTTATTCACGCGCAACCAACGAATCAGAAATATTATGGAAGTATTATTCTTTAACAAAGGCCGCTAAAACATGGTTCCAAAATCATAGAATTAAACTTCAATGCTAAAGCGACACGCAGTGAGCCAAAACAAAATGCTTTTTACAAATGAAATATCTGCAAATGAATTCGGCTATCCATCCATTGGGTAAGATAATCTAAACCGGAAATTCCAATTAATCACATGATCGGCGTGTTAACTGCAGTTTTTTCGCCCCGCCCACTTGATCGCAGATTGCGTAAAACGACTCTCTAGCGCAGTTCGTACTATATATTATTTCAAATTCGTTGCGCGCAACTACAAAAATAAACTCTGAAATATTTCAGTTTTCATTGGAAAAAGTTGGATCAATTAATATTTTGTGTAATAACCAATTATATGAATTCAGAATTAAACCAGTTTCTACAACATTGAATATGTAAATCGTTTCGGATAGAATGATAAGAAGTTTACTACCACATACAGATAAAATTTGTTGAACGAAGAATCAGAATATGCATAGACTAAATACTGAGTAGAGGTTGATTTGATATAAGAAAATACTAAAGGTTCCACTGTGAAATAATAAAAAACGAGCGAGCCTTACAGTAGTCGCGTATGATGTGTAACATTTGAAACCTCACCTTATATTAGTAAAAGAAGAAAAAAAAAACCTACTACAAAAGGAATAAGCCATTTGAACATTATCTTCTAAAATCAAATTAAACAGTGCGCGCTTTTGCGACTTCCTGTTACACACTTCCGTCCCATTTCACGAAATCACTCCCACAAATTGCAGGAAAGTGAGAGGAAAGATGTTATATATCAATAATTACATAATTTAGTTGTGCTCTTCAGAGTTTCATTCAAAACTTACGCTCTAAGTAAATACAACACGTACATACAATGTTGACATTAGCTTCATACATTTTATGACAAACTTGAAACGTCAGGATAAAAAGTTGCACTTAGAGCGTAGGTTTGGAATGCAGCCTAGATAATAAGCAAGGCTGTGTGATAGCAAAAAATACTTACCCTAAGCATGATAGCATTCTCGACGCATAGTTCGTCCGTCGGTAGTGCGTTTGCTTGCCAGCGTAGACGTTCGTCTGGGTTGCTCAGGTATTCTGTGCGAGCAATGTCCGCGCGGTACTTGATGTGTAATAGCAAAAAATACTTACCCTAAGCATGATAGCATTCTCGACGCATAGTTCGTCCGTCGGTAGCGCGTTTGCTTGCCAGCGTAGACGTTCGTCTGGGTTGCTCAGGTATTCTGTGCGAGCAATGTCCGCGCGGTACTTGATGTTTGCGTTGGCCAAGTGATTCGTCCACGTTGAGAATAAGTTTTGACGGTACTGTAACAACAGAAATAAACGTTAGTAAAATGCATGCTTTTGCTTATTTTTTTTTTCAAATATAGACAATTATGAGGTTAAATGCCTTATTATACTAAGCTAAATATTACATGCGATAAACAGCTGATTATTGTGTAATGTAATAAGGGTTTCATACATAGATGAATGATTGGTCTCGCTTTACTCGACTAGATACCGCCGGCGTACTTGTCTAATGCGGCAACAAATACTATGCCGAAATCGGCATACCCGAGCTTTCACCGAGCCAGTCAACCTGACAGTTGTGTATGAGGTGTACGGAGTGAATATTTTATTAAAATTTGGTGTTAATCGAAGGTAAAATGCCAGTTTATGATGTGAAATAATACAACAATACATAACAAGGACGCTGGGATCACATAACATCAATAAGTATAGTAAAATTTCAAAATTTCAACATAAAATAACATGAACCTTAAACGTCATTCAGGTGTTGTTGCGTATACAAGAATCAAGTCCCTATGGTTGAGATTTTTATAATGTGAATTTATTGTAAGTAATTATTGAACCTATGTTATTTAAACTTACTATTAAACTTGCAATTAATCTTAATCTAGTTTTATATTATACAACGTTTATCTTTGTAATCTACCTTTTATTCCTATAATATTGTGTTACTATTTTTAATAACATTTTTTTCAACACAATTGCTCGTAAACTGACTCTTATTAATTACAAAGTTTTTAGTTTCACAATTCAGCATATTAACTACCATACCTGTGGTGTAATTTTTTTTTTATTTCATCATATATAAATTATTTTAGGGTTAATATGACAAATAAACATTTCGTTTTATGTATATAAACACAAATGACGTTAACTAACGTATTAAGAAACATTTATTTATAGCTATTCTATTTTTTATATTGCTGCTGTTCCGGTTGCACAGTCGGTCTGTTAACAGACTTCAAAAAAAGGATATTCTCAGTTTAACCTGTATGTATGTGTGTCCATGATAATCTCAAAGCTGCGGATCCGAATTGGATGGGGTTTTCGGCATATAAATGCGTATTTGTCTGAAAAGGTTTTAGTATATAATTTACTGGCAATGTCCCACGGTTTCACCCGTGTGGATCTACGCGTGTACAATTTCCAACTATACGTATATACGTATTCTGTATGTCACTAAAAATGGTAAAATGAAATAATTAAAAAAAAAAAACCGACTTAAAAAAATGAAAACATAAGATTTACCACCTGCTATACTTAAGTCGATACCAAGGCATGTATTTAGCAGAGAGATCATGATAATAATAACGATCGACTTTAAATAAATCAGTCGGTAAATCTTATTTTTTCATATTCAGTTTTTTTGAAATCGGTTTTTGTTTATTGTAGGTTATTAGAATTTATTAATAATATATGCGCAATTTTAATTCAACCCCGCCGGAAATACTTATCGAGGCACGAAACGTAAACACGATATAATGGCAGAAAGTCAAAAGTATTGTCACCAACCGATTTTGTAAAGTTTTTGAAGGTAGCTCCGGAATGTCAGAATACTTGTCAATAAAGGTAAGTAGAACTTTATAACAGTAACAATACAAGTTTGTGTTTTTTCGCGCAATTGTGTTGAAAAACGTCATATTCAGCTCGTGTGCATTGATCATTACACACTCAGCTTCCTTACTGAGTCACAATAATGTCTCGTATGTAGTGACCAACTTATCACACTTGAATCACTGTAATAATGTACAAGTAAATATTAAATGTAAATAAAAAAAAATGAAACCTAATCATTTTTCTGAAGGAGAAACCTACGCTTAATCGTATAAGTACACAAAAATATTGATATATTCGCATTTAATTAAGTGCATCTTCTTTAAGTATTTTATGAGTTACATTTATAACTTTGTATATATTCATTACAACCTACAATACTTACCCTATTACTCGGGTAGCAGTTGAGCAGCTGGCTACACGATTTATGACATTCGATAGCATCCTTGCAAATTGACATACACACACTACAATAATGAGTTGCCGCATTTACGGAGCTGTTGTTTTTTGACAGCGCGGTATCTAGTCGAGTGAAGCGAAACCAATTATTCATCTATGGGTTTCATAGTTATTTTACGAGTTTAAAATCTTGGTGTTAGTAAATACATTGGATACATGAATTTTATATATTACAAAAAACATTTAATTACGCGACCTGTTTGTACTTATAAACCAGTTAGAAGCCGCTATTTTTTTTATTTTTGTAACTTATTTATTTAATAAAAATATTTTAACTTTTGTCTCCATTGTCAGGTTGATGAATGGTATAAAGGAATGATAAAGTATGAAAAGAGGAGCTCAATAGCACAAGGGGTTAGCGCATTCGGCTGCGATTGTTGAAGTTAAGCAACTTTTGCAGTGGTCGGTCATTGGATGGGTGACCAAAAATTTACTATCCCGAGCTCCTCCGTGCTTCTGAAGGCACGTTAAGACGGTCCCAGCTACATCTGCAGTCGTTAGCATCCATCAATCCACACTGAGGCCAAGAGGAGGGTCATGGGCCATGACTCATGGCCCAATTTCCCTAATACATCCATACGGGAGGCCTGTGCCCAAATAGTGGGGACATTCATAGGCTGATGATGACGCTGATGAATGGTGTATGGAATGATAAAGTTCAAAATATGATGGGAAAGATGAAGTAAGGAATGAAGAACTTTACATGCTGATCGAAGTATCCACCGTAAGCGATGAATGCGGCGGAAAGTAGCACGTCTCCGACGATGGTGCTCATCTGCGAGCGGAATGTTTCCGAGCTGGATTCCCAACGCTCGCGCTCGATAACCAAACTCTTCAGCAACGCTATGGACCTGTCGACCTGGTGAAAACAATTTAAATTATTTATTTAAGAGGTTATTTTAATATGTTTCTTTATTTGTCCCCATTGAGTAAGAAAACGAGTATAAGAAACACTGAACTACATGAAGAGTGGGGTGTGAGCAATTATCGATGAATGCCTCGGTAAATCGCTCCATCAAATGCTGAATGTCCCGCTCTAAATGTAGTAGACTACTGATTTCTTCAGCTTCACACAATAGGGACGATGACTAACTTGTTTTCTTTTCGTCTATCACGTAGATTATAAAAGTATTGGACACGTATTTTTCTGTATACACCTTAATTGTTTACTCTCTAAATAGCGTATTAACTGCACGGAAGCGCCCCAAAAAATGTCTATCACATATTGGTAGATAAGCTTGTTTCTTATGCCAGTGTCATATCGAAAGTTACTCAGTATTGTGATCGTATGCCGGTTTGTTCTGTCCGACTGTGTCACAGCCATGTAGGAAAACCTTATGATAAGACGAAGATCACCTCCCATCGGAAAGTTCTTAAATTTACTTAATTATTATTTAAGAAAAGACAAATATTTTTTTCAAAAACTAGGTTGGAGGATTGGTACAGTGTTGCAATCAGGAAAGTACGTTAATATGCCATAATAGTAGGAAAGTTTAGTCAAAAGAATAAAATGATGTTGTTATTGTTATTGCAATATTTAACATCTGCTAAACAAGCACGTTTTAGAAGCGGAGATAACGTGCTTTAATGGTGCTCGTTGGTGTATGATAAAATTATTTTTCAAATTACAATATTGTAAGAGGTATCAACCTTTGTGAAATTTAATAAAGATTACAAAAATAAACTATCCACGCAGAAGCGAAGCGAGGCCGCCAGCCACTAGTTAGAAATACATAGTAAAATTGGCGAACTTGGCGCTCATGCCACAAAATTTTTAGTTCCGTATTTAGCAGTTATTTATTGGTGACTAGATGACCCGGTGTACTTCGTATCACCTATCCTAACTATATTAAAACTCTCCCTTCGCTAAAATGGCAGATTTTTTTTATCGCTAATGTTTTCAAAAATGCCTGGCTTTTGACAGGTAATAATAATAACAGTTTATATGGGAAAATGAAAAATTGTTATTTTTACTATATTCCTCGCAATTTTTCCATATTTTCTCACTGTTTAAACCTCCCCTGGACTACGACGAACATTTCAAAACTAAAATCAGCTGAATCGGCCTAGCCGTTCTTGAGTTTTAGCGAGACAAACGAACCACAGTTGATTTTTATATATATAGATTTAAATGAATACTTTGCGCTTAGTCTACTACTACTGCTTTTCTAACTTTTATTTTTCGTCGTCACGCTAACTTTCGAATGTAGTTTTCAAGGGCATGGGGGCGCCAGAGAAAATAAGCCCCTCATGCCGCTTATACCTGTGTTTACCGCTAGCCTATCATAAATACACCTCTGGTTACGGCAAATTCATATACATTAATGCAGGGTGTAAAAGTATGAAATGTGGGTAGATGAATCTTCACACTTGTAGTGCTCTTAACTCAGTTGGGATTAAAATCACATTCGAGTTTGCAGGAAGCAGAACTGAGCCAAAATTTGGTCAAATGTAAAAAGCAAAGCCCTCAATCTGACACGACAATGACTTGCTTGCCTGACCAAAAACTGGTGCATGCGTTATAAAATATATATGACTCTTTTTTCACACTCATTTTTCTTCTACTGGATCTTATATAATTTCCGATCCTATCCCATTATTAAATAATTAGCTTAGTATCTCCCTAATCCTGCTTTCTTTCAATTCTTCTCTTACAACCGTGAATGCCCCAACATTCCCCTTTCCTCTGTCTTTCTTTTAATGCTCCATTCTTCAACCTGGCAGAATCATTAGGAAACTTGGGCTGGGAGTGGTAGTTCTCCCAAACTTTGACACACTTTGTCTTTGTAATTCGGTTGATTGGCAAAAGAAAAAACAAGTGTCCATTATTTTTAGATAAAATGTAACTAGCGGACTAAATATTAACTAATTCCATTTACTATTTTTTATTATAAACTTACCTTAGCTTGCACATTCTCAAGGTCAGTCTTGATAGCTTGTGCTTGGCTGATAAGTTGCGCGTATTCCTCCTTGTAAGAGGCGATGGATTTTTCTAATTGAGCAATCAGATCGCGGACCTCATCGCCAGCCTTCACGTTGTGTTGAGCCTGATCTTGTAGGGCTTTCAATTCATTACGAAGGGGTTCCACACGTTTCAACATGTCCGCGTACTCGATCTAAAAATTACCATTTCTTAGATTTTTTTTGTCATTATTTATTATACAGTCGAGGTTATTTTGTATAGCTAGGGAGCTGGTGGCAATATAGGTATATGATTTCATTGTTGCTGATACCAAGACGTAATGTAGTCTGCACTTATGTTAACTAAAAAATAAGGTGGCGAGCGAGCATATGGGCTTTAATTTTTTTTTTCTTAACCATTTCGATATTGTTAAGGAAAAATAATGTGTCAATTTATATTACCGTTTCGCCATCAATTAAATACATTTCATAGATGTTGAAATTATAGCTGAAAGAAGTCAGGATGGTGGGAGTTATCATAAAAATAATTATTAAACTGTAAAAAAAATTCATCATCTTTTGAATAATACTTTTTATGTTTTATAAAGCATTTGTAAGAAGAAGGTGTCAGACATCTTCAACTCAGATTTTAGATGACGATGTTTGGAGCGTGTTTCGGAGCTTCTATATTTCTTTCCGTGACCTTCATTCCTGATTTTGAACCCCCAATTGTTTCTAGCTTCATTTGCCATGCGAGCAAATATAAAATACACAAATAATATTCGTGAGTGTATATTTGTACTCGGTTGCAGCTGTCCATTATTATTTATGGGGCCTATTTCATAAAAGAGTGGTAAATACTGCGGTTTTTACTACAGTAAATTACGCAACTAGTATAGTAGAATTATTCTTTTGAATTTACAGGTTAAAGGTTTCTTTGACTTTGAGGACTCGCACTTGGCCGCTTTTTTATATCTTATAATATAATTTCATTAATTATTCTAATCTACCTGCCGCAACTTATTTTTTAATAATAATTAGAAAAAAAGAACTCTAAAACACAGCAACAAAAACTTCTGCCACATTTTTTTATATTAAATAATAAATATAATATAATAAATATAAATAAGGTATTAAGACTATCGACAGAAGCGATAAAATGGTTTATGACACTTATTTTTATTAACATTTTTCGCAAGCTTCTATTTGATATTGCAGCAATTATTTAATGGCAGAAATTGTTTGAAATGATTATTTTATTTAGTACTCTAATATTATCAACCTCTATCAGACGGTGAATTTTTATAAAAAATACTGCCACCAGCTCCCTACCTAGAAGGATTATCGTATTTATACAATGTGTGGTAAATTACCCCACCTAGTATTGTCTAAATGAAGTCCAGTCTTGAGATTTGTTGATGTGCCAGAGAAATGTGCCGCTTCAACGTTATGAGGGGCTATGGAATTGTTACCATAACTATTTTATTGTAGTCTTCATTAAGATGATGTTTACTTCTCCAGACGGGCACTCGAAATTAATTAATGCCATAGACAGCGCTTTTTGTTAAGTGGCTATAATGACAATGTAACTATACCTAGCGATTAGACATCTACGGTATTTTTAATAAATTTAAATGTTACCTGAGCAATAGCCCATTTGACCATAGGACCGCAAGCCATACTAGCTCGGTTTACTTTCTCGAAGTTGTAGTCCGGATTGCTTAAGTAACGGGTCCTCATTTTCTCGCGTACATCGTCACTAGGAAGTAGACAAAACGGCATTAAATTCAGTACCGTATCATTGAAGATCACTTGGAATATAACGTGCATTTCGTGCGATGCCAATGAACCATACCAACTGATTGAATGTTCTCGAACGTATCCCATAAAAATATCCGAATCATGCAATTATTTCCCTGTTATTGTAAAATCAACCCTGACTTTATGATAAATTTAAAGTACGGCACTTACCAACGAACACCACAGAGAAATCAATATAACGGTCGCATTTTATCTATAGAAAGACACATTAGATAGCAAACATAAAAACCAAAAATAAAAAGCCAGTAGAATCACTGTCGGTAGTGACTTCTATTAGGATTAGACAAACGTACACAAATTTATTGGCAAATACATCCATGCGTTCTTTAAATTTAGATAAGATCCCCTAGATTAAGAGGTTTTTTTACAACTCATCGTTGGATTAGTTTTTTTTATTATCCATACTACAATTAGATTTAAATCATACTAAAATGCGCCAATTATCAAGTAAGAAAATATGGTTTAAATACTCTACGTATGAATAAAAGATTTTGATAGTTAATGTTAACGAGTTTTTCTTTTACAATGTCAACGATAGACATCGACAGTTTAAACTAATCCAGTTATTAACTACCTTTTGAATTTGGGTTTACCATCACCATAAAATAGGTAAGTTTCACAAAAAAAACGTATAAACTTGCAAAGAGAACACACAGTGCACAAGCATGCTTTACATGCACCACAACCGACATACCAAAAAAAAAAGAAACAAGCTTCTCGATAGTACAACGCCTTCTACCTTAATACTAGAAAGCGGGATTGTGGGAGTGATGGTTTTGTGAGGGGGAGTGATAAAGCGGGGCGGTGCTCACGTTATGTCCTCCGTGGAGAAGTTGGAGACGATGCTGTTGATGAAGTTTTCGCGCATGATTACGGCCCTTATCGCCTTCCAGTCGGTGGCGTTCTCGCCCAGCAGCAGACAGATCGACTCTAGCGCGACCTTCACGAGCGCCGGCGGGTTGCCCATCGAACGCACCTCCACTAAGTGCTGCTTCTTTATCGATTTCACCGCTGTATCGTATAACCGCGGTCAGTGGTCATCGTCACGCCGTCACCAACACGAAGCGAGAGCGAGAGAGTACAAAAAAGAAAGAAACAAAAAGGCGTTTAGCTATCTATGACACATGCGGCTGGCATTATTGTTGTATGTACGATATACGTACAACATCGACAGTTACTGTTTGTGTACAGCGAGCGATGGCGTCGCAGAAGAGACGCTAAGTATAGCCCTGTTCTCTGATTCGATAGCCAATCAGAGCGCTAAGTGCGAGCTTTTTATTTACTCGAAAGCGTTTAGGTAAGCGTGAAATGTATGGCATTTGAGGAATGATATCTGAGAGAAAACTAAAGCGAACTACTACAACTGATAGTTAAAAAATATGTATACGTAGCGCGATCCAGTGTTAAAACTCACACTTAGCACACAGATATAGAGAATATCGGAAATCGAAAAAGAAAATAGAACTAATACGAGTCTAATCTAGAGTCCCATTTCGCAGAATACATGTAAATTTGGAATCGCCAATATAGAGACATTAAAAATTTTGTTAAGAACGGTTAATATTTTCGGTCCACAGTGAAGATGCTTAGCGGGGTTAGTCACGATTACGAATTATTAGTGTGCCTTACACAGATGCCAGTTTACAATAATGATTACAGCGTTACTTTGTAAATCATAATATTATTAACAACAGTCACATAATGCAAGCGAGCTTAGCTTATATACAAAGATTAAATTAAAATTATTGGTTACAAGAAATTCATAACATCTCATTCACATCGGAAAACTCAAATAGCCACGAATGTAACTATTTGACTACATAGAATTATTAAACTAACAGATTGTTGCAGTACATTAAAACAATGCTTAATAAAATGTGTGTCAAATTAAAATACAACAACATTATAGGATGCATAACAATAACAAGTGTATAATAATGTTTTTGCCAATAAAATACAAAATATGCTTGCTATCTAAACAGTTTTCTATACATTCCAAATGTACTTAATAGTAATAAAAATATGGATAATTCTTTAGATGTAAGTAAATGAAGTAATAATAAATTAACGCGTCCTACAGTTCATCCAAATTATTACATCTTAAAAAAACTGTGAATCATTGGGAATAATTGGATTTTCACTGTCTCAGACTAGAAAGTGAAGATACTTACTACCTTTGATTATATACACACCTAGATACCGTATTAGCTGCACGGAAGGGTTCCAAAAAATATTTACTACATATGGTAGATAAGCTCGTCGCCAAACACGCGCACAATGACTGATTTCGAACAATCTGACACTAGAGTCACGCACTCATTACGCGTAACAAGAGCTATTTTCTTTGGATTACTCCATCTAGACGTCTATATATATATATATATATGTCAAAGGTTACCTTCCATATCTATTTTGATGTCATTTAAAAACTATATGTCGCGGTATAGCATAGCATTTCAATAAAACTAGTTTAAACGGGATAATGCACGAAACTTTATTTATTTATTGACGTTTCGTAGCCTTTCCAGCCTTTCAAAACAAAAGTTTTATTCTGACGACGAAGCCTGGAAAGGCTACGAAACGTCAATAAATAAATAAAGTTTCGTGCATTATCCCGTTTAAACTAGTTTTATTTAATGAGTGATGTGCGTGAAAACCTAAGAAACAAATAGCATTTCAAGTTATATTCTGAAAATCAGAAGGGAATTGGAAAAGGAACTTTGCTTTCCTTAAATTACATATTGTACAGTCGTAAACAGATATATTGTAGCAGCTAATGTGAAGTACTATTAGGAAGTCTTAATTTTTTTACAAGGTCTTATGGTACCCCTGCTAACTATGTATTTGAATGTCCGTTTTGAACTATTTGTTGCAATAAACAGATGGATATTCGTATAAAGATCCATAGGGTACGAAAAGGAGACACTTGAATACCCATTCGAAGTGCCAATATAAGGCTAAACGTGATTTTATAATATTTTTATGTTAACCTGCTAGAATATGTGCTGCATTCACGAGCATAGCGGTTAGGGAATTCACCCAGATTCACCAGCAATTGAAGCCTGATACCTGAGCCGAGTATTTTTTTCCCAATATAAATATCTTTTTAATATGTTTTAATATCTTAAATACCGATGTTATGATTAAAGTTCATAGACTGAAGAGTAAAATATTAAGAAATCTAAAGGGGATACTGTCGCGCCCTTGATAATGTACCAATCTGTGACGTACTTGAAAGGCATGCTATGTATGTTACTAATTCAATACATCAAAATTATGACCAGACCTTGTCTGCTGCTATATACCTGTCTGTTTAGACTTAAAAATAAAATACTTAAGCAAATCGGGCCTTCGATTTTCAGAACATACGAGCTAAGTGTTGAACTAACGTGATGTTCTCAGTTTCAAAGTTGACGATGGTCGATATGAAGTTGTCCTTCATCACTACCGATCGGATGCCCTTCCAGGTGTCGCCTTTCTCTCCTAGCAGCGTGCAGATTGATTCCAGCGCCATCTTCACTACGGAGGGGGGGTTGGCCATCGATCGCACCTCTACCAACTGCTGTTTCTTGATCGACCGCACCGCTGTCACGTTACGTCTTCACATTTTATTTAAGTACTAGCGCATTTGTAGCCAGAAACTAATTCTTTTTTGAAACTATTTTATCCTTATATTTTTTTCTTTACTATTATGTCAAAATGTCAAAACAAGTCAATAAATAGTGTAATTCAACAAAGATTTTAAAATAAACTGTCAACGTTATGGTCTCTGGCTACAAACAAATTTAAGGTTTACAATAATATATTCTACCAGGCATCTTTCTATTAATTCTATCAAGTTAGGTGTCTACCAATCTAACGTAAATAAGACTACTTCAAGGCAATACAAAGATTAGTCAGATTATATTCAGCATTTCTAGCTTCTAGAGGATGTATGAGGCTAGGGACATCGTAAAGCATATTTAAGTAGAACCCTATTGCTTTCAAACGGCAATCTTCATCGACATACATAACAATATTTCGAATGAATATGAAATCTCGGCAATATCACGAGTTTCATTGGATTTAATATATCGATGTGTGATATAGATAAAAAGAAGACCAAACCGTTTTGTGCTTCGATAACAGCAGGCTCTACTTGCGCTAAGTCCTCCATTACGTCTCTTCGTTTCGCTTCTATTTCCTTGGTTTGTTTTTCTAGAGCAACCTACATGACACAAAAAGTTATTATTATAATGATTACTGTATTCCCCTCCATGCATACAGGTGCAGCTTAGAAACTGCTAAATACTTACTTGAATCTCCTGGCTCTCGACTTTCTTCTTTTCGGCTTCTTGCTGGTCTTTTACCATTTGCCGAAGTTTGGCGTTGGCAGCTTCATTTTTAGCTTGCAATTCCTGTTGTTATTTGGTAATTATATTATTAGTGTTTTACAAACTAAATTCAACCATTAAGGTTGAAAATGGATTAATGGTTTTTTTAAAGACAGAGAGTACGGACAAGAAGCGATACAAAATGTGAACAATATGCATATATTCAAATAAAATTTAGAAAACAATAATTCAAATTATCAAAACCGAGAATACAAAAAGTTCAAACACAAAAAAATCATGACTAGTATCGGAAAGACACGGAACGTAATGAAAATGTCATTATTTTTTACTGTAAAATGGGTTCGAATGTTTGCAAACTCGGCGCCTCGGACAATTATTAGACTGTCAGTCCCGTTGTCTCGGTAAAGTATCGTATCGCTTCTCGTTGGTAGTTTAAAGAGTTGCTGTGTTACGTAGATTTTGAATACCTGTGATTTAACAGCGAGACTCTTCTGCATTTCCTCAACCTGTTCGACGGTCTCGGCTATCTTGCCAAGACCCACGTTTAAGTGCAATTGCTGCTCTTCTAGATCAGCACGCTTCTCTGCGTAAAGTTTCACCATTTGCTGGATAAAGTCCAGGTAATGTCTGCGTAATGAAGAGTGAACAGAAAAGAATTCATCAGCAATCTTGTGTGTTTAATGTGTTGCATACGTTTTATAAGGGTTGCTACACACATAATCGGGCTGGCATAGTCGGTTCGGCAGTTTTTGTCGAACAACAAAGCCGACTCGTAGTAATTACTGCTGAACATTATATACACATTTTCATTTTACCACCCGACTGCGCCGATTAATGTCGGCCCGCTTATGTGATAAAGCTACCCTAAAATTTATTAAGTTCAATAAACAATAATTTAATCAGTTGTTACATAAAATAATATCAATACAAGATCGGATTACGTTAAAAATGTATTCAAGTATTCTTACACGAATAAAGAGATTTGGTGACTTATTTCTTTGTCGTACTATCAAGGGGAAACCTTTTCCGCATATGTTTCCTTCTTTCAGTGTAGCAGTGGCAGTTCGTAACTGCTGCACCAGCTATCTTCAGGTCTGTACTTTACCCTTTACCACCGCTTAACATCAGGTGTACTAGAGTTACTTGCCTATCTTACTATTAAAAAAACTGTAATTTTAGGAACATTTGAACGGTTGAAGTAGTTATAGATGAATGAAGAGAATGCATTATAGAAATATACATCATCATCATCAGTCTATTAATTTCCTCACTGATGGAGCACAGACCTGTCCTATAGATGGAATAGGGAGAATAGACCATGACCCACCATGCGGTCCCAGTGCAGATTGGTGAGTGCTAACGACTGCAGATGCAGGCGGGATCAACGGCTTAACGTGCCTTCGAAAGTACGGAGGAGCTCGGTACAAAATTTTTGGTCATCGATCCAATGACCGACCACTGTGAAAATTGGTTAACTTCAACAATCGCAGCTGAACGCGCCAACAATTTGCGCCAACGAGCTCCTACATCCATCGAGCTACAAAAATACATGAACCCGGTTCACTACACTCCGTCATTGGGGAGGCTGTCAGAGGCGGATGGCCATGGTCCGGTTGGCCCGCTTGGCCAGGAGCGCGTTGGCCTGGTGCAGTACCAGAGCGTGATGGCCATGGTCCGGTTGGCCCAATGGCCAGGCGCGCGTTGGCTTGGTGCAGAGTCTGGTGCATTACCTGGGCGTGATGGCCATGGTCCGGTTGGCTCGCTTGGCCAGGCGCGCGTTGGCCTGGTGCAGTGTCTGGTGCACGTACACGCACGCGTTGACGACGGCCTCGCGGTGCGAAGGCCGCGAGCCCACCTTGTCGCACGCCGCCGGAAACAGTTCCGGGGGAACGTATTCCGCCGAGTCGAGGTCCATACGACTGGTGAACTCTTTGCCCACCTGTCGGGAAGCGACGGGTGCGAGTTGAGGTACAGACAAACGAACAGAGCTCAGGTATAGTATGATTTATACTTTACCAGCTGTGCCCCGCGGTGCTACCCGCGGTTTATTAGGTATATTTTCCCGCAGTTAAACCTAGCCTATGTGTCAATACAGGGTGCCAGCTAACTCCATACCGAATTTTATTAAAATCGCTCCAGCCGTTTAGACGTGAAGAAGTAATAAACATCACACTCACAAACTTTCGCCTTCATAATATTAGTGTGATGACAGATGTGAAGTTAGCAGCGACCGAATCTATGACAGGTTGCATTTCAGTGACATTCGACGTGTACCTACATCACCCAACGAATTAGAAATGATAAGGATTACTCTCTAACGAAGGCAGCTAAAACATGGTTCCAAACTCATACAGCTAAACTAAAACAGACAAAACAAAATAATTTGACAAATCAAATATCTGCAAATAAATTGGGCTATATATTCATCGAGTAACTATTAAACAGAAATTCGAGGTTTCAATTCAATGACATTCTACGTGTACGTACATCACCCTTTATTTCGTTTACTGCGCCGTCAATTACGCTAACTTCACAGCCGCCATTAAGTTTCAATCGCACTATATACAACTGATACGACATATTGACATCTAGAATAATAATGAATAAGGTTTTTTATGTAGCATAGCTTTCAGATACTATTTTATGCAGCATTAGATTTTTAAGTTTAGAGTAACTTTAAAATATTTCTCATAAGTACCTAATGCAAAGCAGTGCATATTTTTAGCTGTTCATAACTGCTGCATCAGCTGTCTTCGCGTCTGTATTTTACCACCACTTAACATCAGGTAGACCTGTGTCATTTGCCTATCTAACTATATAAAAAAACGGTTGAAGTGGTTATAGTGGAATAAAGATTCTTTTTTGCAAAAGTTACTTCCTGTGTTTTATTTAAGCATTTAATTGCTAGATGTCTAAATCTAAAGAAAAGTTTACTAGAAAAAGAAAACCACGCGGACCAGGCAGCAGACGGGACTCTAACCCGCAAGCGCCATCTCTTCGCATTGTAGGTAACTCCAAACCATCCACAAAGTTACTTCTTACTTTTCAACGAAATAAAATACTTCTGGTATTATTAATTATGCGAATTGAGTATTTACTTACTTGGAACAGAGCGCCGTCGCTCCAGTCACCGAACCAATTAAGCACGCATCGATTGAACAGAGCGGGCGAAGTCGCCGCGCGGTCTTTGAGACCTTCCGACGATGGATTCATGGTGAAAACCACGTGTAGATTGCGCATAACTTGACCGGTGAACCTGGGTAATTGAGACAGGTTAGTAAAATAGTTATATTGTTTCATTACAAATGTGTAGAAAGTGAAGTCATCAAACATATAAATCCGCTTGCGATACTAAGGTCTACTTGCATCACTCTTAAATCTAATATAAAAGCTGATCATGTTTAAGCCTCATTCCATTTCTATTAGTTAAGGAATTAACAAAGATGGTATGCTGTGTTAAATAGGATTGCCTTTGGTGCAATTTTGGTGCAAAAGCAACTTCTGTTTGTTGCTTATTCTGGTTCTATATCTTTGTTGGCCGAGTTAAGTATACTAAAATATATTTTCAACATTGATAAACCTCGGAAAAAATATAATAAACAATTGAGAACTTATTTATTCCGCTGATTGAAACGTTTTTTTATATGACTCAAACATAAAGGTGAGAAAGAAGTCATTAAAATAATGGTAATTATTGTAAATATAGGTACTAATGGTCAAATTATCAGAAATCGATTGACAGAGAACATACCATTTGTACAATTCATCATTGGAGTCCAACATTAGACCTTCTCTTTGTGCTCCTTCCTTACATTGAGTCATGAGAGCAGCGAATTCATCGCCTTCGAATAACCCAGGCACCTAGAATGGAGTACATAATTAAGTTTAAAATATTTTCATTATAAGGAAAGAAAGCGGCTTTAAATGATACTTTATTTTTTACTGAAATCCATTATAGACTTTTGATAGAGAAAACTGTAAGCGAGTTTACATGCGCAGACAGATAAACTGTAGTCATAGCCCTATAGTAAAAAAATATCGACTCTTAAACATAATATAAAACAATTTTAAAGTTTTATTCTCCCTACCCTTCTTCCAATTTTGAATCGGTGCGATGTGGTTTTCCTGCCAATTATTCTCTTTTAATTATTTGATTACACACAAACATTTGAACCACCGGGATTCCAAACTGGGACCTACAAGTAGGCGACACAGTTGAAAATCGGCGTATATACCACTCGCACCATGGAGGTCGTCAGTCACCAGCTATCTTCGCGTCTGGACTTTATCACCACCTAACATCAGGTTGGGTAGAGTCATTTGCCTGACTTTGAGGAAATCCAGGATACCCTCCGCCGAGAGGGAGACGGGGGCGGGGGGTCATGCCGGACTCCTACCGGCTAAAACCCCAAGATGTTCCGTCACGCATATGGGCGAGTAAAACCGTGAGCTCTGGCTTTACCAATTTCTACCACGGCCCCGCCATGCGATGTCTTTGCGGGGCCCCTCTTACAGTCATTTGTCTACCTAGCTAAAAATAAAGTATTACCGTCTATTAAAAAAAACGAGCGAGCCTTACAGTAGTCGGTCGCGTATGATGTGTAACATTTGAAACCTCACCTTATAGTAAAAAAAGAAATAAAACCTACTACAAAAGGAATAAGCCATTTGAACATTATGTTCTAAAATCAAATCAAATAGTGCGCGCTTCCCAAACTTCCTGTTACACACTTCCGTCACACTTCACGTAATCACTCCCACAAATTGCACGAAAGCGAGAGGAAAGATGTCACACATCAAAAATCCTTATAACTATTCAATTACCTCTCCGTTGGCGAGCAGCGTATTCATACGCTCCAGGAAGCCGCTGTCGAGCACGTTGGACTCGTCCAGTATGAACGCTAGTTTCTCGTCGCGGCAACCGGATCGCCGCAATACGGTACGCAAATCCTCGTCGAAATCGGCACCCGTGTATTTGTTGTGCACCTGATTGGATTTAAATTTAACTTGATTTCCTTTGTGTGGTGTTGATTCTCTTTGAACGGTGTGTGTCATTGAATTACTCCGATACGGCTCGACCAATGTTCGTGAAATTTTATATGCATATTCAGCAGGTCTGAGAATCGGACAACATCTATTTTTCATCGCCCTAAATGTTAAGGGTGGTCCACCCATTTTTTTTGGACAATGTTTTTTGTTTTTATTTTTTTGTGATACATCATACAAAATATAATACTTACAACCCTAAATTTTCACCCTTCTACCACCCACCCCTATTTTTTTAATGGCGGTAAGAAGTTCGCTGGGACAGCTAGTATATTAGTGAGTTATATACTTTCCTATAATTGGCAAATGGACACTTCTAGACAGATCAATCGTGTGGGATTAGCGGGAAAAAGTAGGGGCGGTAGTAAGTAGAGTTTCTACGTTGTGTATTACTATGAGCAACAAATGTATGAATCAAGAAAATAAATATTTGTCATTCAAATTCAAGCCTTATAACTTAACACATAAGTGACAAGTTATATTATAATTATTAATTGGGAAATCGACGCTGGTTGTAAATGCAAATTAACAGCGTCTTTGTGAAAAAGCAATGAGATCAATATTTGTAGAGGAAGTGAAATGTCATAATGATGCATCTAAAAATTCAATTATTTTATATAATTTTTTTTAATATATTTTTTTTATTTTTATTTTATTTATTTTTTCTAGCGCTATAAGGCTTTTTAAAGAAATAGCGAAAAGATTAGTCGACATCACAGGAGACCGAAGAGCTGGCAGCTACCTCGGACAAAGAATAAGTCTAGCTATCCAAAGGGGGAACGCTGCCAGTATCTTCGGAACCTTGCCTAAAGGGACTCCTTTTAATAATGTATTTTAGTTATTATATTTTATTTTTTAAGGTTTTTAGTTTTAGGTTCATTGTTATAGTATATTTTTTGTTTTAATTATTCTTAAATTTATTCATTATTTTATTTTCAGTTATGTTATGGTGTAAACCCAGTTTTGATTTAAATAATTCTATATGGTTCAGATAGTCTCAAACTTGACTTACCTTGATCTGGAAGATGCTGAGTCCGTTCATCCAAGCGACGAAGCGACTTAGGGTAGTCTTGCCCGCCCCAGAAACTCCGATGAGCAGTAAATGCCCCTGAGGTTGGCGGAATATACGGTCGATACGAAGCACGTGATCCAATACTTCGTCGAACAGTACGAGGGGTACATCCAACTCTTCTTCATAGAATACCTGTGGATATTCTTGACATTTGTAATTATAAAAGGTTCCACAAATAGTTTCATATTATAGAAATAATTTCATTGTTTGTATTGGCTATATAAATATTCATTTACAGTAAGCGATTTAGTAACAACTGAAAAACGAAAGTAACACATTAAACGTCATTCTGAAACCTACAATAAAAAAATAAGGGTAATGCGAATGAATATTAATGAATGCACTAAAACTATTATTTATTTTCATCAAGTATTTTACATTGAAATATTAGATAAAACAATTTTTACGGGTTAGATGCACTGAGCTCAATAAAATTCTTACAAAGGTAGCTCGACTAAGTAAATAAAAAATCATTATTTCTGAAGACGCAATTTGCAAAGGCTGCGAAACGTCAGATAAATAAATTCAGTGTATCTGACCCGTAAAAATGGTTTTATTTAATGAGTGATGTGCGTGAAAACCTAAGATATATGGAAATATTTGCTTAATGCTTAAATAATGAGTACTGACCTTTAGTCTGGCTTTGACATATTCGCGTAGTTGATCTCTCTGCACAGGAACGTAGTCCTTGCTAAGCCAGTTGCTGTATAGTATGGGACGCGCTAACGCTTGCTCTCTGTTGATTCCTGTAGTAAGTAATGATTGGTAAAAGATAAGGCATATTTTATAAGGACAAACTGTGCGTAGATTGATTTTAATAACGTTTTAAGTTTCCAAACTTTAGGTTTTCAATTTTTTTTAAGAATATCATGCCGGCACTTGGCTTGACTATTCATGCTAGTTATTTGTAAACTTGACATCAGTCGGTCCTCTTCATTCTTTATAAAGCATGATAAGGACAGAAAAGCATGGTAAGAAAGTTTGGAAAGCGTTCAACTCAAACTCGTGTAAGAAACAAATAAAATTGAAAAAATAATTATTGTTATTTCATACAAAAATGTGCTCCTATGAGTTACTTTTAGTAGATATATTTTTTAAATCTAAAGAAAATTTTACTAGAAAGTTTCCACGCGGTCCTGGCAGCTGTTAAGACTCTAACCCGTACTCTCTGCTATCCGGGCGGATGCACTTCCAATTATGCTACCGCGACCTTAATGGCCGTGTCGAATTTCTCCTAGTATTTCTTAGGCTGCAAGGCAGCGCCATCATATCATATCACAGATGTATTTTGTTATTGAAAGTACCTTTTTTGTGTCTGGGAAATGCCTTACGCATCCTTCAACCACTGGGGGAGCCAGAAGAAGGTATGTGGGACTCCTCCCTGTTCATTTCAATCAGCCCTGTGGCCGGATGAAATAAACAGGGCCCTACCTAACGCCTTGAACAGGGCCACAAAAAACCAGACAAAAGACAGTTATTGAAAGTACCTGGGAAGAATCTCATCGCCACAGTATCGATATTTTCGTCGGTCCATTGCCTCTCCGAGTCTTCCACGAGACGGTCTTGGAACAAGCGCAGAGCTTCGTGCGCCCACAAACGGACGAGACCCTCCACGGATAAGTTGTCCAGAGGTCTGTCGAAAACGTTTACTTTTAAATGATAGTCGGTAAGAGGCATATTAATATAAAGTTCATACATAATTTAAATTTACTCCTCTCAAGGAGAGGCGCTGAATAGTATGGCATTGAGAAGAGGATATGAAATTTCGTACCATATTACGTGAAAGTTGAGAAAAACGAATCAGCTTGTTTTTATTAGTTAGATTTTACACGAGTCAGATACATGGAAAAACAAGTTCGAATACTACAGTACCCTAAGCATGAACCAATATCGAATTCGAATAGTAGTCTGCTATAAGTGGAAGTGTCCCTCTAATAGAAAGAGAAAGAAGATGAGAGACCGCTAGCTTTCTCTCTCTAATCGCGCATGAGCATTGGCAACCGTAAGCATCTTACTTTTTCGATGTGATGCCATTTGCTGCCATGCGTCACAAAAGATAGAGATAGCTAGCGGTCTCTCATCCTCTTTCCCTTTCTACTAGACGGACACTTTTAGAGCCGCTTCCCCACTCTATTCTTGCCACCTCTATGATCAAGATAGAATTTAATTATTCGAATTCGATATTAGTTCGTGTTAAGGGTACAGGGTTACCTAATGGCTTCGCAGATGCCGCGCACCCATCGCGTCATCTCTCGCGGCGAGTAAACGTAGTGCGGCTGCATGTCCTGCGTGAATCTCTCCTGGGATGCGAGGTATAGTCGCACCATCGCTTGCGTTAAAGGTTCCGCGTATCCGCGTAGCGCCGGCTGCATTCTCAGCATCGCTCGCGTGAATGTGCCGTAAATCTAACGTGATCAAAGATGACCTTTATTTGTAAAACTAATAGAGATTTTTATAGATCAATGACAGTCAAAAAGTAAGAATTTCAATCATAGCTATCCTAGTCATTACGAAATATTGTAGTTTCTCAGAAATCGGGCGCGTCTCTAAATTTGGTCGTTTCCAAAAACTTTATTAAAAAGAATCTCATTCATGAGTTAGACACGTTAAGTTGTTCGTCCCAGCTGTATCCATTATTTTTCTAAGTTCTCTCCATAAAAAACTATTTTTTTAAAGAATACAATTTACAGTAAAGTAATATAGAAATGATAACCTGTTCGAGCGAGGTCTCGCCGGGGTAGTCCACATATATGACGGGTACGTGCCGCAGTAACCGATGCGACAAAGGCTTACGACCAGGGTCTGTAGGCGGATTACACGCGCCCACGAATTGGATCCGTTCCAGGTGTACCCACGAGTGATCTAATGACACAATACACATATTATGTTATGATGAGCGAAATGAGAGAGGATTTTGATGGCTCAGGTGGTTAGCGCGTTCGCTCTGCGATCGTGGAAGTTAAGCAATTATCGCAATGGCTGATCGTTGGATGGGTGACCAAAAACTTATTATATCGAGCTCCGCCGTGCTCCGGAAGGCACGTCGTTAGCATTTGCCAATCCGCACTGGGCCCGCGTGGTGGGTCAGGACCCAATATCCGTAATCCATCCATAGGTAAGGACTGGCCCTGGCAGTGGGGACATTATAGGCTAATGATTTTTCAAGTCTCGGGTCTCTGAATCGGCCACGAAAGCCGACAACGAGTAGTCCGAGGCAAGGTCAAGTTACACAAAGTGCCCTTTTACACTCTCGTACTCGATGAACAACGCAATTAGTGTGGTCCAGGTTTAAGGGTTTTTATTGAATCTTGATTTTAATGGGATTCAGTAAGGGTAATATTTTTACTGGAGTACGTGGCTGCAATAAAGTGGCTGGTAACATTGCAAGCAACGCTAGCCAGACTATGTCAAAGTATTTTATAATGAAGTAAGTTTTAAATACATTTTAAAAATAAGAAGATGCAGCAAATCCTTGCATTAACTTCCTCAAATCAAATTACACTAACATTTTTATATAAATTTAATATATTAGATGATTACATTAAAATTGCATTTATAAATACTTACCGCTAGCCCTGTAGAATCCTTTGTGCTCTAGTAGTTGCCTCAAGAAAGATATGACACGTTGCGTGCCGTACTGATCCATATCTGGCAAGTTGATCTCGTCACAGAACAACACCAACCATTTGCCAAGCTATGAGCGGAAAGAAAGTAGTCATAAGTAAACGTATACGTGTATTGGTGTTAACAACCATCTGATTTGAATAAACATTATATTTCATGGAAATCGGGATAAGCTACGATATCTACATGTACTCGAGAAAAGAAATGTTAACCTCTGTCTGTGTATGTACCGGATATGGTATCGCAACCTATAAAGATATGGTGATGTCACCATTCCGGTACATTTATCTTACGAGTACATAGACCTAAAACAAATTTATACGTCAAATCTTGTGATACCTATTAATCACATTCCCTTGTAGATGTAATGTTGGTGTCGATTCTGGCATGATCCTCTAAACCTAAACTTAAAAATTTACAACAATGTATCCTTTTCATTCTATACATAGAACGAAAAAACTGATGTTTAATTAAGTTTGAAGTATATAGAATCACGCCAGAATCGAAACCAATTTATTGTTAGTTACATCGGGTAGTAAATACCTGTACTGGTGCCAGCACCACACCATTAGGAGTCTTCCTATACTCGCAGTAGTGATCGAAGGTCTTGAGTAAAAGTTCAGGCGTAGTGGCTGATGAGAAGTTGAGCCCAACCACCTCCATATCGGGTAGGGCTCGTAACGCCGAGAATAGGGTCATAGTCTTTCCGGAACCAGGTGGACCGCATAGCACTAAGAAATAATAATAACTTCTGTAAGTTTATGGCATGGTTTTAGTGAAACAAATACGATTTTGATTATCAAGCAACTACATCTTGTACAAGATCGTTAGTACTTAAATCGGTTTCCCTCTCCATGTGGACGAACAAACAAACTCTTGGGGACTGAGTTTCTGGTAATGGCTTTAAGTTGCTTTGGAATTTTTAAGCCTCGAAAGTAGTGGCTCATTTTCGTGAATGTAATGCATATTCAGTGAATAGTTTAGGGCTTCCCGCTTACTTGGCTTCAGATTGTGACGTAATTTGCAGTTACAAGTCACCCATAAAAAGTAACCTTTTCTTATTTATTTCACACAACAAAATTACCAGTGTCTAAAAGTTTCTGATTTGCAAATGTCCTGGTAACTGTGGATCTGCAAATAATATCTAAAATACACGGATCTTTGATTTTTATACGTCTAGAGAGAGAGAGCAATCCAAATAAACTACGCAAAGAAAACAGCTCATGTTTCGCGCAATATGTGCGGGTCTCAATGTCAGATTGTATTAAAGCAGTATATGTGTGCGTGTGAAGCGACGATCATATCTACCATATGTAGAAGATATTTTTGTGCCGTTTTCTTGCAGTTGATACGGTATATCAAAGATTATTTAATTTTTAGTGAATACTGACCTAACGGCTTGTGCTCTGCGAGCCAGGTGTACAGCAGTGCTTCGTGTCGCACGGTGTCCAGAGTGGGCACTACCACGTCGGGTGCGGCCACTTTGTGGGTCTCCACTTCTATCTGCGGTACTTTAGCGGACCACGCTACCCATTCACCGGTGATAGATACCTACAATATTATGATTACTTATTTATTTATGCTACCGTTAAAACAAAAGAAAAGAAAACGGGTTCAAAAGTTATGATTGTATTTTTCCAAAATTATTCGTAGATAATTTTTATATAAGCTGAACAAACACACTTACAACTTTGCTCACCCCGGATTTCAATTCCTAGCTACGAGTTTCAAAATTACATATAAAGGGTAGTACTAAAAATAATAATGTTACCGATTTTATTTTGATCAAGAAAAACGGCTTAAAATGGAAACTTACCTCAAAATCAATAATATGTTGATTGGGACCGCAATTAGGAAGCTGCATTGTGCTGGCAGATCTGATGAAATCCCCAAGTTCATTGCGGTCCTGCGATATGGAATGAAAACAATTATCATAAAACAAAGTTACGATTAAAAAGGGATTTTGCGGCTACTGATTGAGATCTTACCTTTAATTTAGCGTCACCAGCGAACGACCACAGTAAGGAGTATACAAGCCACTTGGGTACGTAGGCCTCTAGTTGCTCGTTCGTGACGGGGAAGTCAGGGTGTTGTCGGTTGTAGCCTAGAATATTCCTGCAAACAAAATATTATTCATTGGTAACTTAACACCGTTGGTAACTTTAGCTAAACACTATTATTTCACTACAGCACGGGTATCATTTTCCAAGAGAAGAGTTCAACTTTATTGACTTAGTAATATATATCTCATATCATTCACTTTAAGAGATTGTGATGGTTTATGACAGGGCTTCACATTGACGGTAACTCCTCGGGGCATGAGAAATACTTGATAAGGACCTTCATTCGCCTGATTATGTAGTTAGTAGAGACTCCAATTCATTGAACTGCGGGCACTTGCCACGATCATTGATTGCTAGTTTGTGATTGACTATAGGAACTTTGACCCCCTATTTCGCTGCATCGAAGTTTTTATGCATATTGCATACTAAAGACATAGAGAATAGATTGAGCGTTTCCTGTCGAACTGTAAAGTAGAACAAAAGTAAAAGTGAGAGAGAGGAAGCGATCGGCCGGTCTCTAGTTCTCATTTGTGTATTGGCTATTTTTTCTCTCTATAGTATTGTTTTCTTTTTAGTATTGCTCAGACCACTCTCTATGTCTTAGTTGTATACTGACCGAAAGCATCGGCTGAGCATCGAATACAGCGAGGAGAGCGCCCGGTGCCGAGTGAAGTCCATTATGTGGTCGAGCGAGGCGACGCGTTCTAAAAACTTTACGACTAGATTTCACTACCGTCATAAAGCTCAAATCACTATAAACCTGTGGATCGATGCTTTATGATATTGTATACTGACCTAATGCCTCGGTTGAGCATCGAATGCAGCGAGGAGAGCGCCCGATGCCGAGTGAAGCCCGTTATGTGATTGAGAGAGGTGGCCCTTTCCAAACACTTCAGACTAGACTACTTGATCACCATAAAATTCAAATTACTATAAATCTGTGGATGGATAGATTATTATGATAAAGATACTTTATGATTTTGCATAATGACCTGACGCCTCGGTTGAGCATCGAATGCAGCGAGGAGAGCGCTCGGTGCCGAGTGAAGTCCATTATGTGGTCGAGCGAGGCGGCGCGTTCTAAACACTTTACGACTAGACCGTCGCTGAAGAATAGCGGCTGGAGTATCGACGCTACGTCTCGTTGCGTCTGAACAAAGTTTAATGATACGTCAAGAAACATTTCCTATAAAATTAATCTTTTAAATATTATTAATAGTTCATAAAGTTAGTGTCTAACTTTATCTTACAAGTTCCTATTTTGCAAAATTTGCAACATAGTTAGAAAAAATGTGTTTTTCAGATTTACAACTTGAAAATGATTCATTATTGTACTATCTCTGAAACGAATACGTTTATAACATGATTTCATCTGTCTCACCTGAAGAGCTGGGGAAAGTATATTTTCAGTAGCGTTTTGATCACCACCTGCAGTGGGAGCTGCCATTACTATGCTGAAGGAATCTTCTTCGCCGTCCTCAAGAGGGATGTTCTTGAGTCTGTATGAATCGTGAAATTATCATTACTATAAATATTACAATAATACTTTAGGTCTTCGTTTGTTCTACAATACGAATACCGCTTCTACACAATTGAGGTTATTAAGAAGATTAATTACCTCATAAGATAGTTTTCGAAGATCATCTCGGTGGTAAGAACGTCTTGTGAGAACCAGACCATGCCGCAACGCGACACTGTGGCTAAGGTGGCGTACTTCAAGTCTTGCACCTAGAGAAAAATCAACCAAGCAATGTGTTTTTTTACTTAAAAAATATATCTAACTAATTTATTAGAATTGATAAAGTTTAGACCTTATACACTCAGAAACAAGGTCTTTTATTTAAGCATTTGATAAAATATTCCTAAGTACAATACAATATAAAATTCAGAAACGCTTCCGATGTTGACTGAGAGAAGGGGAACTAGTAGTATTATGCCGGCGCGTCAATTGACTATTCGTATTTGCTATTTGTAAACTTGACAACAGTCTGTCCTTATCATACTTTGTAAGGAATGAAAAGGACAGACTGATGTCAAGTTTACAAATAGCAAACACGAATAGCTAAGTGAAATGCAGGCATTAGAGCTTGTATCAATACAAAATTTGACTCTATACACTGTAACCGAATCTAAATCAAACTCAAAATAATTTATTCAGTTCAGACTGTTACAAGCACTCTTGAATCTCTAGAAGCTAAGCCATCGGTTCGAAAAGAAATGGACACAATATATCGTCGAGTTACTCCTTCAATCGTCGAATGCTTACCTCAAACATGACACGGACGTTGGGCGGCAATGATAGACGCTCACCGTTGGGCAACGTCAGCAGTTTGTTGTCATCGAGCACAGAGTTCAAGTTCTCTACCCATTCGGGATCTACGTCACCGTCGAAGATGATCCATTGACGCTTGTTGATTTCACCACGTACGTTGTCGATGATTTTCCTGCATTACCAACATTTGTAGATTGAAAAAGATTCTCGATGGTGCGGTGGGAAGAGGATTCCAGGTGGTTGAGGCGTCTGTTCTTACAATAGTGAAAGGTATAAAAAGGACTCTTGCTGCCAGGAGGGTTAAAGTTTCTGTGTAAATTCAAGTTATATATTTAATTCTCAGTGAAGATATTTCAGTGTCTTTGAACTATATATTTGCTCTCTATTATACATTTAATAATATGCCATAATTCAATTTATGAAATGTCAGTACCCAGGTTTAACAAAAGAGCCCGGTTTTGATATTATAAGATTCTATCAGACAGGGTGTTATATTTTACTTTGACAAAGTAAATCTATTAGTATTGCTATAAACATACACACATATATTGCCTAGTTACATTACAGAAATAGTTTACCTTAGGATGTGAGTAAACAGACCGTCCGTCCATTCGCGGGTGTTAGGATCCAGTACACCATACAAAGTTTCCTTCGACATTGCTTTTGGATCAATGACGTGCGCCACTCCTTCTACACCTTCAAACCTGGCGAATTAATTGAGGTTTTCAGAGAGATGCCATCAAGGGAGTTAAATAATTTCAAGTCAAGAAGCTTTTCCAATGTTTAATACATAGGTACGTTGGGAAAAATATTAAATTTAATAGGGATGATGACTAATTTTTTTTTCTAAGTCTATCAGATAGATTATCAAAAAGTATAGATCATGTATTTTTTATTTTTCATATAGGTACTCAAAACATTCCAGACATATATAAATTTGAAATGACGCGTGGAGTCACGTTTTCGTACAATTTTTACTAAAAAGCCGTCACGAGCCCCCACTTCCAAACTTAGCGCGCTTTATGTTTGTGATTTTTTGTTTTGTTGACAAAAGAAAAAAAATCGTTTAGTCATTATCCAAATACTTTAAATAGGTAGGAATAATGAGAGATGATATATTACCTCTCTAAAGCTTTCAATAAGACACGCCAGGCGGTCGATTTGCCACTTCCAGATGGCCCAACCATCATTAGACCGTGGTTGAGTTTGCAAATCTGGTACAACTGCAGTACCTATACACACCAAAATCAAGATTAGCTAACATAACCGTATATTATTTTTAAACCAGGTTGTTAATGTAATGTTGGATTATAATTTTTACTTTATTTACGGTTAATCAAAGTAATAGATCAAAAATGTAGACAAACGAAAATTAACAACATAAAATAGTCTTTAATAACATAGAAAGTTTTAATAAAATTGATTTTTATTCAAATATTTTTTATTGAAGGTAACCTTTTGTTTTTTCGCAATTATTTTAATGATGTAAGAACATCATCAGAAGCTATATTAAAACTTTATAAAGATTTAGGTATATTTTATTATCCATCCGGCTGACTGGAAAGGCAACAATAATAAAACAAAAGGGAAACAGTGTAAGCTATACACAAACAAAATAGTATTCAACAATTTGTGCAATAATTTATTGACATAGACTGAGTGAACAATGAGACATAACTGTGCGACACAAGACACAAGAACCCTTATAACACACACACGAACAAAGAAGATTCAACAGGAACAGCAACTGTGTAGAAGTGACAGTAAAAACAAGTTTTAATTCAAGTAAGAAAATCATATTCGGTTTAAAAGGGTAAAGGAAAAAAAGTTATTTTTTTTTAAATGTCGCATCATTATAACAGGATTCAAGTAGTAATTATAATAATTCTGCACAAAAAAGAAACTAAAAAATATTTTTCTGAGTTAGGTAGGTATCGTATATTAATTAGTCGGTAGTTTCCATATTTAATTATCATAACTGTAAAATATGAATATGATTTTCGGGTGCCAGAAATAGTAAAGACACTTTAAAGTACTTGGTTAAAGCAATATTAAAAAGAAGCATACTCCAAAATAAGGGCCACTTGCAGCAAAGTTCTTAAATCAAGTTAAAATACTAAATCACGTTTAAACTTTATATTATTTTTATTATACTTCGCCGGCACTTTCCTTGTTTATTCTTATTTGCTATTTGTTGACTTAACAGCTTAACTGACCTTTGCATTCCCTATAGAGCACGAAAAGGCACATTGTTGTTGAAATAACAAATAGCAAACACAAATAGCCATGTGAAGTACTAGCAGTAGACTATGGACAATGGGGTATTTGACAAGTTTTAGACTTAGATCCCACGTTATTTACTTATGTTTATGGAGTCCATAAAAAGTAGATATTTATAATTTTGTTGTCTAATTCAGTAAAAAAAAATGAAAAATTCAATTTTCAAGTTGCCGCGAAAACGTTTCTCTGGTCATTATGGCGTCTCACTAGTATGTGACGTCACACGACAGGCACTAAAACGTCAAACGATACAATTTTATGTCACTTTGACCGGAAGTTCACTAGCGTGTGACGTCATTTTAGTCTTGGCCAATCCCAAGCTGCTGCTAGATAAATGATGAATAGCTGCTAATATTGATATTGCCAACAATTGGTACATTTTTTCTTCATACTGTCAAATAGCCTATTGGTAAAGATGGAATGCTTCGTCAAATAGGATAAAGCGTTAATTTGATATAATAATATTAGTGCAAGTGGCCCAAGACATTGTAGAGTGAATTGCAGAAGAATATAACATTTGGCTGTGAGATTGGCTTGTTGTGTCTTTACTATTGCCACTAGGTTCTATTTTCAAACACCGTACAGTAAAACAATGGAACGTGAGAAAGAGACACAGAGATCCTTAAAGACATGGTGGCATAGTGCGTGCGCCACTGACCTTCTCGATCCACGTGCTGTGTTGAGCGCGCGACGCGGCGCCCAGCCTCTACGTGCCGTTAGCGGGTTAGCATGGAAACGCATACGCATTCACACTCACGTCTACGTTATGGTAACGAACGTGGTAGTGTCGGCTAACTGGTTTATACTCAATTAGGAGAACTTATCGCTTTTTCTCTCTGCCAACTCCACCCGGGACTCGGGGTGAAGATAGATAGATTATCGTTAAGTCTATCGCAATTGCTATTTACCAATTGTCATATTTTTGGCTGAATTGGCTGATAATATTTTCGTTGTGTTCGGACCCGGCTTGTGTTACTTGTCCAGCAGAAAAATCAGAAATTGGAATGGTATTATTTTATTGCAATCTCACTTTAAGGTCGTATTAAGACGGCTCGTGTGACCAGGTTTAGTTTAATCTCAGGTTTACATACAAATAATAATAAAAAATAGTAAGCCTTTGACGTAAGTTACTCATTGCTTGAATAAAAATAGTAAGGTGTCGAGTATAAACAACAGTTGCCTACACAAAATAGTTATAATGATAAAGCAAATAATGTTATGATTATAATGTTAAGTGTTATGAATAAACATAATAATATTGTTAAAATGCTAATGAATAAATAATTATTCGGATTATACTGCGTCGCCGTCACCACTTCGTTGGGATGATATTTTATGAAGGCCTGGGTCGGAATCCCTAAAATATCGTTAATTCAATAAAACCAATAAGTAATTTGATTCAGACTCATTTGGTAAAAATATAAATTAATACTTATATAAATTATCTTTTTACCAAATTCTATGAAGTACTATACTAAATATATGTCAGGATTTGTATTTTATTGGGTCAGATGTTAATTAGGGCATGCGACCAGCACCAATTTTATGGTAATGTGGTGTACAATTCTCAAAACGTTGTGCAAAACGACTCGGACACTTGACTTGTGAAACAACGTTAAGAGGTATCACTATCAAAATAACAACCACTTGTGTATTTACTAATCAACAGTAGATTGGATGATAAAAGTAATAATACTCCATTTAGCATTTATTTAAAGGTTTATTGTGAAACGTACCTTTTCCATCCATGTTGAACCTTGTTCATCACCTTCTCCGCAGACGAGGAAATCTTCGGCGCAAACTGCGCGGATTTCGTTCTTTAAACCTATGAAGTGAAACATCCTGGTTAACAAATGACTTCCTATTGTGATAACTGAATATATACTATAGTTGGATACAAAGAATAAGAGTATACGGTTTCTAAATATTTTTATGCTGATTTGGAGTAAGATATCTTTTCATGTCCTTTTAAGATTCAGCAGCTTAAATTTTATTTTCATGGTCGAGTACAGACTTTTACTATTGATAGCATAGGCAAAACGTAATACTGCAGCACCGCCGCATTATATGTAGCTTGGGCACCATGGTTTTGTATACATACTGGATCTAAATGTTAGATCTAGGGTGAGATTATAACTGACCAGTCATCTCAACTGTGGTGTAGCCCATGTTGGGGAACACGTCTTATAGTAGAGAGAACAGCAATGGAATATCTTCGGGGACCAGCTTGGGCACGATGGCCTAGTATACATACTGGATCTAGATGTTGGATCGAGGCTAACCGTCGTATTTATAAACAAGTAAAATACATTAAGTACTTCTGTCATAAAGTAATGACTTGAGGAACATTTTTCATTTCACCTTAAAAAAATTTCAAAGTAGGAATTGTCAAAAATGAGAATTCTTATAATTTATTCTAGCAAAGCAATTAATCGATATTGCCGACGCAAGATAGACTCTGTAGCACGTTACTTTAGGATAGCATGTGTGAAAGGGGCATAATGTCTTACGTCGTCATTTGCGATTTCTTTTTTATCGGCGCGAGTTAATCAGTCACCATTTTTGTTGCTAAGTAACCACTTTCACTAGAATTCTACAATACATATAATGTATTGAAGAATTCTAGGGTCAAATAATGACTTGGTTAATTGGAAAATAAATAATTACTTATTTATAATACTAGTGTTAGATTGTAATTGAGCGTTCATCTCAGCCCTGGTGTAGCCCACGTTGGGAAAGACGCCGCTGAGTAGATAGAACAGCAATGGAATATCTTCGGCGATTAACTTGGGAACCATGGTCTAGTATACAGACTGAATCTAGATCTTTGATTATTTATACGCCTAGATAATGCTATCCAAATAAATCAAGCAAAGAAAACGGCTCAGATTCCGCGCAATGTGTGCGTGATTCTAATGTCAGATTGTACTAAAGCAGTCTACATATATGTAGTAGATAATTTTAATCCTGCTTCCGTGCAGTTAATACGGTATCTAGGGTGGACATAATCAAAAATCTAGATGTTAGATCGAGGGTGAGATTGTAACTGACCTGTCATCTCAGCCCTGGTGTAGCCCACGTTGGGGAACACATCGTTGAGCAGAGAGAACAGCAATGGAATATCTTCGGCGACCAGCTTGGGCACCATAGTCTCACACACTGATTGGATCAAGATGTCTTGCTCTGGTAACGACTCCGCTATGGACGCCTCGTCTGGCACTTCTGTACCGCGTTCTACGAGGTTCTCCTGTATTAAGTATTGGTTTTTGTATATTATAGTAATCAAGTATGGCTTTTTATGGTTATGGTTAAAGAATTTGAAAAGATACGAAAGCACTACTCTCGAAAGCAGGCCATTTAAAGATGGTTCCAAATTCATACAGCTAAACTTCAATACTAACACGACACGCACACAGAAATAAAAATACTTTGGAAAATCAAATATCTGTAAAAGAATTCGGCTATCCATTCATTCTGTAATATTAAACGGAAATATGAACCAATTCTTTTGATCGCAGTTTGCGTGGTACCACTTTTTAAGGCAGTTCGTATTCAATATAATTTCTTATTCGTTGGGTAACCTAAAATTCTAGTTAAATAGATTGCATCAAAGTAAACATCAATTCTAATGTAATTCAATGGTAAGTTAAAATTAAGTCATGTCAAAGGCTTGAAACTAACCTTGATTTTCTGTATACGATCGCGCTTCACATTACCGGCGGAGACTAGCACGGATTTCAGAGCACGCAAGCCGAAGTCGTAGTGGGATTGATTTGATAGTTGCTCATCACAAAGTCTATAAAACAAAGAGAACATCATGGTCAATGGTCATCAAATGTACAGCACAATTACATTGTCTAAAATTCTTGTAGATACGTCTATAGATAGTTAATAGTATCTGGTTTATTAATATGGTTGTTGAATGATTTGCAACCACAAAACAAGTGAGTTGCAAGTTGTCAGGGTGAGGGTGAGAGGAGGAAGGAGGATCAGCTTGGTAAAGCTGCTGAGCCAGCTATGGCGTTACTCGCGTCTGGATGCCCCCTGCACTTAAAATTAGGTGGAAATAAAATCGGATTGGATGTCCGAGAAAATGGAATCATTTGCTCCTTCATAAAATTATTGATACAAGTAGTAGTCAACTTACTTGAAGAACGGCACTATCTTGCAGGCTAGCTTCTCCGCGGTCCTGAAGCCCTGGCTGAACAGCATCACTTCGGCGATGAGCTGGCGGTCGGGCGTGGTCATGGCCAAGCTACGGAACAGCTTCTTCAGGTTGTCGGGCAGGTTGGAGCGGCCCGCGTACCCAGGGTTCATGGTGATGAAGATGGCCATGTCTTGGCTCACCCGCACTTGTTTGCCAACAAGTTCCACTGTTATGGATTTGCCTGTTGTAAAAAAAAAATAAGTATATATGAAGTCACGACAAAAGATATATAATCGATATAAAAACTATTCCCCATGATTTCACAAATGAGTATTTCCACTTGTGTATGTCTTTTCATAATTTTATTCTTATGATTGAGCGGTGTTAAGCGACCAGCGGGCATTTTTGGGACCAAACAGAGTCGAACTTAATCATGGCTTCATACAACAAATTTTCGCTTGTTCCAAAAAAGCTGGTCGCTTTCTGCCTAACAACGCTCAACTTCACCGTATAAAAGACATATCTTTCGCCAAGAGCGCATAGTTTTCATAGGCTACTCTAAAATTTTACATATCCACAAACTTTAAGTTTACATTGCACTAAAGGGAAATTGTCTTCTACAAAAATTAAGTTCAGTCCTAAGAGTTTAAAGAAAAAATACTTACTAGTATTGTCGCCTTCCTGATGGCTTTTTAGCGCTTCTTGTATTGTCTGGACTTGCTGTGACACAGCAGATAACATTCTCTCTTCCAGACGATTAAACTCGTCGAAGCAGCCCCAGGCTCCCACCTTAATTTTTTCAAAGAAAATTTATTATTTATTTTAAAAGCAGAATTATATTTATTTATTCAAAAACAGCATACAAACTAACGTAGTTAAATGGCTATTTGCACCAGCATTCATAATTCTAATTAAGCTTCATCTTGTTTAACTCATCATTCTACCTTTGTCGATTGTTCAAAGTCAAATGGAGGTAGAATAAAAATTATAAGCCTTGAAAATTGAATTACGAACTTCATTGCAAATAGGCCTAAAATTGTGTTTTCAAGAGCACTTGAAGAACTTTCCCATTAAACTATTAATACTTGAGCTGTGAAAAAAACAAATCTTAAAATTGATACAAGGATATATTGTACCTGGCATAGACCGACGAAGATGCGGCCCATAGCCTGAAAGTCGAAGGTCTCGTCGCAGTTAAACACGAGGACGAATCTTCCCAGCTGGTTTCCTAGAGCTTTCACAGATTCCGTCTTGCCAGTACCGGCGGGACCTGAGTATCAACGAAGGGTAAATAATTAAAATGGGTGTAAGTTAAGACAAGAAGCTTTGTTCAGTATCCTACCATTTTTTTATGTTAAGTGGGTCCCGTCCACAGTAACAATGGCAAGATTGAAACTTAATTCTTTTGGGACACATTATATATGTTATGATAGAATAATCAACATCTTCGTGATTGTACTGTTTCGCTATTGTACACCTGTCCTTTACGGCTTATAAAATAATACATTAGTTTGCTTTCAAAAAATCTCGTCAATGACTGTACCAGACATTTGTTGCACATCGCCACATAATAATACGAAAGTATTTGTTTTTTTGGTTGAGGACCTTTGTGTGCATAAATAAAAGAACTCACAAATGTATAATCAAAGTCGGATAAATCCAACGCTAAAGTGTCTCACAGCCGGACGCGGCCACGTATTCGCTTGCAATGTTAGCTAGTATTATAAGACGATCGACCAAAAAAGGCTGGCCGCGCCTCTGGGCAAGAGACCTATAAGAGAAGCCTAGAAAAAGAACAAACAAAGAAATATATGTCGTATTATTTTTTGTATAGATAGGAGAAATTAGCTCACCGAACGGCGATCCTCCAAGTCTGGCCTCCAGGGCTTGTGTCATGGTGAGATAGCAGCGGTCTGTTAACGGTGTCTGGACGAGACGATCTTGCACGCCAAGGTATTCGAACCCGTAAAGGAATTTAGCGTTCGCCATGTGGATGGTCAGTTGTTCTAACACCTGTATTGTATTAAAACCTTATCAGCAAAGTTCAATGTTTTGATATTTTATCCTTGTTCTATGTGGTTGGTAAGATATTTATGAAGCATGTTCAACTGTCAGCATTTCTGGTGTTGTGACAAAACCAGATAAAGTGAATAGAGTTCTATGTCAAGTGTATAATGTTACACATATAAATATTATTACAACTACTTACATCGTTGTTTCTGGGGTCGAAATAGAATCTCATTTCGCAGAGCCACTCGAAGCTGCGCGGGCTGTTTACGTCCGATGCAATCAGTCGCCGCGTCACCGTACGTTTATGAACGAACTCGTTAATCTAATAAAACAATGAAATCAATTAAATTCCTGTTAAGAATATTCAAAGCATTTTTCTTATTTATGATGCTATTGCTACCATAATGGCATTTGAATAAGAAAGAGAAAGATTTTTTAGGCTCCTGTGGGATTCTCAATAACCTAACTGTAAATTGGGCGAAGTTGTGGGTGATGCTAGTTCATAAGAATTTACTATTCATTAACAATACACCTTTAGGGAGTAGGATCCTCATCCAGTCACAAACGAAACTTGTAAAAGGATTCTAACCTTTTAATCCCAAAACAGACGCTTTGACAATCATTTATGTTAATCTATCAATCAGTATATTTATTTTACCAATTGCTCGTATTTCTTCATTCTAGAGGTGGTTGTTCTTGAAACAAAGAGTCGGTGAGTACTTATATTGAGCATGTTCTCCACGTGGGCCAGCACTCACTTGAGGCCATCGCCGCTTCTGAGTCACGCGACCATAGGATCTGAGTCGCCAATACTATTTGAGCCTGTGAATTATATTTTACCAAGTGCTCCAATTTCTTCCGGCGGTACATGATGAAACAATGCTATAGTTAGTAGTATCATCATCTAGCTACAAACGAATCCTGCAAAAAAAATTGAGCTTTGTGTCAATTTATGGCTATACTTTACCAAGTGCTTCAATTTCTTCCTTCTAAGCGGTGGTTGTTCTTGAAGCACGGAGTCGGCAAGTATATTGAGCATGTTCTGCACATGAAGCAGCACTCGCTTGAGGCCGTTGCCGCTTCTTAGTCATGTGACCATAGGATCTGAGCTGCCAATACTCTATGAGCCTGTGAATGATACTTTACCAAGTGTTTCAATTTCTTCCTTCTAAGCGGTGGTTGTTCTTGAAGCACGGAGTCGGCGAATATATTGAGCATGTTCTCCACGTAAAGCAGCACTCGCTTGAGGCCGTCGCCGCTTCTTAGTCATGTGACCATAGGATCTGAGCCACCAATACTCTATGAACCTGTGAATGATATTTTACCAAGTGTTCCAATTTCTTCCTTCTAAGCGGTGGTTGTTCTTGAAGCACGGAATCGGCGAGGATATTGAGCATGTTCTCCACGTGGGCCAGAACTCGCTTGAGGCCTTCGCCGCCACCGCTGGCTAAGGCTGCTTCTACGTCTTCAGACCAAAGGATTTGTGCGGCCAATACTACTATTTGAGCCTGTGAATTATTAATAGATATTAATTATCTTTGCAGGTAAACGAGTGTTTTTAGGGTTCCGTACAGTACTGTCCCTTGGAGCTGTGAAAAAATCAAACTTATAAGCCAAAGCAATCAAAAGATACAGCTGATTATGCCGCAAATTTTCGAAACTCGCACGGGAATCCTACAGGGTACTTCCCGTGAACTTAGAATCTTGAAATTTGGTACGAAGTAACGCCTTATAGTACAGATAAAGGAAAAATTGCGAAACCGTAAATTTTTAGTTACATCATATAATAAAAAATATTTTTTTAATAATTATTAAAATATAACTACAGGTTCGTACGGAACTCTCGGTGCGCGAGTCCGATTCGAACTTGGGCGGTTTTTTTCTGTAACTCTCTAGAGCCTACCCCCTTGCCTACCTTAGGCACGGGGTAGGGGATGGGGTCAGGGTAAACAACGGCGCGAGTGATATTTTTTGTATCGCAAGCGTCTTTAGGCTATGGTGGCCGCTTACCATCAGGCGGGCCATAAGCTTGTTTGCTACTCTTTAAACATAAAAAAAGGGGTGAAAAAGAATCATATCGCTCATCGACATAAATAATGGACTCAGGTAATTAATACCTGCATAAAATTGATCTCTGTCTAGAAAGTGACGAAGAGATCGTGCAGTCAACGGACTGAAAAGTGTGACAGAGACAATGCGATCGTACGACGTAGTTCAAATTTACCTCACAGCTGGTGTAGGTAACGCTCAGTCCATTCTTTCTGTCTTCGCCTCACTGATGATAAGCTGTCAACCTAGTGTGTGGCTACTTAGCAGAATTGCTTGAGCTTTGTTTACCCTGCTCTCCCTAACCTATTTGGAGCGGTTTTCTTTAAGGCAGAAAGATGATTGAACGATTTCTTCACGAAGGAGAGACAAAATTGAAACTATTTATATCAAACTTAAAAAAAAAAAACGTAATTGTCACTGACGTATAAAAACAAGAAGATTCACAAACACGCTCCAAAAGCAACATTTGTCTATTGTACGTAATTTACAAACAGGGACGTTCGAAAATTCTCGCTCGTATACAATCGACATTGAACCTAATAACCACTACGACATTAAGTATTAATTTGAACAAATGTGTCAATGGTATCTGTTTAAGTTGATGTAGAACGCCGCTTGGGCGTTTTTTGATGCCCTAAACGCGATTGGGAGTTTACTAAACTTGTTTTATACGTCAATGGTAATAGTTTAGTATATTAAAATTTCAAGCCCTCAGGGTTTTAGGGATAAGAATTCCCATTTAATTTCAATCTAGCTTCCTCTTTGACTAAACTTACTTGATACTTGTCACACCACTCGATAAACTTCTGCGGGTCCACATTTCCGTCCTTGAACTGTTTCACATCGCCCACGGCGTCCTTCAAACGGCAAGCCAAAGTAACGCGCATTTCACGCTCGACCATAGACAACCATGAGTTGATCTTCGGGTTTTCTATGGTGGAAACAGGGGACATGAAGTACACCTGTGCAGAAAGAGGGATTTGGTTAACTCTGGAATCGAAAGTTAATATAAAAGCAATGGTTCTGTAGTAATTTTCATTTTTTAACTAAATTTTTAGCGTCATAACATTGTTGTCAAACTTTCGAAACAACGTAAGAAAAGTTCAAGTCTATCTCTTTCCAATACACTATCGGGCTTATTGGTAAAAGTAGGACGGACGGAATGCATGTTGTTGCTATATTAGATTCCTTTTAAGTAAATTATTATAAGAAGGTTCAAACTTGTATCACGGCGTTTGGGGACGTGACATACGCGTATGCAGTATTACTACATAAGCTTGGCCAGGCTTAGACCAAGTCTTTGTATGTGGTTTCTAGTGATCCAATCAATGTTAAAGCAATTTTTTACAACTCACTTCTTCCCCCTCTCTGGATGCAATGCCGTTAATGACAGTGTTGTCTTCGTTAAGTATGATGGCGGCGACGCCGGCAAACATCTTTTTGAAGTGTTTCTGGAGTCGGGCGATGTTCTTGCTGTTTCCGATGATTTCCAGCAAATCCTCGTCACCCACGAAGTAGAAGCTAAAACATTTTACCACTTAGTACTTGCTTGTATATAATGTCAGCACTTCACTTGATTTGTGTTTGCTATTTGTAAATTTGACATAAGTCTGTCCTTATCATGCAATATTAGGAATTAAAAGGCCCGCCTGATGTCAAGTTTACAAATAGCAAACATGAATAGCCAAATGAAGTGCCGGCATAAGATAATCTATGATGTAACAATATGTATAGTTTTAGACAAATCTATAACTAATGGTAATGGATCAAATTAATTCTGGAAACATCCTCGCATCGCAAAATTATGAGGCCGTTTGCAAATCCAAACAGTACGTTTTTCTTAGCTATGATGTTATCTTTCATTCTTCCATTCCATAATTCTTCATCTTTAAGGTTGAATATCTTTTTATCAGAAACATTTTTAATTTTATCGCGTATTTTTGATTTAGTTGCTGCTTAAGGGCTCGAAGTGCCTAATGCAAAACGGAACTGTCTTATATAAAAAAATAAACGCCATAAACATAATATAATGAAAAATATCTATGTGTATATTACCGTGGGAAACTGCTTCTCTCTCGTTCCAAGTATTCTCCGAGCGCCTTCTGTATTTTGCCGAGTAAATCTGCTAATCTCTCCAATGATCGCTGCACTCCGGGGATGTTTAGGACGTCCATAACCATAGGCGACTTGCCCACTTTCTTCATTAGCCCCAGGAATTCAGAGCTACGAGAAAATATATTTGTCAGTTCTTTATAAGATTAATGATATAGACGTCTAATATAAAGTAAGATTGGAGTAGAGCTGAGAAGCAAGCCGGCACGTCTAATCGCCGTTAATCAGACTTAAAAAAATAATTATCGGCTTTTGAGTTCGGCTGTAAGTACAGTTACAGTTCTATAGCTTGCGTGCACCGCCACTAAGATGAGTTCCATTGTATGATCAATCCCTTGACCAACAGCTTGCGCCGTCCTTTTACTCTCATCCACAAATTAAAATTCAAATAAAAAATAGGAGTGAGAATCGCGCTTCTACCTCGCAAAAGTAAAAAGAATTGATAGACAATATGCAATAAAAAATTTTTGTTTGTGTAAATTATCGTTGGTGCTATATACCTGATACTCTGAAATCGACTGGTTTCAACCGGCAGCAGCGTCTTGATGTCAGCCGAACCACTGAATATGCCCTCGAGATAAACCCAGCGGCGTTGTACGTCGATCCACACGTCGAATAGCGCGTTGATACGGTTCAATTTCTCTTCCCAAGTGAGAGCTTCTTCTTCAAAAACCTATCAATCAAGTCAAAGACAATCGTGTTATCAGGATTGGGAAAAGAGCGTTGATTCTTTGGGGCTAAGTTAATTGGTGCGTGTGTTAGAAATATTAATTTATTTATTTATATGCTTCAATTTCTCCTCTCATGTGTCCAAACCTAGGTTCTATTCGTGTTATTAGAAGATAGGACTAACCTAAGACATCGAATTATCTTTTTAAGTGATCTTTACTTAAAAGGTCACCGATTTAGTGGTGCAAGTTTTTCGAATCCTTCTAAACACATTTTATGAAACCTACGCATTGTAATATTGTCAGTGATCTCTTTACAAATGATTCGGTAATTTTTTACACATTATTTTTGTGGATTTATCGACGCTAATGTTTCCTTTGAAAAACCAAACATGTAATTGATATATTAATGTCACCCTAATTTAAGACAACAAAGAGGAGGACTCTATAGCGCTGTGGCTCTATGATATTAGGGGCTTTTTGTGTTCGGCAGCTATATTAAACCGTTGGACATGATTGTGTATACTGCAATTATGAGCACCCACTAAAGCACACTTAGCACTCGTGGAGCTTTATGGCCAGTTCTTCTTATTAAAACCATATAGAAGGTCTGTTCTTCAGTATTGGGAACATTAAAAGATTTAGGAAAAGAAATATTACCTTATAATAAGGGGAGAGCTTCATCGCTGCGACACTGTTGATGTGCTCTTTCACTTTGTTAAAGAGATCGTCCCAACCACGTATGATTTTGCACTTGTTCTGGTAGTTGATCAAGTCTAATTCGTAGCTCTGCCATGACTCACGGACCTGGTATCAGGACAACAAAATAATTAATTAGCTTATTGTGCAACAGATCTATGGATATTAAAGTCTTTGACCTTTGACGCACAGCCAAATAATCAAGATGTATGTTACAGATGTTCTACTGATTTGAAAGCTAATAGGGAGGCTATACTCTATTCAAGGCGACGAGCTAGTTTCGACGAAAGCTAAGATTTTATTGGTCGAATTGTATTGTTGTCGAGACTCTGGTCTGAAATACAGTACCTATTTTCCCTTCCCTTTCGCGTGTGACACAGTGTTCCATCCTTATCTTTTGTAAGCAATTTTCTGATAAAGAAATCGCTCCACTAACACGTTTTCGTGAACAGAGTATAGGCGTCACTTGTTTGTTCTCCAAATTTCTGAAGTAATCGTGCGCTAAGCATTTACAAAATAAAGCTGGTGTGCCTTATAATTGTATTTTATGTTCTTACGTCTATAAGAAAACTGATAAGTTAAACTAAGATGAGGCTGGTTCGGACAACGTTTGGCCCTAAAGTCCCTAAAAAATACAGAAAAAAGCATTCACAGCAAGATGAGAAAAAAAACAGTACAAAACTAATCAGTACCTGTTTCAAAAACTCTTCAAGGGCCATTTCACCCTGCGCGACGGAGACGACATCCTTGACAGTGTGCTCGTTATGCAACAAATCGGCGTCCCAAACTTGGCCTAACGTCAGTTCCGACAGAGACCAGTCTACTTTCAGTGCCCTACATAGTTGGCGCCAATGACGCTCCTTCAATGCATCCGATTTAAGTTCCACTATTAACATGTTCACCTGGGAATGGAAGATTTTAGTTAAAAAACGTTGATAGTCTCTGTTAAGTTGGTAATGGTTTCTTCACAAATAAGCTATAAGAGGGATGAAAACGGGTGTGCTCTAATTATTTTTGATGGTTCGGGGATTTTTGGTTGTATAATAAGTGTTTCAGCAATATTACTTTATTTATTTTTTGAATCTGTTTATAATAACCCAATGAAATCCAGTATTATGGGCATTATCTACTTTAATAATTTAGGGGTGTGAAAAATTAAATCCCTAAGGTTACGATTAATCTCATTTTTTGATATTTGATATTGGCAACCTTAATCTGAAAAACATAATAATTATTGCTTGTTATGTATTCTATTTTCTTTGGTTATTAGTTTTAAACGATATTCTAAAATTTTCCTTTTTGTATGATTAAGCAGGTACCTTGGTGTATGATTGCAGTAGTCTGCGCACGTATTCGTAGCTGTCGTACATACGAAGGCGGGCCGGAAGCTCTTTCAATTCGTTGAGCATGGCCTCTAGTTGTTGTCTGTTATAATAACAATATAGTTAGTTACATAATTTTTCGCATACTATATATAGATGTAAATTCCTAATTTCGCGTATAATTTGTAATTGTTGTAATGAATGGCATATAAAAATGGTTACGTAAATGATAAGAACTTTCTATGTAACGGATAAGAACAGACTAAATAAATTTTACACTATCCCCCTTACTAATAAAGGAAGATTAAGCCTGGATTAGTTACACTATGTGTTGTCTCTGTTGATTAAATGACAAATAGCACTTGACTGGTATGAACAAATCACGGCGTAACTAGTCGAAGCTTATTCCTTGTTTATTAATAAGGAGGAAAGTGTATCAAAATATGCTCCATCATCATCTATCATATCAGGAAGCTGTGGCTGAGTAGTACTTTCAATTTCTTAGCTATATTTGTGAACATTACCTTAGTTTCCTAGGCTGCACAGAGAGCCAGGGTTTCTCCCTGATGTCATCTATTTGGGTCCAGATCTTGCTAAGTGACGACCATACGCCACGCAAGTCTTGCAATTCCTCCAATGCCACCGTCATACGTTCATTGTTTACAGAAGTACCTGCAAGTTTTGTGCGATTTGTAAGGGTTGTGTCAATGTATACAATCATTATTTCTTTGATATAATTGATAACTGTTAAAATACTAATGTAATGGATAACCCATAATAGGTCATACTGTATTCTAAACAAGATATAAGTACGTTATAAATTTGATGAAGGTACCTGTAACCTAGCCAGTCTTCAGGTCACTTGGGGCCGTCAGTGGGTTTGCTAAAGTGCAGTGTATGGGCGGATGGATAGACAGAGAATGGACTGCGTATACCCTTACATTATTATCACAGTTTAATAATGTTCGACACACTGCTGGGGCACAGGCCTTCCCTATGGCTGGAATAGGGAGAGACCCACTACGCGGATTGATGGCTACTAACGACTACAGACGCCATCAGGGCCAATGGCTTAACGTGCCTTCACGGAGGAGCTCGAGATAATAAATTTTTGGTCACCCATCCAATGACCGGCCATTACGAAAATTGCTTAACTTCCACGATCGCAGGCCAAACGCGCTTACCACCGGCAACATCGATTTCCCTAAAGGGCCTAAAATAAAATAGGGCAGATAAGTTTGAGATAGACGAAGCGATAGTGAGCCCATAGTTCGTCTATGTATTGGTAGATTTTTAGGTCTGTTTCTTTCAAAATCACTATTGTCAAATTTCATGCTTTCATGCATGCATAGACTGTGCTTTGCTTAACCAGCTGTGAATTATAACTAGGCATATAACTGTTTGAGAGAGCGACGAAGCGATAGTGAGCCCATAGTTCGTCTATTTATTGTTCGTTTTTTGTCTCTTTCTAGAGAATTGTCTTTGTAGAGAAATGTCATAAGATTGGCACCAAGTACATTATTTAATGGGTGGATATATATTTGTTTACATTTCCAGTGCCTCCATGGCCTCGGCGACGTTACTGCGTTCGTGTTTGAGGTGTGTGTAGTTTAGGTCAAGTGGGGTTATCAGTGAGCTCGATATAGGAATGTAGGGGTGGATGAATAGTACCTACTATTCATCCACCCCTACACTCCTATATCGAGCAGAAGTAGTAGTGTCGGCCTTAAAATTAGCGAATGTCGTGGCGCAGTAAATGTAGGATCATGTACAGTGCGACCAAGATCATTGTACACTAAGATCAGATTGTCAGGAGAGCGCTGCTGGTGAATAAATGGTAGAAAAAGGATTATTAAGTACGTAAAATGTCCTCGCTAAAGAGAAAGTTATAATTTACAATGACTCTGAAAAAGTAAAATAGGATATATAAGACTTATTTACACCTTCCTCTAAAAATAAAAGGCTTATTGATACGTCCCCAAAAATTTGTTCCAATAGGCTATTTGACAGTATGAAAACTAAAGTACCAATTGTTAGCATCTGTATTTATCATGAATATTAACAGCGATTTTACTATTCCGAAAGGACAAATAATAATTAATAACTTTTGTTACAAAAAACATTTAATAGAAATGATTTTTTCGTTCTATGGTCACGTGACTGAAAACGCCGGGGATTTGCTAAAAATAACGTCACACTCTAGTAAACTTCCGGTCAGTGACATTGAATTGTATCGTTTGACGTTTTAATAAAAGCTGTGTGATGTCACATATAAGTGAGACGTCATAGTGTCCAGAGAAACGTTTTCGCGTCAACTTACGAAGTACACAACATAATGATGAATATCCACTTTTTATGGACTCAATAAAGATTTGTAAATACCGTTAGATCGCTTTCTTGTCAAATACCCTATTTCGGCCACGCGCCACGGTCGTCATCTATCTATCTATCTTGGTCACACTGTCGGCGCGTGCGAGATGTTACTGAACTGAAACCTGAGCATAGTTACACTCACTGCTAACTTCGCAAGAGCCATAAATTTTGTAAGTACCTGTGTCGTGTAGTTCGAGTGCCTCCTTTGCCTTGGCGACGTTATCCCTTTCGTCTTTAAGCCGAGTATAACGCGTTTCCATAGCCTGTAATCTTGCTAAGGCATCTTCAGGCCGGGTGGAGCCGTCAGTGGGCTTGCTGCGTTCCCATTCGCCTAGGAACTCTAACGTACGCGCCTCTACGGCTTTGTCTTCAGCTACAATCTTTTGTTGCAACGAAGCCACCTACGAAGAAATCATTCAATCTTTAATCTCAAAGTACTTAAACGTAAAACAGAGTCATTTCAGTGAAGCACACATTGACGTTACATATACAGACAATCTCACGCATTTTCTATCAGTATTAATTCGCATCTAGCGACAAGTGATGACAAAATCAATAACGATAAGTCCAGGTAAATATTTTAGAGGATGGCGGAAGCTATACTTTGAAATACAGTTTAGTACTCACTTGGGTTTGGATAGACGAATCCTTTCTACGCATGATTTCGTTGAAAGCGCTCCATTCCCCTTCGATATTATCAACGTGCAGCCATTGAGCTGGAAACTGGAATCTGTCGTTAAGAGAAAAAAAAATGTTTTACGTGTTTTATGTTTAACCAAATAATGCATCACTTTCTGTATCCACATAATAAGCTTGATACTGAGGTGGTGTGGATAGGTGGCGTTTCAACGCAACAAGCAATAATCGCCTTAGAGAGAAAAACTACTATTAAGCAGTTGTAGGAATATTGATATACCTTTGTCTTTCGAGAATACGTTGGGCTTCGCGATACACATCGACTTGTTTCTCCCACGCAAGTACTTCTCTCTTCAACTGCTGCACGTATGTAATCAGAGACACAGCATCACTGGTCGAAGCTGCTTCTGTATATTTAAAGATCCTTTTGTATTAACGCGAATGGTAATTATGCATTTCTTCTTCAGGTTTTAATTTATATTGAAATAATATAAGTGTTATTGAGTAACTGTTAAATTCACATATAAAAGAAGAAGTTAAAACAACATCAACAATTATTTTTATTTATCTACATTATGCAAACTGTTTTACAACATTTTTGCCTTACTGTAAATTACGAGTACTTTCTCCTACAACTTTGCTGCTTGCTATTGATATCCTTTGAGTATCATGGTCATTATTGTGATACTAGTGGCCGCCCGCCTTTGTAAAACTCTCACGAACTCACTACTTTTCCGGCATAAAAAGTATCCTATGTCGCAATCCACGTCATAAACTATATGCGTACCAAATTTTATAAAAATCACTTTAGTAGTTATTGCGTGATTGAATAACATACATACAAACTTTCACATTTATAATAAGTATTAGTGGGATTTACTGACACCACTTTACATAAGTATTAGTGGGATTTACTGACACCACTTTACAATAAGTATTAGTGGGATTTACTGACACCACTCCGCGTCGCACGTCGCCTTCTATACGTGTTATTAGGTTTCTACTAACGTAGTTATTAATTTTTATTTACAAACATTTTAATGTATTACCTATATCTGTATATATTTTAGACTATAAGGTATTTATCTATGGGGCTACGTTGCCTGGTTATAAACAAATAATTAAAATAAAAAATAAAAAGTTAGTAAACAACTCACCTATAGTTTGTTGCTCGAGCTGGCTACGTGACTTAGCAAGCTGCGAATGGAACTGCACCATTTCTCCACCGAGTAGGGCACCGAATTTGCCTAACACTTCTTTATGCCACGCGTCGTACTTAAGGGCGACTTTGCTTTGAACGCGGGCGAAGTCAATCACCACTGGCCCGTATTCGCGACGAGTGTCCGACGTGTCGAATGTAGTGCGAGATTTTCTACAAAAAACATTGTTATGTAGAATGGTAACAATGGGTGAATAGTGAGAGCGAAAGGCATAAGGGCTATGTATATATTGTCAATCTATATATCGTCGTTACGACTTTAAGACCTCCCATGTGTAAAATTCTTCAATGCGAGATATTCAATAAAAACTGTCTACTGAGAAAAATATAAGGAAACTAAATATAACAAAAAATACAAGTGATAACTAGAGGGTTTTATGATTTTTATATTGCTCTGGTCATTTTAAATAAAAAAGGAAATTGTGGTAAAAAAATAAAAAACCAATTCAATGTGACACATAAGAGGTTTTAGTTGCGCGTTTTGTATCACATTAGAGAATATAAGTACGTAAAAGGGATTGAGATTGAAAACACAATACTTTTAATTAAACAAGTTATTTGTTTTTAATATTTATCATTGCAATGACAATAGTATATAAGTGGTTTTATGTATTGCTCAATAGTGGAGTGAACACTGTCCACCTCCATCATGGTGTGCCCTTTTTATGTTTAATAGGCAAGGCGTTTGAGCAAAATCTCGCCTGATGGAAAGCAATGATGAGGCCTGGGATGGTACACGCCTGCCTAGAAGATGCCTGTTCACTCTGGCCTTGAAGATTTCCAGATTATATTGGTCCGAGAAGAGTTCCACTCCCTAGCCGTTCGAATAATGAAAGCGGAAGTAAATTGCTTCGTGCGAATGGGAGGAACTTGGACAACATAAGGGTGAAAGCCCTCACCGCGCCTGGTCGTTCGGTGGTGAAAAGGGGAAGGGGGAATCAAATAGTGTAGTACCTCCGCACACTCCCCGAAATGTAACCGATAAAACACCGAGAGGTAAGTTACACGTCTTCGGTGGTCAAGGCTCTGGAGATTAGCCTCAACGAGAGCGTCATTGCCTATGAGTCTCTTCGCACGGTGTTCCACCGAGCCCAGTGCATCCAGCTGATACCGAGCAGATCCATCCCAAAGGTGACAACAATACTCCAAGCAGGAGCGAACTTGGGCTCAGTAAAGGTTAAGGAGCTGCTCAGATGGAAAATATCGCCTGATCTTTGAAAGTATTCCAAGTTTTTTGGCAGCGGTTTTAGCAACGGACTCGATGTAGCGACCGAAATTGAGCCTGAATGAGATGTCCAGACCTAAGAGCTCGAGATGGTCTGTAATCGGCACGGAGATATTTCGGAAAGTCGGAGTCAGATGGAATGGACTTCGTTTCGCCGAGAGGAGACAGGCTTGTGTTTTAGAGGGATTGAACCCAACCAATTTGGCTTCACCCCAGAGGGAAACAGCTTCCAGGGTTGCATTCACTCCCTCCACCAACGCCTCCCCTAAAGATTGGACGTCTGCATCAGATTTCACATCAGGCAGGTATCTCTCCGAGACTGTGCTGTCGTCTGCATACCCAAAGATACCGCGAGTAAGGAGAAGGTCATTGATTTCCTTTCTCTAAATAGAGTATCGATATTCAATTGCCTTCGTTGCCAAATCATTTAGGGCACTCGACAAAATTCGGTTTCTGTTCTACAAACATAAAAATAATAATACACTCAATTCTAGTTCGTAAAATTTGACAATGGTCTATTTAGCAAGATGTAAATTCATTAGCAGTTACATTACCGTCTGCTTTTTTGCCAGCAGTAAATTGATACATTTTGAGATTAACATCATAAACAGTGAAATTATGACATTGTAACTTCAATTTATAGTACAGGCCAATAGCTTTGGAGCAAGCAATACACTTTTCACATCGATTGTTATAACCACAATTTAACCACGGAGCCCGTCGAAACTAACGTAATTTTTATATTACTACCCCCATCTAACACCTACAATCGGAAAATAATCACGCGATCTATGCATCCCTCTCATTCCAGTGCTTCTATTGGTTAGTTAGTTCGAAAATTTGACCAATAACAATTTTTACCTATCTAGCGCTTTTACACATAAGATATTTTAAATGCCAACTTTACTTCAGCAAGCACTTAGGATATATTGAATAAAGTAAATAAATACAAAATGAAAAGACGTATTCACGTCAGAGTTCTTGCTTTCGATGCAGCGCCAAAATTTGAAATAAACCAGTATAAAAAAGGTATTTCCACAAAAATGACACATAGGAGGTCTTGAAGTCGCAACGACGATATATAAAACTCAAAGGTGACTGACTGACATAGTGATCTATCACCGCACAGCCCAAACCACTGGACGGATGGGGGTGAAATTTGGCATGCAGGTGTTATGACGTAGGCATCCGCTAAGAAAGGGTTTTGATCAATTCTACCCCCAAGGGGATTAAATATGGAATGAAAGTTTGTATGAAACTTTGTCAATTTTAAACCGATCGGGCTGAGACTGCATGCAGGTACGAGTATAAGAAGAATCATAGTTGAATGTCATTGTGTATAATACAAGCCTGAGAACAAAACCTGTAGTCTACACTTCAGCTCTACACCGAAGCGAAGCGAGGGCGGGCCGCTAGTGAATTATAAAGAGAGAGAGTGAACAGTTTTTGTTAGAGTAAGAGGAAAGTAGGACAGGAAATAATACATTAACAACTACGACAGATTTTGAGATGCTTACTGTTGGTGGTAGTATCATTTACTTTGCAAAATACTACTAAAAAAGGATAATGTAGGACTTCCCCTAAGATTACAATGTTATCTAGAGCAGTAACCTTCTCCGATTATACTTACAGATATCGAAGGTATAATCATTTAACATCACTTACTTGATGTCATTCAAGCATTTGATCCATAAGGTGATGTCTTCGCCGAGTCGTCCATAAAGACTTTCTGGTTGCAGATCCCACAGGGCTTGGTAGCTATTGTAAACACAAGATCTAATGTTTATAAATCATCACTTTTATATAAGTAGTTTTATTTGACAAATAAAAGTTATTATTATTATCATCAGCCTATATCCTTCGGCTGGGGCGCAGGCCTTCCCTATGGATTGAAAAGGGAGAACGGGCCACGGCCATGGCCAGTACTGATTGCTATTACAGTCATTGTTTTTGTTTATTGTTATAAGTTGTTTCATTTACAAATATTTATTAAATATGTATAACTTTTGGAACAAAGGGGGCTCCGCAAAAAAATAAGTATAAATATTTCCGTCACAACCGTACGTTGTTACGTAGCTTATTGTGTGAAGTTGTGTTCTTAAACTTATGCTAATTTTTAACTTGGTTCCAAACGAGAGCGTCACGAAACTCATGTTTGCTTTTTTAAATTCTATAGGTACTTACCGTAGCCACTCATCGACGTATTCTCGGACCTGGGAAATCTTTTGCTCAATGGCGTCGTAAGCGTTTTCGAGCGGAGAAGACCCGCCCGGCAACTTGGTTAATAGGTTTCTGTATGTTGCGGTTTGTGCGCGAGACACGCCCACTTGGTATCTGTTGACAATACCATTCCATATTTTAATTAACCATCTACTATCAAACCAGCGTTATAGATTATGCAGATATAATCATTAGTGGTTTTGAGGAGATTGTTGATTGTCTATATGAAGTAGTTAGGTTTCAGATAGTGTACGTGTATCAAAGGATAGCACAAAATTAATACAAACTAACTTTTTTGTTCTTAACAGCATGCCAAAAAAAAGAATGCATCAATGGATATCTTCCTCAAAAAAAAGGTACTTTTGATAATACCATTTTTTTGCGTTCTTTATTTATTGACGCTACCTTATTTTATGAGTCATAAAATTGCTATTGCTGACGAATAATGAATGATTAAATCATCAATATAACGAACCTGGTGCTTTGCAGTCGATGTTGCGACGTGACGACTGCCTGCCAGGCGAACATTTGCCGCATTAATTGGAAGCGTGCTTCTTCTAGTGACGGGAATAGGTACATCTGTTGGTTCGTGATGCGCACCTCGTGGACTACGCGAGCGATCTACGGGGAAAATTAATAATAAAGTGTAAGTATATTCAAAAAATATATACAAATAAATACAAAAACCAGTGCATTATTTCCATATCTTATTATTACATTATATATAACTAATAAATAGGAATAGGCACAGCGCAGTTGGTTTGAAGCCAAATTGTCGTCAAATTTTTGTGGTTAGTTATATAAATTTCAATTCAATTATAAATAGTCAATTAAATGTTAAATATATTCATTTTATAACAATGTCAATTTATTTAGTTGTCATTCAAAGCTTAGTCAATTCAATGTTAAGTAATATTTAAAATGTAAATAAATTTTTTACTAGTCACTTAGTTACAATTTATATAATTCTTACACACAATAAAATAATAAAATACAATCCAGGTAAATTAATTAATTTAGTACATCTACAGTTAATGACTCACATTACTCACTAATTATATTGCGAGTTTAGCGTATTTAACTTTGCTCTCATAGGGATATGTAATATTTTCAAATTGCTTTTGAGTATTCAGCAGATACTTCTTGAATTTAGACTTGAATGAACTATGTGATTCGATCAGTTTTTTCTTACTTCATAAGGTTTAGTAATATAGAGCTAAAACCTGCGTTCTTTTATAACAGCTGAAAGTTTTCTAGCACATGCTTTCAACAGGAGTATAAACGATGGCCAACTATGAAATTTGGGTCATCGTGGCTTTGGTATATAGCAAAGGTGTATAAAATAGTAACAAAATTTCATCACATTATAAAGCAGTTTTTTCTTGTCATCCATTACCAGTGAAGCCTATTGATTATTAAAAAATAACAAGTAATGAAATACTCATATTATTTGAATATTTCAGTTTGAAGAGCGATTCTGCATTCATGTATATATGAAATATGTAACTTTGTTAAACAACATCCTGAATTATATAGAAGGAAGAAGGATGTCTGCCAATTTCGAACCCGATTTCCTGACAATCTGGTAATGCCACAGCTAAGAAAGGAGGTGTATGGTAGAAATAGTTACGCTATGTCGGTAAAAATATTCAATAGTCTACCCAGTGAAATTGTAAGTTTGCCCTCAAATAGATTTAAAACCAAATTGTTTGAATGGTTAGTCAGTAAATGTTATTATTCTGTATCGGACTACTTAAATAAATTGTAATACTTTTTTTTTTATACCTATAATATTTTTTTTAATGGCTTATTATTGTAATATTAATTTTATTGTTTTTTTTTACCGAATTTAATTTTATGTTATTTTGAAGTATTGTATTATTTATTAATATTATTTGACATAATGGAATAATTTTGATTTAATTGATAATATTGACATTGTTCATTGAATTTATTAGCGTTTGTTATTATTAAACTGTTCCAATTGATAGGCATGCATGATATATTTCGTTATTTATGATTTCAAAATTTTAGATTGTAAGTGAAAAATTTGTATGCCAGAACAGTACACCTTTATGTTTTTACCGCATTTGTACAAATGAATAAATGAATAAAATGCATTGAATAATTTGCAAAACAAAAATTATTTGAATCTTTTTAAACAAACTAAAGAATACGACAAAATAAAGTATATAATGGTGTCGATTCTGGCGTGATTCTCTAAACCAAAAATTTAATTTAACAATAGTTTATCCTTGTCATTCTCAATACCGAATGAAAAGGAGCCTGATGCTAATTTTAGATTTAAGTTTAGAGAATCATGCCAGAACCGACACCTATGTTAATTAAACTTACCTGAGGTTCACCGCCAGGCTTATGGGTGGGTTCTGCGGGTGAGTAAGTGTCCATAGATAGATCTAGCTCATTGATTTTGCCGAGCAAAGCCATGGTCCACGCTTCTACGCCCGCTTGCAAACGAGCCGCCAAACTCTTCTCTACCTAAGAACACGGAATAGTACATTGTTCACCGAGAGGACAAAGTAACCGATTACCAAAGAGGGTCTCGTTTGAGGCTCGTGGCGCAGCCATATGGTGTTAATACACTCGAGTTGGGAATAATACTTTATTTCGAGGAATACAAAGTGCTTTTTACTATAGCCACGAGGAAATAAAAGACTTTATTTGAAATTTATATTAAAATTGTTGCAGTTACTAAACTTTCGCCTGGGAGCTTCATATTGGTTTCTTGATTTCACGGGTAAAAGTTCTTAATGACTGTTTAGGTACTCTTTTAATTCTTGCGGTGTCAATAAATCTTCATTACCTGTAATATACGCCGTCTCGAGTAGATAGGAAAACAAATTAAAAACTCAGTTATAATATAATAATCAGCGCGCTTTTTACTTATTGTGTTTTTTTTTTAAAAATTAATTCAAAAGGCAAACAGTATAATGTTAAAAAAATAATTGCAGGCTACATAATCACACTGAACACTTTTCTAAACACAAATAAAAAAAAGATGCATGTTAACAATGAATTTCCATAGACTTTCTGTCCCGTCAGCGCGTAAAAAACGGATTTCCATAAACTTTTCCAGCCCGCTTAGGAGCAGAATAGTAATTAGGTCCTTTCTGCTTTATTTTTAAAACAAGAAGAAACACTTTCCGATTAGGTGTAGTATAATACTACATTGTTCACCAAGGGGAGAAAGTGACCAAATACCAACGAGTGTGTAGTTTGATGCCGGAGTCATAGCTGAAGGCATTAGTTACCCAAGTTGTGGTGGCACTTTCTTTTGAGGGATACATATTGATTTATACTATACGTACGAGGAAATAAAAGTTTTTTTTTATTGAAATTAACATAATGATCTTCTTTAGATCATCAAGAACATCTTTAGATTTAAACATCTGGCAGTTAAATGCTTAAAAAATAAATAAAATCATAACATAATGATGTTAAAAAATTAACTGACTCAGGAATAATTAATGAATAGCGCGTTGCAGTTGGCTCAGTATATCTGCTAGACTGGTAGCCGAGTATGCGCCTATAATCCAGTGAATTTATGAATATCTGTAATTTTACCACTAATAACGAATAAGTGCAAAAACACCCTCATCCAGGAGTTGGACCCGAGATGCAAGTTACTGTGGTAGTTTTCCAATTACAGAGCATAATGCGACTCAGTGGCGCACAATGCGGAATTATGCTGATGCATAATTGGAACGTAAATTAGTTTTCAAATGCACCAGCAGAGTGCGCTAAGTTCAGTGTTGAAAAGAAAAGTCAATTTTTGTACCTTCATCTATACTTATATTTATTTTTTTAACACAGTTTGAATTAACTTTGATTATTTAAGCAAAGCGAAAGAATTTACAATGAAACGAAAGCTTTAAAAATTTTTCAACAATGAATAATTTTACTAACGATAATAAATAAATAAAACATTTCGATCAGTCCCAACTTAATAAAAAAACACTTGTTAATTTTCTATCATTGAGTTGGTACGATTGCACGTAACATACGAAAACATTACTTTTGAGAGTGCTCGATTGTGCGAAGCGTTGCTGTAGTTGAAACATTCAACGTTATGCATTATGCCGCATAATGCGCTCTAGTGCTGTAATTGGAAAACTACCTATATTGCTAATAATACAAGTCATCGATTGCGCGTTGCAGGCGAGTTAATATATCCGCTAGACTGATGGCTGAGTACGGGTAAGTTTCAAACAAGGTGGTATTTACCAATGTCTGTTATTTTATCACTAAAAATGAATAAGTGCACAAACCTCTTCATCCAGGCGTTGGACCCAGAGATGCAAGTTGCTGTATTGTCTTAGAGACAAGTCGTCGATGGCGCGTTGCAGTCGACTTAATATATCCGCTAGACTGGTGGCCGAGTACGGACATGTCTCCAGAGAACGAGCATCTACGGATATCTGCTCTTCGACTGCCAATAAATCTTCAACCTAAGACGAGTTTCGAGATAATTACTTTTAATTCATCATCAAATGTATTGTTACATGAAGAAAAAATATGGTATATTTTTCCTATTAGAGTACTCAGTTACAACAGGAGGCCAAATAATCATAAAATAAAAAGTCTCTAGAATCAAGAAATTTTAAAGAATCTTTGATAAAAAAAGAACAAACCCAAAATTGTTCAATATTTTGGAATATTAATAAAAAGGCTATTAAAAGGTAAAGACTAACTACCCTAAGAGTAGTTTCTTTAATTAAATTTCAATAAGAGTATAATATGAAAAATAAAGTATCAATTGTTGGCATCTGTATTTAATATGAATTTAAGCAGCGATTTTAGTATTCAGAGAAAACACATAATTAATAACTTTTTTTAAAAAATCATTGAAAAGTAATGCCTTTTTTGTGATTGTATGGACTAAAATGACGTCACACGCTAGTAAACTTCCTGTCAAAGTGACATTACATTGTATAGTTTACGTTTTAATGGCAGTCGTGTGACGTCATATACTAATGAGGAGCCATATTGTCCAGAGAAACGTTTTTGTGGCAACTTGAAAATGGAATTCTCATTTCGTTTTTTTTACTGAAATTTACAACAGATTGATGAATATCCACTTTTTATGGACATTAGTAAATAACGTCAAATCGTTTTCTAAAACTTGTCAAATACCCATATTCTTACACATTGCTAAAGTTAAATTTTACTATCAAGTCTCACCTTTTCTTGGAACAAAAGGACAACTTCGCTTAGCTTCTGGACATAAGGGTCAAGTTTGTAAGACTCCCAAACAAGCGCCATTCCCTCCGACACTTGATTGAGCACATCTCGCCGTAAGCCTGCCACTAGCGGAATGATAGACGCTTTGTCTCGAATCTAGAACATACCATCACATTATAAAGCATACATTTCTATAAAAAAGGGAAGTTTGAAATATAGGAATCTGCTACATTAATAGATAGGGATAAATAAAGCAAGGAGCAAGATCTCAAAAAATAATAATAACATTATTATTCAAGGGGAAAGGCAAATCATCACACAAGCAGATTTTAGAAATAATTTTACTTTATATCCAAATAAAACAAGACGATACATAGATATTTCGCAATAATACATACAGTAAATCAATTTTCCACATTAATAAATAAAGCGTAAAACAAATGAATAAAAGCAGTATATATATAGGTTCCATTTACATGACCATTTCTTTATGGTTGTTTCTCCATCCAATTGGTTATAATAGACAGAGATAAAAATAAAAGTGCATTCAACTAAACAGGCGACGATTAGTGTAAAATAAAGGTGTGGAACCATGCAGCGTATAGTAAAACTACCTTTGTATGATTCCTATTATTTAGCTGCACAAATAAAACGCACTCGTGTTAGTTTCAATTGGAAACAAAGTGTATTCATATTGTCGATGTTCAGTTTTGGTGTGTGTTTGTGCTCGATATTATTAATCTAATGTGCTTATGCAAACATGTGTGTTAAGTGTGACTGGCCTTTTTTGGTTTATATGTGATTAATTTGCTAGGTACATACCTTCTCCAAGGTGCGTTCATATGTGCGAACGCTTTCGATGAGCGAGATAGCGAATGGATACAGCTGGTTGGCTTGGTGAGCTTTGTTGACTATGGCCAATGGAACTCTGTGTAATTTCAACAAGTATTTTTTTTAATAATTCTTTAAAGCAGCGTTCTTCGTAATTTGAATAAATAAAAAGTTCTGTTAACTGATATAATTATCAGTTAACAGAACTTTTTATTTATTTGCTAGTACTAGAGTTTTAGTTTATTTTTAAATCACAAGAAACACTCTGAATATCACTTTTATTGCCACGTATTAAGGATGCTGACAGTCAACAAAATAAGAATCCTTTTTAGATTTCGGAGTACTTGTAATATTAACATATTTAAATAAATTATTAATAAGAGTATAACTTATATACGTCAAGTGTAAAGTGTGGGTATACCTGAATCCCAAGTTTTTCAAGTTGCGCACTTCCTTGTACAAAGTGATAATTTCAGGCAAGAAATTGACTTTCAACTTGAGTATGGTTCCAGTTTTGCTGGAGCGGGCGCGCACAGATTCAATGGCGAAAATACGTCCAGTCACTCCTAAATTACGTTGTTGTACCTGATGAATAGTAATTTTAATATTTTACAAACGCAAACTTTAAGTAAATCTTCTTTTTTAGTATTCCAATCACTCCTATCTCTAACGTAGGCAAAAATGGAAATTGCAAGTTTCTACCATTTTTCGACTTTTAACTACGATTTGTTTTTGTTGAATAGGTGCTTAACTGTTTAGCTTTCTTTTATTTAATTTTACACTTAAGTGTGATGTTAATTTATGACGAGACAATCTTTAAAGTACGATTATTAATTCCAGTCAGTAAAATGACATTTCCAATGTTGCAGGTTTTTTGTCCCAAATAAATAGAATCAAGTTTTTACAATTAAAAGTTAGTCGAGATTACATTTTTTGACTCGGTGAATTTTTGGTTATTTTAAGCACTATGGTCGAGCGTATCCCCACTTCAAACTGGCGGAAGGCTGATATTATTCAGTGGTTAGATGAAAAACAAATTCATTATCAACCTACAATGATCAAGGCTCAATTAATAGAAATAGTAAAATTACAAAAAACTAATTACGAACGCTATGCTGTGGAAGAGTTAGCCGCTGAATACGGTGTCACAATCCTGCGTCTGCCCCCTATCACTGCGAGCTCAACCCAATAGAGTTAGTTTGGGCTCAAGCAAAGGGGTACGTCGCCAGGAACAATAAAACTTTTAAAATAAAAGACGTAAAAAAATTATTTGAAGAAAGTCTGAAAGAAGTGACACCTGAAAATTGGAGACAGTGCATCAACCATGCCATAAAAGTTGTAGACAAAATGTGGCAACTCGACCACATCATAGATGAATGTGTAGATTTATTCATTATAAATGTAACTGATTCCGATTCTGAATATACCGATTCAGAATCGGAGTCGGAATCAATATCAACAGTAATCAATAAAAACGTATAAAACGACTTGTATTGTTTTACTTAAATAAAACTAGTTTTTACGGGTTAATGCACGAAACTTTATTTATTTTTTGACGTTTCGTAGCCTTTACAGGCTACGTCGTCAGAATCAAACTTTTATTTAATTTGTCGAGCTACCTTCGAAAGATTTTTTTTTCGAAAGTTTCGTGCATCAACCCGTAAAAACTAGTTTTATTAAATGAGTGATGTGCGTGAAAACCTAAGAAACAAATATTGTTTTACTTAATTAATAATAATAATAAATAAATAATAAATATTTCCAACACTCACACCAATTAGCCTAGCCCCAAAGTAAGCACTGTAAGGCTTGTGTTATGGGATACTAGGGTAACGGATAGAATACATATACAGTACATATATAAGTATATTTATATAGAAATACGTATTAAACATCCATGACTGGAGTACAAATGCTCGTATTCATCACACAAAACATCTGCCCCCACCGGGATTCGAACCCGGGACCTCTCGAGTCGGCGACACCATGAAACCCGGCGTACAAACCACTCGACCACGGAGGTCGTCAATTCCTCTGAACTTCTTTAAACATTTTTTCCAGCATTTTGTAATAATGTTGTAGTGAGCAATTTTAATATGCTGGCAAGGTCCATATTTCTAAAATGATATTATTTCAAATGGTATTTATTACATATTTACAATAAAAGAAAACGCTTTGATACCTAATAAAATAAAGCATGACTAAATGTCTAAGTCTATTGGTTGCCGAACATCACTATTGTAGCGGGTCACCCTTTTTTGTATCAGTGACAGTTGCACTTGTCATTTTACTGACTCGAATAAATAATCGTACTATAAATGTAAATTCTAACTATGGTTACCAAGCCATTGTCTGTCATATTTGTTTCTTAGGTTTTCACGCACACCACTCATTAAATAAAACAAGTTTCAACGGTATGGATGCACTGATTTATTTGCTTATGACGTTTCGCATCCTTTTCAGGCTGCCTCGTTAGAATTATTTATAACTAGCTGTGTTACCCACGGTTTATTAGGGATATTTTCCCGCAGTAAAACGTAGCCTATGTGTTAATCCAGGGTGTCAGCTAACTCCATACCTTTCATTAAAATCGCTCCTCACACACTCACAAACTTTCGCCTTTATAATATTTATGTGATTCTGGCGACGCAGGCCGAAAACGATTTTTCGCATCCTTTTCAGGCTGCCTCGTCAGAATTATAAATTATTCTGTCGAGGCAGGCCGAAAAGGCTGCGAAACGCCATAAACAAATAAATCAGTACATCATACCGTTCAAACTTGGTTTATTCATTGTCTGTCAGTTTATTTAGGGTTGCTACTTACTTTCCGAGCCCAGTCATCGAAAACTTCTTGCGTATCTAATTTCAGGCGGAAACTGTCACCGTCGGCTTTCAGTTTTTGACCATCAATGTGGTTTTCCCAGCCCTTGCCTGCGTAGAAATATTATTTTTTAATAATTTAAAATAGAAACGACTTATAAAATGAAAGGAGATTGAATTCTATATTGAAGATGCTAAGATTCATATTCGGATCTAGTAAGGTTAACATGAAAATTTGTCGTAACTATTTTCGCTCCTCTAACACAGATCATAGAGTAAAGGACGAAAGTGATCATCTTCAATGTATAAACTAGTGGCAAACATTACCATATTATGGTAAATGGACAATGATTTAAACCGCTGTAGTAAACCATTTATGTAGGAAACTTCCTATTGCGCATGCTTGTCTATTTGTGAATCGGTAACAACTTAGTACTGATATAAAGACAAATACTGCCCATATAAATGTAAACACTTCGCATACAACGATCACTTTAACAATGAATAAATAAATGTATATATGTAGGGGCGGTTGTGTATCCAATGTGAAGTTAGCAGCGAGTGTAGTTTTAGTTCAGTGATTCCACCCATCAACAGGAACAACTTTTATTATGGGACCAACGCTGCAATCACGACAAAAAATCTGCTGTTTCATACAAAAGTGCATCAGCTAATCGCCCGAAATGTATGAAACAGCTGTTTTTAGCGATTTCAGAGTCGGTCCCATAGTAAAAGTTGCTCCCGTTGATGGGTAGTATGAACTCCTAAGTGGTCGTTGGTGTTTCAAAATTAACCCTGTATATTTTCCAACGCTCGATAAAACTTACCAAGAACATCTTCAACCCTCTTCAAGTAGGCGGTGAGTTGGTGGTCGATCTGTTTGGCCCAGATTATGGAGCCAGCCACGGGCGGCAAATCGCGCACTAAAGAGAGTCGACTGCATTTCGACTGAGGGTATTGGACCTGTGCAATAAAATAATAACTTTGTAAGTACTCCTCTATTCATTTGACACCTTTTTGCGAAACATTTATAAGCGATTCAGTGAGGATAACGAATTGAACAACAATAAGGAAACTTGGACGGACGTGACTAAGGGAAATTAATACTTGGCGCCACTATGTCCCCAAATGAGGTCTTTTGTATGCAGTTTTGGGGCGAATTCATCAAGTATATTTGCTGTGTAATCGGTTTAAAAAATTTTTGTTATCGTACCTACCGCTCGTCATTGCAAACGATCCCAATTAGATAAAAATATGATTTAAATTGATAAAACTTTTCACTACTTGAGGACACACAAATAAAAATTTAGGAGATGTTGATCTCCTTTTTAAGAAGCTAATTTTTAAAAGAAGTTTGAATTTCTTTTTTTTTATATATAACTCTGTTATACACACATCAAAAGTGTCTAGGGATCAACATATATTTTTGCAATAACTTTTCTCCTGATTGATATTAATTAAAATTTTCTTTAAGGATTCATCAAATAAAGTGTTTTCGTTTGTCACAGTAACGATAAACCAAGTCACCTTTGCATTAATAAAGAAATTTGCCATTTTCCTAATAAAGGGATTTTTGACATTTGAACCACTAACGAAAAGTTCGAAAAAAGACTGAAATAACAGTTTTCTCTAAAATTTTATTGGGTAACTTAAACAATTAATAATCCGTATTTCTACCGCGAACACTAACAACACAAGAACATCGGTTTGGCATACTCAAAATGAGTTCATCCAAATCACGCTGTGGAATGGCCGCCCATGTTCGTTGCAACAACAAAAAAAGGTCTTCTTGCGACTGGATACCCTCCATATTCGGCAGAGCTCTTCTCTGTAGCATATCCCATGCATGCTCAATCGGGTTCAAGTCTGGCGACTGAGCAGGCCAGGGCAGGACATTGATGTTAGCTGCGGCGAGAGTCTGTCTTACAACTCTTGCGGTGTGCGGTCGTGCATTATCATGCATTAACTGAAATAAGGGACCGATTTGCACTTGTAGAGGAACGATGACGTCTGATACAATCGTCTCAGCATAAATTTGAGCGTTGAGGTTGCCTCTGATCCAAATCAACTCAGTTCTTCCGCCGATCCAAATACCCGCCCATACCATGATGGTTCCACCACTATAAGGATGGACTTCCTGGCAGGATTTTAATCGCTGTTGGCGTCCAGGGGTTCTCCAGTGTCGTATACGTCTTGTATCCGGTCTCATACCAAAACGAGACTCATCAGAAAAGCACACGAAACGCCATTGTTCTTCTGCCCAATTTCTGTGTTCAAGAGCCCATTGATATCGAATCCTACGATTGTGCATTGCTATAGGTGGTACCCGTAGCGGTCTTCGGGAATGAAGGTTCACTTCATGCAAGCGGTTTCTGACTGTTTGGTCGCTAATTAAGTTCCCTGAAGAGTGATGAAGCCTCACGGCTAACATCATGGCGGTTATTGTTGGAGCTCTTCGAGTTAAGATTTGAATGTATCGGTCTTGTCTCCGTGTGGTGCAGCGATACCGTCCTCCATGGCGCTCAGCCACGGTACCAGTGCTTCGGTATCGTGTCCAAAGTCGACTGATAACACTCTGACTTGTATTCAGAGCTAAAGCCACAGTACGTTGCCGGGAACCAGCTTCTATCATTCCCACGGCTCTGAGCATTTCTTCCCTGCTTAAATGACGTCGCCGCTCCATAATAACGTTGGTTTTAATCAGTAGTAGGGAAACAGTAGCACTAATAATGTCTTCAATGCGTTGTATGTTTTTATAGGGAAAATATTGACAGCTGATTTTCATCTTTTACTCGAATTTGATTCACAGTTCCTGATTCAAATTATGAAATGCACCAAAAAGGATCCATATAAATTTATAAAATCATAAATTTATTACAAAGCCACATCTCAATCTCAAGAAATCCGCATAAAAATGCTTGATCCCTAGACACTTTTGATGTGTGTATTATCTCAAATCACTTACCTTGAATTTCTCGTGCAATGTCTCGATGTCATCTTTCACTCGCTGTATCAGCTGCGTTTGGTACTCCCGTATAGCGCCGCGAATGTGCGGACGAACGAAGAGCGCGTTGAAACGAGAAAATATTCGGAACATTTCGTTGGCGTTCTTGGCTGTCCCTAGTTGGTCGCGTAGGTGGGCAGTGATACGAGTCTCCACGCGATCTGACAATAAAAAACGAGCGAGCCTTACAGTAATCGCGTATGATATGTAACATTTGAAACCTCACCTTATATTAGTAAAAACAAGAAATAAAACCTACTACAAAAGGAATAAGCCATTTATACATTATGTTCTAAAATCAAATAGCGCGCGCTTCCCAAACTTCGTGTTACACGCTTCCGTCCCACTTCACGTAATCACTCCCACAAATTGCACGAAAGCGAGAGGAAAGATGTTACACATCAACAAAATCATATCATCATAAACGAGCTCGATGGCGCAAATGGTAAGTGCGTTCAGCTGCGATCACTGAAGTTTAGAAACTTTTGCAGTGGTCGGTCATTGGATGGATGACCAAAAATTTACTATCTCGAGCTCCTCCATGCTTCGCAAAGCACGTTAAGCCGTTGGTCCCCCCCAACACACCCCAATCCTCGCCTGGGCCCGCGTGGTGAGTCATGGCCCAATCTCCTTATTCCATCCATAGGGAAGGCCTGTGCCCCAGCTAGGCTAGCTAGGGATGACGATTATCTCCACTGCTGGAGCACAGACCTTCCCTATGGATAGTATAGGGAGATTGGGTCACGAGTCATTGAATCCCACAAAGCCCATTTCGGTGGACGAGGTAGCACTGTATTCCTGATAGCAAGCGAGATAGAATATTATTTTGTCGCCATTCCCGATTATTTCTTTATTAGCGCGAGTTATATACTCATTTATTTATTTAGGATAATAACGGAGTAACATGTGTATTCTAATGTAACACGGCCATCCGGATAGGAAGAGCTGTTCAATGTAGTTCTGCGCATGCAGACGAAATCCGCTGCAGACAGGAAAAACTAAGTTGTAAGTTTCTACCATTTTAAGAACAGTCTTACTTAGCTTGATTATGCTACATCGGTTTCAATATCTACAGTAGTTAAATACGACGTACCAATTCTATCTTCATAGCGTCGTACAGCTGCCTCCCAAGCGTCGCAGCCTTCGCGTGAGATATCCAAGCAGTCGACCTCCTTAACGTTTTCATATGCCAAGTTGACCTGTTCAATAAGATATAACATCAAGTATTATGGCACGAAAATATAGATTGTGTCAGCTAATTCAGTCATTACTATAACATTTGTTTCTGGACAGTATAAAAACCTCAACACCATAATGAGGATCCGTAACGATTTTAGTTGAGAATGCAGATTTATAGAGCTAAGGATTCCATAAAATACAGTACATAGTTAAATTGTTCTACGGCAAATATTGCCGAAGTTATGACGAAATTACTAAACGAATTTTCGGCTGGCCGAGTGGTGACTGTGCTCTGACTGACTGTGTGACGTCACAGAGCTCTAGCACTCGGGAGCGAGCGTGCGTATACGCTACTAAGGTTCAACCGGAGTCAACCACGATCGAGCTCTGTGAGGTCACACATTTCGGCCACTGGTGAAAATTGACTACCATAAAATTTGTTATAAAATCGCAACCATTGCACCGATTTAAAATGTATATTAATAAAAAAGCTTATTAGATCATTATACTGTTGATTTTGAGTTGATTTGCTGACCTAGTAATGATCCTTATTCTAGAGAACAGGCTTTGAAATGAATTTAATGGTGTAGCTTCCTAGACCAGTGCATTGTGAATAACCTTCTCCTATTATTATTTGAGAAATCGACAAAAACTAGCTAGCAGTTATTCGTATCGCCATCATCACAATTTATGTGGAAGGAGCTAGTTTGTTCCTACGTCTGGTAGGGGCGCCGCTTAGTTTCCATAGAAACTGACGATTGCCATATGAACACGAATCTGTCAGGATGTTTGGAGTACAGTATAGCATATTTTATCCCTGTGAAAGTTTCCAAAGGACCACATTCTAAATTAAATGCTGATGACATTGCGGTTACAAACTAGTTTATAAATAATATCTAATCTATCCTTTCATCTCACTAATATTAAAAATGAGAAAGTTTGTATGTTTGTTACTCAATCACGCAAAATACTGAACGGATTTGGATGAATGGTATGCATAATAGTTTATGACCTGGATTGAGACATAGAATACTTTTTATCCTGGAAGTGACAGGTTCCTGAGGGATTCTGAAAAAACTAAAGATAAGGCGGACGAAGTCGCGGGCGGCTGTTAGTTGGGATATATTTCGTTTATTTACCTCAGCGATGGCGTTTGCATCAGCTGCATCCATAGGTAGCGAGTGAGGCTGAGTTGGTTCACTGCCTGCCTGTTCAGCGGCCACTGTGGCTCGGGGACGAAGAACCTGTTTTATTCATTACATTATGCTGTTGTTGAGTTTTCAGTTTCATTGCTTTCTAAGTGGTGATATATATCAAAAAACAACAATCAAATGAATAACACAATAAGGATATATTGTAAAAAAGTTATATCTTTACTTCTAATTCCTTATCTAACTATTCTAGTGGCAAAGGATCATAAAAGGGTCCAATAAGAAAAAAATAAATTCAGATAGTTAATGCTTTTAGATTTCAAAAAGGGAAATAACATTTGTTGACTTTAGCACATGAAACAATTATGAACATTAAAATAATATGAACAAAAAAATTTAGGAATAAATGAACACAAGTTAGTATACATTTTTTTAGACTCGTGTTTAACGCATGTCTTACTTTTTTGTGGTAATAAGTTACTTTTGAATTGTCCGTCTATCAATATTTTCTTATTAAATTTCTTTAAGAGCAAGAAATTATTATTGAAAAGTGCAAAATACCTGTAAGGAAGTTCAAATATTTGAACCATGGCAGAGCGGTTGTGTCGTAAAAGTCCATAACAACAAATTAACAAACGAAATTATATTTTATTATTTAATTAAATAAAATATAAAAAAATCATCATCATTATCATCAGCCTATTAATGTCCCCGCTGCTGGGGCACAGACCTTCCCTATGGATGGAATAGGGAGATTGGGCCCTGACCCACCACCCAGAGTCAGTGCGGATTGGTGGGTGTTAACGACCTCAAATGGAGGAGGAGCTCGAGATAGTTTAACCCATCCACAGCTAAAGTTGCTTAGCTTTAACGATCGCAGCCGAACGCGCTAACCATATACGCCATTGAGCTTCTAAAAATCATACATGTTCGATATTGAGCTGTGTGGTGGGTGGCCAATCGGATTGTGTCGGCATGAGCCATACACAATTCGTACAATATGCTCATCATCATGTCTTACCCGCAACATAACAGTGCGTAGTTGCTCATGGTGACGGCGGAATCGACGCATGTGCTCCATACGGGCTTGCAAACGCTTGTGCGATGGAGAAACGCGCCATACCATCTTTAGGTGCTCATCGCGCTTCTTCTTTACGATGTCACTGTATTTTATGGTATATAAAATAATAATAAATGAATTTAATTTCAATCAACATGGACCATAGAAAACGAATTAACAATAAATAATAATTTATACTACTAACATTATAAATGTGAAAGTTCGTATATTTGGTCTGTAAATTTAAAGTATCCTGTCTCATTCCAGGTCATAAACTATAAGTGTATCAGATTTCATCCAATTCCGGTCTGCCGTTTTAGCGTGATTACGTAATAAACATAAAAACAAACAAACATTCACATTTATAATATAAGTAGGATAAAATCTACATATTATTTCAAAATTGTTAAACACACTGATGATATGTGGTCACACAGAAAGCCTCGTAAAAGCCCTTTCTTCCAGGAACCCTAAAATTACCTCAAAATCTCAATACCGCCACACTCATCAGTATTAGTTAAATCCAACTTTTCTAAGACGACTTAGATAGTCTTAGTCTTAGTACATACCGTAAAAGCCCTTGTAGTTTCTCATACTCGTCGTCCCAACAAGAGAACACTTCAAAGCATTGCGTCATAACACGCTCGAAGTCATCAAATGGTATGTGCATTAGCCTTCTAGTACCCAATACCTGCAAATTTATATTAGATAGAAAATCTTAAAATCAGAAATTAGGCATATGACAAGCTCATTACTTGGTTTATTTTGAAAAAAACATTTTAGGGTTATGTGGCAATAAAAATAGCTACGACCCTCAGCCATAAGGAAATGACGAAGAGAAGAAAAATAGCTGTTAATACAGTTTTATTATTCTGTTATTTTAACATTAGTTATATTTTATTGCCTTGCTCAATTATTTTTTTAATTTATAACAATATAATATTTATATTTCATAAACTTAAGAAACAAATACAAGAATTTCAATTTACTTTAAGAAGTTGTTGCCCGAGATCTCGTGAGATGGCTTCCACAAGTCTCAGGCCTCTCTGAATGGGATACTTAGTTGATCGGATCTTGCGCAGGTGGGAAAAGATTTGCTGTACTGCAAGTCTATAAAAAAGCATTAGAATATATTAATATACAGAAACAAATTTTAAAGAAACAGATTATGATTTTCCTCATTTTACCTAATCCTTTCCAGTTCTGTTGCACTGAGTAAATCATTGATGGGAAAGTCTTTCATCAATGGATTGTAATCGGAGACAGTGGCAAGAGCCTGCTTTAGACCAGTATCAGTGTCAAATGACACTGTTGCATGGAATCGTTTGCCATACTTGAGGATTTCGAGTGTTAATGCCACCTGAAATATATTTAATAACTGAGGAAAATTCTTTTAAAAAGTAGTTAACTAATAAAAACTTGTAGTTTTAGCAAACCTCAATGCTTTCCCGTTTCTCTTGAATACGATGGAGAGCTCTTTCCAAGTTCAGCCAGAAAGAGATTTCTTGTAATGCAGTTCCATTAGATGGGTCCCTATCTAGTTTTGTAACCTGCATTTAATTATAGTTATTTTAATGTATTCTTCATAAATAATATAATGTACTAAAGAAACTGTTAACTTGCAAAGGGAAGAATAAAAAACAGCCGTACTTTTTGGATTTCCTTGATCCAACGGTTGACTCCATTTTGCAGTTGGTTTAGGAATGTGGAGTCTTCTACTTTGTCTCCAAAGTCAGCTACTCGGGGTTTACGCCCTTCATCAGCAGCTCTAGAGACACCCAAAAAAAGCTAATTAATGTAACATTTTGCTATAAGATTTGTGTTCTTCTAAATATATTGTGTGTAGGTACTAAATCTATCTCTATCTATTACCACATTTAATACAAACTTAAAAAAAAATATAATTGATAAATGCTTCTACTCTGGTAGATAATAATTTAATATATGAATGCACAAAGTTAGAAAGAAAATATATTTATTAGATAAATGCTTTTAATTATACCATAAATGAATACTTTACAACAAAATAATATTAATGAGGCGATTTTTAAAATACAAACCTAGTATATAATAATCATGTTAATTGACATATTATTTTATTTTTATGGACATAATTATTAATTTTAATTACTGACAAATATAATTTTATAAATAAATTTCCATTTCTATTATATTTCTACTGTTAATAAGATCAATTGAGTAAGTTATATTGTTAAACTAATGGAATCAGATGATAATTATGCATAATTTGAGATATAAAGTGGTTTAATACGAATTAGGTTTCTCATATTATACATGATTGTTTATTAATTGAATTCCTTTGTAATTTTTATGTTTTAGACTGTATATTGCGATACCCTGACAGGGTTCATGTTAGGTACTATAAGCATTTTGTAACCATCTAAGTTGCAATGAGTGCAATAAATTGAATTGAATTGAATTAAATGAATCCTTATAAATATTGAATTACCGTTTGATGACAGCTGCTACTAAAGGATGCACTGGTAAAGTGATTTCTGGGATATCAATGTTTTGCTGAAGATGTAAGAGACCCATTTCCAGTTCAGCAATTTTCTTCTCCACAGACGGTGCCATTTTGTCACCATCCCTAAGTAATGTGAAAATTTTAAATAAATTTTCGTTTACCACTGTTAAAATTTGTATCAATAGACAGGTACTTTATAACAATAAAGGTCCCTCAAATGAGTAGGAAAATGAGTAAGGTACCTGTCAGCTCGACCACTCTCTTTGACATAGCTCTTGAAGAATGGTGCCATGGTTTTGCTTATGAAGGCATGAAGTGTCTCATAAGGGGAGCCATCGGAGAGGTTGATGAGGCGAAGCTGGCTGTGGATGGACTTGTCAGCCTCAATGACTGCACCTCTTTTAACACAGACAAAGGCAGCCACACGAGGAGATGTGAAGTGCACCTGTTATCATCACATTGAAGTTTTTTATCTAACTTATCAACCTTCATAAAAAAAATTGGGTGTAAAATCGCCACACTTTGCTATCCGGGCAGGTGCACTAAATCTCCATGCAAGCAAGACCCCATTAACGTGCTGAGCCTACCCCTGCACTTGGAGACCACATGGGTTTTGAATATGAATGCATACCATTAAAAATTACTATAAAAAGTAATTACTGCTTAAATAGAAAAAAAGCAATGCTCAACAAAAGAAGTGAAGATTGTATATTTTACTAACCTCATTGCTGATTTGGTATGTGACAGCTTCTTTCTCCTCTTCTCCTTCAGTAGGTTGTTCGTTATCATCTTCTAAATAAATAAAAAAAGGTTATTGTGAGGTATTTTTCTAAGATTTGATAAACAGTAGCTTTTTTATTAACAAATATAAAAAGATAATAAAGTAGATTTTACACAGTTACAGTTATAAGGTTGGGGACTAGAATCCAATAAGATTCATGAAATCCCTATACATTGTTATTATTTTATATCAACTTCTAACTAGTTTTTTTCATATGCTAGAAAGTTCATTTTAATTCATAAAAATAATAACCATAAAAAAGTATCCCATATAATATAGAAATAAGGGAAATGGTATTGTTTATGGATCCGAATAACTTATCTCTAGAGTAATTTAAGTAAATTTTTAAGCAGTAAGTAAGTTAAGTAAGTTATTTCACTTTCATAAAATGTCTAGAACTTTTTATATCTCATTATTTATCTAGTATTCATGCTCCCCATGTGTCATCCAATCCAGCCAGTTGAAATATCAAGTAAAATCAATAAACACAAATGAGTCATGCATACTTCAAGTTGGGGTGCAGTCAGGCATTTTAATTATGACATCATTGTAAGTTGTAAGTAATGGTGGTGGGTAGCCAAAAAGAACTAATAACTATTGTAGAAAGTTGGTGCACCTTTTGATGAGAATCTTTGCACATACAACGACGAGACTTGCGGATCGGCGATGAACTTTCTAATGCAGTCTTGATTCACTTTATCATCGAGAGCCGCGTTCAGCGCCGGTGGCACAATATCATCTTCAGGCAAAAGTACCGTTGCAGCTCGGCGTAGATAATTTGCGAAGTCTTGAAAATCTACCGCGACGACGTTTTGTGCCTCAGGAGCGTTTTCACTCCCATCTAGGGAGTCTCCCATGATGTTTAAACTCAGTAAAATCTCTTCTTATAAAATCAATAAATAATTCTTGCGGTAATACCGCTGCAGATAAGAATTCGTCTACAGCTGTAGAAAGGACAATATCTGCAATGCCAAAATGACATGACACATGACCACAGACTAGTTACAGCTACTACTTTTTTTTTGTTGAAGTTCTCCCATTTTAAGGAAGGCAAAGGGAACAATGCCCATACAGCCTGGTCTTTAATTAAATTAATCTTCTTTTTGTTTTTACATTAGAATGTCGGTGTGACGCATTCTAATGTTTCTTGGAGTGTTTGGCACGCAATGTATCGAGTTGGCTTTTTCGATAAGCTTCTGTGAGGTAGTCAACACTACAATAAAATTCTCACGTCCACTTGACCGGAATAGCGCATATTTTAACGATTCCACTAATTCTTCAGTTACGCAGACATTTGTTACACAAAACCACACCAATTTTATTTCACAATATCCACTATGAACGAATTTAAGAATAATTAAAATAAGACGCCAACCACACTCGATGTAATCCCACCAAAAAACTTTAGAGCTACTACGTATATGACACAGTTTTTTTTAATAGTTTAACGCAAAGAGTAGTATTTATGGTTTAACGGCCTTGGATGAAATCCATACAGCCAAAGGGTGCGGCCAGAGTGCACTCAGATTCAGACTCAGATTCAGATTTCGAAAACAAGCGCGAGAAATAAACAGTGTAGTCGAAGGGTACGGCCAGATTGCACTCCTGATTTAGATTCAGATTCAGACTCAGAAAACAAAGCGCGAGAAAAAGCAGGCAACCTGCTAAGACTACACTGTTTATTTCTCGCACTTGTTTTCAGAATCTGAATCTGACTCTGAATCTGAGTGCACTCTGGCCGCACCCAAAGGGTACGGCCAGAGTGCACTCAGATTCAGATTCCGAAAACAAGCGCGAGAAATAAACAGTGTAGTCTAAGCAGGTTGCCTGCTTTTTCTCGCGCTTTGTTTTCTGAGTCTGAATCTGAATCAAGAATGCACTCTGGCCGTACCCTTCGACCATACTGTTTATTTCTCGCGCTTGTTTCTGGAATCTGAATCTGAATCTGAGTGCATTCTGGCCGCACCCAAACATATGACACAGATATTGACAATGACAGTTACTTTTTTTGTAATATTGTTCCTTTATGAGAAGGCAAAGGATATTAAGTCGATACAGTGTTGTTGTAAGATTTTTTCCCTTTTGTTTAATTAGAATAATATAAGGCATACAGCAACAAAGCCGACACGACTAGGAGGGGAGTAGCCATAATGACGTAATACGCTGCTGTTCAACATACTTTCGCAAAAACTAAATTGTAATAACGACACTCACACATAAAAAATGATAGTGCTAGATCGAGTATAGATGAAATTTAAGATTTTTTTATTGAGGGATCTGAAATTTGTACTGACAAGTCGATTGTTTTGTTAAATAAGTCCGACGATTGAATTTTAACAAAATAATATAAATTTTATGTTTAAAAGTGGTTAAATAGAATTTATATGTTAATAAATTCTACTTATATGTGAAATTTAACACCATCCTTTTGTAAGCTCAATATTTCGAATACGTTTAACAGCAAATTACATAACATTTTGCCATTTTTGATCTCTAACATACACTCGCGCGACTTGACTCATTCTAGTCTAATATCCGAGCGCAACTTAGTTTTGTTTTGAAGCTAGCCCAATAGCGGGGAAAAGTCGACATAGGGGATCGCTGTGAATACCGACTAACCTCCTAGCCGCGTCACTACTGCCCCACCAACACCATCACCTCACCAGACTACTACTGCATTAGCCAAAAACGTCCTATCCGGATGGGTGCGCCGGTCCTCCAAGTCACAATCACCACGCGTTAGATATGAATCTAACGCCGTGGTTGTGGTTAGGCTGGCTAAATCCTGCTGGCTCTATGTCTGGCTGATGGAGTATGAGTTGGGAGACACTTCTGTCCTCACCCAGGCTGACGAACTGGCGTTGTAAGTCCTGCACGCCAACGACGTCCTCACGCTAGACCTACCTTTTACCCAGCTGCCCACCGCGTGCGGTAAGCGCGAACGAGACCCTCCCTCAACACAAGCCTCGAGGGAAGAAAAACGAATATGCGCACAACCACCGCCGCAAAACGCCCCGTTAATAACAACAACGCCATCACCGCAGCCACAATGACCGCATTATAGTAATATAAGTTAGTGACCATGAAAGTATAGAACAATATCTTGATGACCCCAGCCCCAATACCGCAACGGGAGCCGCGCGCTAGGCGAGTCATCCCTCCGCAAACTCCAACACCAACAAATGAGAGGGTATCTCAACAAATGGGGTATAGCGAAGCAGCTATACAGGGAGGAGAGCCGGTAAGACAAAAACCATCCCTACCCTCCAATTCCAATACACTCGCAGGCTGTGACCACGCCCCCAGCCCCGCCCCACTCGACTGCCGCCAAAAGCTCGACTGCACCGCAGAGTGAGCCCAAACCGAACGACACCGCCCAACAACCCAGCAACGCCGCACCGTACAGGGAAAAGAGGTACCAACCTCTCATAGTGGAAAAGCTCCCTGACCGGTACCAACCACTTTAAAGCTCTGAACGACCGACTTGGACGACCACCCAGCGCCAGGCTATTTGGCATGAGAGTGCGTTTTTCGCCTGCGGATGGCGATGAGTACCGCCTCATACAAGCGTACTTATTCGAATTGGAAAAGTTGCAGCCGGATTTCAGTTTGTACTTATACGCCCTCCCTGAAGAACGCAGCCTAAAAGTGGCGATTAGAGGATTGCCATATAACACAGAGCCGACGCAAATATGCGAGGCCCTAGCCGCAAAGGGCGTCATAGTAAAACACGCCAAACAAACTACCCGCCGCAGAAAAAAAAGAGGCGGTAAAAACACAACAAAAAGTTCGACCACCATAGACCATGCCCCCAAAAGTGAGACAGAAGACCGCCCACCGAGTACCTCCCCAGCTCGTAATATAAACACGTAAAAGGCACAAAGTAACTCCATGAATACGCCCGAACTGGCCCAAAATGCCATCGATTGGCAACAGACGATGGCATTTTTGGCGAACCAAAACACTGGCTGAGCAAATACAACAATGCTTCCTCCTATTTACGGCCCAAAATTCCGTCCGCTAAAGATAGTACACTGGAATGCGCAATCGCTCACGAGTAAACGTCGCATCATTTCTTACAAGAACACGACGTTGGCGTTGCACTCGTGAGCGAAACTAGCCTCAGACCGGGCACTGTCTTTAGCGTCCTGAATTATACTTCATATAGGAAAGATGAGATCACTCCGGAGGGTAGACCGTACAGAGGCTTCTTGATATTAGTACATCAAAAAGCCACCAGACCCTTCCACCAGCCGGCCCCAGAGGTAAAATTACGCACCATGTACGCCATCGGAATCGACTTAAATCTAGAAGGCACAGTCACCCACCTCTATGCTGCCTACAGGTCACCGAGCTCCAGCTTTGACGTTAAGGAACTCCGGGACCTCCTCCACCCACTACCTACAATGGTGGCCGGAGACCTTAACGCCAAACAAACCTACTGGAATTCCGCCACTATCAACTCAGCAGGAAGGATAGTTTACGTCGACACCTTAACACACGATTACACAATCCACGGCCCGGATGAACCGACCCGGTATGACACCAACGGAAACGACAACGTCCTCCATGTGGTGGTGACAAGAGAAATCGGCGCACCGTTCCACCAGGAGGTCATGATGGACCTTCCATCGGACCATAGACCCGTCATGATCACACTCCAAAAAATGCCAACTAACATCCAAATCCCCGCGCCGCGCCGTCGCATTGACTGGAAGAAATTCCAGTCCGAGGCGGCGCAAAACACACCCACTCACCCCATCAACACGCCCTCCGATGTTGACCACGGAGTTTACTACGGCCATACAAGCGGCGCTTACAATAGCATCCAACACCCGAACATCAGGTAACAATAACTTACCTATTACAAGGTTACAAGTACAAATTAAGGAAAAGCGCAGACTGCGGCGGCTGTGGCAGACTCCCGCTGTCCCACGACAAAAGCGGCGATCAATAAACTTATAAAAGGCATAAAGCGCGCAATGCAGGTGCACGCTAACGAAGCCTGGGAAAACCACTTGCTTGCAGTGGGCGACGACATGCCCTCGGTCTATCGCCAAGCAACTATCAACGGCAAAACGCACAATACGCCCACTCCTCTGTTGTCTGTCCCAACAGCTCACCGCATATAGTATTCTCGCCCACCCAGGTCCGGAGGGAGATCTCCAGGTGTAAACCAGGTAGGCCCCGGGCCTGAACGACATATCGAATGCGGCCCTACGCCATCTACCACAGAAGAGCATCGCAGCCCTTACCAGAATCTACAATGGATCATTACGGACAGTCCACTTCCCAACAAGCTGGAAGTGTGGAAAGGTCATAATGATCCGGTTTATGGATCATTATGACCTTTATAATGACATTGATGTAAGGACCCCACGAAGCCCAGCAGCTACCACCCCATTACACTATTACCGACCGCATTTAAATTATTCGAAAAACTGATATTAGACCGACTAAGAGCACACGACCCCACGGCCCGAAACAGTTTGGCTTTCGCTCGGGCTACTCAACAACGTTGCTGCTTACCCGGATGCTGCACGACCTAGCAACCAAATTAAACAAAAAAGAATATACCATGATGGTATTATTGTACCACAGGGTAGTTGTCTCTCCCCAACTCTGTACCAGAGAGGTGTTGCGAATCAGGGATGTTGCGAATATTCGCATTAGATATCCGCATTTGCACCCACATCCGCAAAAATCGATGCGGAGCTGCTGCGGATGCGTATGTGTAGCAGGTCGCGACAAGAAAGAAAGGGGCAGGCCCGACGAGTGGCGCGTGATACCTAATTTTTGAGAAGAGGTTGAGAAGAGAAGGATTGAGAGAAAACAGGAGAGGTTAAGGAGAGGAGGAAGCTAGGATAGTAAAATTATGAGATAGAATCGAAAATCGAAAGATCGAAAAGATCTAGAAGAAGAACAATGAGAATGTGAAGAGTCATATTTTATAACGCATG